GTGCTTTCTTAGACTACACATCTGCTTTTGACTCTGTACCTAGGGGCCTTTTGTTAAATAAGCTATCGTTGACACAAACAGGATCCTGGGCTAAGAGTTGGTTGCATTCCTATTTTTCTGATAGAATGCAGTATACTGTATATAACGGCAAATCTTCTTCTACCTCGCTTACAAAATCCGGTGTTCCACAAGGTGCTGTCCTCTCTCCTTTTCTTTTTTCTTTCTTCCTACATGACCTGCCTCATTCAAACGAAACTAACTTTGTCAAATATGCAGATGATCTGACTGTATCACTGCCTATCACTTCCGAGTCTGACAGCTCCAAACTTAATAGCTTTCTGTTGGACATCAACAACTGGTCCAAGTCAAATGGTCTTATATTAAATCCTTCCAAATGTCAGGTGCTTGACTTTACTTTCAAGCATCGACGTGACTTACTTGAACTAGTTAACTCGCATGATCCCTGTAGCATAGATGGCACGGAAATTGAAACCAAATCAAGCATTAAATACCTTGGATTAGTTTTTCCTCTGACCTTTCATGGTCATCCACATCTTATCTATCTCTAAGAAAATGTTTCGTCTTACCTTCTACATTAAAAAGTTAAGACAATCAGGTATCAACCAACCTTTAGTTTTGCAATTTTTAAACTCCTGTATTTTACCTATTGTACTCTATTGCTCTCCATTAATCTTTCCTGGGCTTCTCAAAAAAGATTATATCATATTACGAAGAGTATTAAATGCTGTGAGTAGAGCTTGTGGTCTGCCACTGCATGAGCTCGCTAATACTATAGTCGAGAGGCATATAAATTCCTGTACGAAATGGGCAAAGGCTATAATGTCAGACCCTCTGCACCCCCTTTATTCACACCTGTCCCCTTGTATCTCATCAGGTAGGACGAGAAGTCAATATAAAAAAGTTATATGCTCGTACCACTAAGTATAGAAATTCTACAATACCCTATTTAGCCCGTACTTTATGTGACGAAGACTCTGTTAGACGTGAAACTTACAAGTTACTATGTAATTAGCACAGTGAATCGACCCTTTTATCGTTCATCTTTCTGTATTTTATGGTGTCACACTTTCTATCGTTTAAATCGTTACTCTGCTATTTTATTTTAGTTGGTATTACTATTATTACTACAATTTTATACTTAATGCGTATTTTTCTCCGTATTGCATACTGCAATTTGCCACATAGCTGCTATAACAACATTTAGTTGTTATTATTATTATGTAATGTTCATTTTTTGTCGTTTTGAGTAAATTAGATGGAATATTGTACTGAATGCTGAAAATCCGTTGCTGTATCATTAGTACTGTTTTTGGAATAAAGCAAAAATTATTATTATTATGATATCATTGTCCTAAGATTTGAATATCATATGTTGACTTAGTCCCTTATAATTTGTCTTTGTCCCCCAAGGTGCTGTACTCTCCCCATCTCCCTTTTTCTTTCTTTCTACACGACCTACCATCTTCAAATGACATTAATTTTGTCAAATATGCTGAATATCTGACTGTATCTTTGCCTGTCAAATGTCAAAGTGACTGCTCTAAACTAAACGGCTTTTTATCAGAAATCAGCCAATGGTCCAAGGAAAACGGTCGCACCTTAAATCCCTCCAAACGCCAAACAGTCAATTTCACCTTTAGGCATAAATATGACCTAAAAAAAACTGGTTAACACTCACGAGGTGTGCAACATAGATGGCACTCAAATAGAAACCAAGTCAGAAATTAAATACCTAGGCGTCATTCTATCTGCTGATCTTTCCTGGTCGTCTCATATCTTGTTGATTTCTAAGAAAATATTCCATCTTACCTTCTACACTTAGAAGTTAAGACATTCTGAAATAAACCAACCCTTACCCCTACGATTCATTAACTCTTGCATCCTGCCTGTTATTCTCTATTGTTCCCCCTTACTTTCTTTCAAGGGCTACTGAAGAAAGACTATACCTTATTACGCAGGATGTTAAAAGTTGTCATCAGGGTAAGCAACGTGCCACTTAACCAGCTTGTTAGTATTATGGTCAACAGGCACTTGGACTCATGCGAAAAATTGGCTAAATCCATTTTATCTAACTCACACCAACCTCTTCATTCAAAACTCTCCCCTTGTATCTCTTCAGGCAGAACCAGAAGCCTACATACAATACTATATGCTCGCACTAGCAAGTACAAAAACTCAACCATACCCTACTTAGCACGTGTTTTGTGCTATAAAGAAAGCATTAGGCGTGAAACTTATAACTTATTAAATAGTCAGTAGAACAATTGGATCTCGTCTTTCCAACTCATACCATTCATTTATAGGTACAACGTTTTTTTGTGTTGTTATGTGCTGGTTTTGTTTCTTTCTTCCTTACAAACTCTATTTAAAACATTCTTCTTCGTTCTTTCACACTCTGTATATCTCGACCATTTTGCTATCGCTTACGCCAGTAAATATGCTAGTAGTATCTACTTTTCTAACACCTTCAAACACTCTGTTCAATTTTGGCTTTGCTACCGACATGCTAATATGTTGTTGTCAAAATTAACTGAGACTACTCATAATCGATGTAGAATTTTATTTATTGATAATGTACTAACTGGATGCGTAATACTGTAGTGAAATGCTGAGAATTACATTCTGTATCACAAGTACTGTTTTGGAATAAAGCAAATTATTATCATTATTATTTGATCCCTAATTTTAATGCTTCTTTTTATGGTTGTGTGAATTTGTTCGAGTGAATCATGGTGATTCTGCCCTTGGACTGTCTGCAGGAATTATTCGTCTGAGTGTGTGTAGTTCTTTCTCACGGAGTTTCGATCTCACCATTTTATTGGGAATAATCCACTTGGTTCTAAGGTACTTTTTACAACTAAATTTTGCTGAACTCATTTTATCCTAAGGTACTTATCCCTTTAGGTAAGAAATCTCTTATCTGTAATAGTTAGCTGCCTAACGGTAGTGTTGGGGTTATTGAGTTTCTGACGATGTTCTTATCATTACTGTTGTTGTTGTCGTCAAATAGAACCACAGATGTTACGGCAAATAACCATAGTTTTGCCATCTTTGAAGCATTTTATGACTATGTCTAACTCAAGAAAGTTATACAGCTATAGAACACAAAGCACGGTTTCCTGCGTGCGGATGACACAACAGGTCGATTTTAGTCGTTACACAATCTTCATAAAAGATGCAGATCTTAATTAATTAGAAGTGGGTTATCCAGAACCGACCTAAAAGTCACATTTATTTCATTCTTGTTAAGATTGATGATAATCTCATCCAAATGTTGAGGTGTTGAAGTAGTAAGTGAAAATTTGCGCCTCCATCAGGGGATCCTATTATTAGTATTATTATTATTGTTTCCTTTAGTTCCTGGAGGAACATAGGGCTTCAGACGCACGTCTCCATTGCGTTCCGTTCCCTGCCAACATTTTCATCACCTGGCTCCACGTTTGACCATATGCTTCCATATCCTCTTCGCATCACCTCCTGCGCCTCAATGTCACCCTCGCACTGAGGAACAACTCGCCGGTTCCCATTCGGGTTCCACTCGACCAATGGCCTGGCGTGTCATGCCACTCAACTGATGGTTTGTTTTCTCAGAGTATGGCCAATCCATTTCCATTCCTTCCTGCATATTTTTGGCACATTTGGTTCCTGCTGGATTGGTTCGTTCATTGCCAGAGATCCCTGTGGTTGATTTTTTCTGGCCAGCAATCTGATCTTGAATGGCATTGCGCGAAGACATCTAACTGTTGATGAAGGTCTATAGTTTGTTTGAAGTGCCCTTCGTAACGCGGCGCCAAGTCTCCCATCCGTATTGTAACGCTGACTTTATATTTGAGCTGAAAATCCGGATTGTATTTTTCACGCTAAGTGTTGATCTCCACGCACACTTGAGAGTAATGAAAGCTTGTCTTGCTTTCCCGATCCCCACTCCGATATCCTCATCACTTCCGTATGTCTGTAGTTGAAATGATGCTTCCAGGGTAGGTAGGTAGGTAGGTAATGGAAGTCGCTTCTTTCAGATTTCTCATTTATGCTGGCTGATTGTTGTCTGTTGTTGTTGCTGTCACTGTGACTGTTGGCCAGGAATCTTCATCACCTACCTCTGCCTTCTCTATTTTCACCTGAAGGAAAACCTATCCTTTCAGGACACTTCTTCTATCACCAACTTGTTGCTTTTCACTTGTATATCTTCACGTTTGTGGGAAATCAGACATATATATCACATCGGCGAAGTTCAGATCCTACAAGTCTCTTTTTGTGCGGGGCCATTTTATGCCTGTTTCCTGGCTGCCAGCCTGTGTCTGTCGCATTATCCAGTCTACCGCCCGCAATCCCGAAAATCATTGGAGACAGTAGGCAGCCAGCTTGTCTTACTCCAATCTTCACTTCGAAGGATTCCGTGAGTGTCCCGTTGTGAATTACTTGGCATACAGCATTGTATGTGAGGAGATTATAGGATACATTACTAGTGTATACTAGAATGGATAAAGCGGTTTTTTGACTGATGATAATCAGTGTCGGAAGATTTTTAGCACTTTATATTCTATTCGAAACTCTTCAGCTGGATACTGATGGTGTTTCCAATGAGACTCGAAATCATCCAACCATCGTCTGTCTTAAAAACATTAAAGCCTTATTCTTCAGGCCTATTCAAACTAGGATAAGAATAAGCATTCAGTGTTTGTCATCTTCAAACCTCAGTATCTTTTACCAAAAACAGAAGGATGTTCACTTCCCCAAGGATTTATAGTTGATAACACTATATGATGAAAAAGCGTTCTTATATTTATACTGACCAAGAAATTTAAATTGGACAGTTCTCATAAAATTCAGTGGATAATTTCTAGCAGTGGAATCTGGCTGCTGCTGTAGTTTGTTCGTGACGCGGTGTGGTGTGGCGTGGCGTGGCGCCAAGTCTCTGATCCATATAGCAATTAGCCCTGACTTCACATATACGTTAAAATCAACCCACTTTCACAACATAAATTATAATTCAATTGAAAAGAAAACAATAATAATAATAATAGTGATCACAGTATAGAAAAATACATTTTTGAAAAAGAGTACCGTAGAGTAATATCATATACTTGAAAGTATAAAAATAAGGAAGATAAGACATCATCTCTCTCACATTCATTCACTCATACATGTATGTACACATGATATCATTATTTAGCTTCATTTATAAATATATCTATCTATATGCCCATCTACCATGAATTTACAGTGTCTATTTGAGAATTCAAGCATTTACTATAACGTGTCCATAACATGGCTAAATCAGCTGACGCAAGCAAGCGTTTACTGTTGACTGGGCAGTTGAAATTATTACACAGCCAAATAGTATCACACAGGATGCCACGATTCACTGTACAATAGGTACAAATTGTTTCTAGCCGATTCAGTTGAGATTGAATATGATTTATCTAGTAGATTGAGAAGGGAAATAAAAGCAAACGAGCATTGAACGACAGTTATTACATAATAGCAAAATGTATAATATAATATAAGAAAATACTTATTCTTGCATTGTAAGTCATTTTGACATCTCGCGTTCTCCGTCGTCTTTCCGGAATATTCTCGCTCATTTGGCCACATGTTCGTAGTCTTATTCAAGTAAATCCTAATCATTGACTTTATGAGATGGCGTGGGCGTTACTCACAAAGCGCTTACAATCAGAATAGTGGACAAGCAGGTCTACGTAGGGGAGAGTCAGGAAACTCTAATCTTAGCATCAAAACTAATCCAATGGCGTGTATGAACGTTGTTTCGGTCAACAGTAACCATGGGAACTTAGCGCCTAACGCTGCATTTCTCCTTTCCGGATCAGAGTTAAAGTCACAGGTTTGGGAGCGGGTTGATCACTTAAGGGGACCATCTGCTTTGATCTCAGCGTCCAAACACTAAGTATCCCAGCCGTCTCTTATTTTTCTTATACAATTAATCCCACTTCTCATTCAGAAAAATCTGATTGGTCGGTTCAGGGTCATTTGACCATGGTGTCTGTTCTGTTTTACTGTTGCCATCATTATGTTTGAAAGGAGTGGCGTTGGTGAGTTTAGACGTAGAATGCTGGCCAACCACATAAATGAGAGGTAGGGGCTCAGATTCTCCACCAACTTACTCTGCAACCAAACCTAGTCGCTAACAGAAAGTCGAGAAAAGAGGAAAGGTTGATGGTCCAGTTGATGAGACTGACAACTCCACAAAGCGTGCTCATGGGGTTAGTGCCTGCCAGCATGCATACCCATATATATCAATGCGGGATGTTGGTCAAAGGCTCCGTCGTAACACTTGTCTGGGGACATAGCCTAGTCTGGTGTAGAACTTCTTGAATCAGTCACCAGGATGGGTTCTGCTCGTACTGGCCAAACCACCCCACTTTATCGAGGTTACTATCAGCTGGTAAACTACTAGGCGGAATTTAGGAGTGTATCGATCAGGAATCCGAACTCGGAGGATCTCCCAGCATGGCTGACGAGCATTTCATACCAATGAACCACCACGACGACCACCACCACCCATGAAATAATATACCCAAATAATTCATAAAAATAACAATAATAAAACCAGATAAAGTAAGAACACATACTGCACATCCAAGTTTGATCACACCAATATTCATTAATTTACTGTTCCCTTGAATACAAGTTCTACAATGTCCAAGCTGATCAGTTGAACTGGTATTTGGCACCAATGATTCACAGCTAGGACATATTTGTGGTATTTGTGCAACAAAAGCACGCATAAGCGCTGAGGGTCGACGACAACGTTTATTATGCTGTAGACCTGTACTGAAATTCATCTGTGATGAAGATGGAGACAGAGTGAATGTTGATGATGGAGAGCCAAGATTTGTAAAACGACCCTGAGAGGCGGAAAATGGTCCTGAGTTTAAAGCATAACGATGATGCTTAAATGCTGAAGAACGCGGAAGATCTGATAACCTAGATTACAGAAAAACAATAAATGAATTGAAGAAGGTTTTTTGAAAAAAGGAAAAATGAGTAAATTTGGAAACCAGAATTTTCAATTACCCCTTACTTACTACTGACTAGACTAAGAGTAGATACTAAGAAACCCTGTTAAAAACCAGTTGTCGAACTTTAACTTAGAGAGTTGGTACCATTTCGTAGTTTCTTTACAACCGTTTTCAATCTGGAAATCCTCATCACTCAGCATCAACAACAAAATTCGGATTTTCAATACAAACAAAGTCAAGTCAGTCAGTTCTTCTATACGGATCAGAAACTTGGCGGGTCAGGAAGATTATTTCCAAAAGGTTGCAGACCTTTATTAACAACTGCCTTCGCTCTATGCTGAAGATCAGATGGCTGGGCAGGAAAGAATCAACAACAAGGAACTATGGGAACAAACAAAACAAGAACCAGTCGCCTAACAAATATACAGGAGAAAGTGGAGATGGATCGGACACTCGCTGAGGAAACCATTGGGTGACATCGCACGTCAAGCCCTCGAGTGGAACCCGAAAGGGAAGCGGCGTGTGGGAAGTCCAAAGGTGATATGGAGGAGATCGTGTGAAGAGGAGTTGAAACAGTATGAACTAACATGGATGCAGGTGAAAAGTACAGCAGAGGACAGAAGCAAACGGAGATGTGCAGTTGAAGCCCTATGTTTCACTAGGAACCCAAGGGAGCAATAATAATAATAATAATAATAATTACAACCGTTTTACAACTAACATGGTTGACAATAATAATAATAAAATGAAATGCATGATGATTACTCATTTATACAAAACGAAAGTACATACTACTAATGACCAATCATATTTAAATAGGTCAAGTGGTCAGTTCTTGGTAGGCAAAGATTGAAGTGTGTTGATTTTTGTACACACAGTTTAGGCTGTATGTGATTAATCCCCAAAAGTGCTTCCATCACCTTCAATAACCCTGAATTAGAGTTATGTGATTAGATAATTGTGAAACAGTCATTATTATTGATTTTGTGACGTGACATTAATAAGTGTCAGCCATCAAACGCACATTCTACGCCACGGCATCTCTTTTTCTCACTTGCCGAACATTTCCGATCCCTGTACCTATGATTAAAGGACGAAATTCTGTGGACACTACTTCAAACTGTATTTACAAGTTCACCTGCAGTTGTTTCGGTAACACCTATATAGGTAGAACCAACAGAATGTTCCAATGTCGTCGAAAAGAACATGTTCCAAAATGGCTATTAAATCATATAGAAAATCCCAACGTGATTAATCTGAATAGAAATCCAGCATCATCCATTGCAAAACACTTATTAATGTCAGGTCACAAAATCAATAATAATGACTGTTTCACAATTATTTCACATAACTCTAATTCAAGGTTATTGAAGGTGATGGAAGCACTTTTGGGGATTAATCACATACAGCCTAAACTGTGTGTACAAAAATCAACACACTTCAATCTTCGCCTACCAAGATCTGACCACTTGACCTATTTAAATATGATTGGTCATTAGTAGTATGTACTTTCGTTTTGTATAAATGAGTAATCATCATGCATTTCATTTTATTATTATTATTATTGTCAACCATGTTAGTTGTAAAGCGGTTGTAAAGAAACTACGAAATGATGCCTTCATCTCGCGAAATTTGTCTTCTAAATGCCTTATTTCAATTTATCAAAGCGACTAATTGTTTTAATCAAACTTAGCACAGAAATGCAGCAGTTCAAGTTACCACACTCCACAGCAATGATTATGAACATTGAACGTCTGCTTATTAGCTTTGATCGCCGATGGCGGGCAACTTGAAGGCGCGAATGATGCTATCGTGTACAATGCATTCCTTTGTAAAAGCATTTCTCGATAGACTTAGTAGAGAATATTGACTCTAACAATAGAAGAATACAATTTCTTGCAATCCATTGTCTTTGGAAATTAAAGAAGTCGATATCTGTGCTTAGCGGTTGTAAATTCGCGGCGTCTTCGGAAATAATAGGATCTCAGGATTTAGTTCCTTGACAGATGTTTTATTCTTCTGTTTGTTCTTCTGGAGTGCCTTCTGGAACTCTTTTGCGGCGTACTTAATTGTTCTGCAGCCAGAACATCTGGACAAGGATTATCATAACGCAGTTTGGATGTTTTGGTGATAGTGAATAATGCCTAGGCCAATGAAGGTATGTGAGTAAAGAAGAATGATGCTCAGGAAGGCTTCGTGTGCTTTTGAAAGTGTGTCGGCGGTTGTTACTCCCCGGCTGCCCACACCCTGGAAGTTGAGCCATTCTTCGGGTACCCAAAAACAGAAAGAGTGTTGCGTGACCACAGAGCCAAGGGACAACTGCTTGAGGCCGGTCACACACGACTTGTATGAACTGGTTTCTGGGATTGGTTCCGTATTGGTAAACTTACCGCCGGTTGTGGACCACCGTAGGCTGGATAAGTCGAGGTGTACAATTTTTGGGGTCGACCTTTTCTGATCCCCTTTCTCCAGCAGAGTGGAGAGACAACATAGCTGGTCGTCTGAGTGAAACACCTTACCGCTGTTGAATCCCTGATCCCCAGTAGTACAATTTCGCCCTCAGACCCCCAGCATAGTGTAATAAAGAAAAAATTCTCACAGTATGCCAGTAACTGCTTTTAGTCTAATTTCTATCCTAACAGCCTTCCTGGCATGGTAGGACCTGCAGGAACATTGGTTCCAGCCAGTGCAGCTTGTTGGGTTATCACGATGTACAAGCCCGACCAACACGTTAAGGTAGCAGCTATCGGTCGGGAGACCAAAGAAGGGATGTGGCAGTTTGGAAGCAGACAGAAGAGTAAGTGATATTGAGTTGCCCAACATTTGTGATTGTGTGTCTTAACGTTTTGCCTGACAGTTTTGATGTTCACATTTCGCCGCCTATTGAGAGTAGGAGTTTCGAGTTACCGAAGTTCGAGCCACAGTACTTTGATGTAAATCTAGCAGATTATCCGCATTTCGCCAGTGAGATAGAAGTTATGCTAAGTGATTTCGTAATAAACAATGAAATGAGGTTGATGACAATCGCAGATCCAGTAGAGAATCACTTTCTAGAACAAAGTGGTGCTGAAACTTTAGGTGTTTAACTTGGAACCCAAAGGGAATAATAATAATAATAACAAGTAATAAGAACTCACCAATTACGAACTCTCCATCCAATCACCTGTGTCATCCTTTCAATAGGTGGTATAAACTGTTTATCAAGATAATAACCATAATTGAGACGTGGTGCCAACAGACGACGTGATGCGCTTGACTTCGCCGTAAACCATATCGATGGATGGATTTCGTGTAAACTTCGAACACATGATAGCAAAGTTTGATCTGAACGACCAGCTGCAATGAAATAGACAACACGTTCACCACGTAATGGTTCACCGCGTGGATCTAGAGACAGGAGACGTCTATGCAGAGAAAAGACAAACAAACCGTGGTTAAATTTGAAACAAATCAAAATCTCTTGAAAAATAACCTGTTGCTCCCTAAACATCGGCTACATGACGAAATTCTTCGGAATTCTAGTGAGAGATCATGACGAATGAGGTTCATCCAGTCAGGAGTACCGACAAATACTCGTCATGGATGACACAGGCTGGTGTCATTCGCGTTAAAATCGCGAAATGATAGAAGCTGGAACTCATGGACCACTGATACAGGTCCCAGTGCCTGAATGGACTACGAGAGGTTTCCTTGTAACTGGAAGGTCTTGGGTTCGAAACCCGGTGGGTACATACTGTGATGAGTTCCAACCTAGGACGAAACAACTGTCTAATACACCCTGCTTGCTTTTTTCAGTGATTGTCAAACTGATATCTATCCATAGTTTTACCGATGAGGAGAGAGGCTATCCATGTTATCAAAAATACAGACAACTTGAAAGCGTCATGATACGAAAACATACATTTTAGCATCGTTCAAGCATCCAAGCGTAGACGTGGTGAACAATAAAACCAGCCGAACATTTGAATTCAATAAAGTCGATTTACACAACAATAACTTCAAACAAGTAACAACTGTTACCCTTTTTCACAGGAGGCAGTTGTCGTGGTTCAATGGACTGAGGGATAGCGACTTGGCATTGCAAACCATAAGTGTTGGACTGGAGTCCCAATAGAAACACCATCAATCGATAGGGATGTAGGTATATCCAGCTAACGAGTTCGAAATAAGACTAAATATTATCTCCGGAATTCCACTGCTAGTCATACTTAATCAAATGAAAACTTACTTCCTAACTTCTTACGCTTTAAAGAAGTACATTACAATAAGCGCGGGAATTGATGTTAGGTGATTTAAAGGCAATCGTCAGCAAGATTCACCTGGACTAGGTTTCGTGGTCTTTGGAGATCTTTTGAAAGGCATATCTACAACCTCGAAAGAGCTGAAATTCACATTACTAGAAAACCGAATATTTCTGTACAAACAGCATTCTATCTTCAGGATTTCAACAGTCTGTAATTCTAATTATATGACTACCAGTGCTTTTCCGTACATTTAAGTATACTACTGAATTCGGTTATCAATAGTCTCAGTAGTAGTTTCTCACATATAAAAACGTTTGGCACTATACTATATAGTATATGGACACAATAATCTGTCAATCATGTCATTGCTATTATTATTGTTTCCTTTAATTCCTATAGGAAGATCCGGCGTCAACCACACGTCTCCATCGCGTTCGGTTCTCCGCCAACGTTTTCATCACCTGGCTCCACGTCTGCCCACATGCTTTCACCTCCTCTTCACATCACCTCCAACATTGACGACCAACTCACCGCTTCCCATTCGGGTTCCACTCGAGAGCCTGGTGTGTGATGTCATTTGATGGTTTTCTTAGAGTATGGTCAATCCCCCTCCATTTGTTCCTACATATTTGTTGCACAATCGGTTCCTGGTAGGTACGCTCATTTCCAGAGATCCCTAGTGCTGGTCATTTCTGGCCGGCCATCCGATCTTGAGTATTGAGCGAAGACAGCTGTTGATGAAGGCATGCAGTTTGTTTGAAGTGCCCTTCGTAACGCAGTGTGGCGCCAAGTCTATGATCTGTACAGTAGCACTGAGTTAATTTTGGAGTCGAAAATCCGGATCTTATTTCTCCTGCTGAGTGCTGTTGACCTCCACACAGACTTGAGAGTAATGAAAGCTTGTCTCGCTTTCCCAATCCTCACTTTGATATCCTCATCAGTTCCATCCGTCTGTAGTTGAAACGATGCTTCCCACGTAGGTAGACAGGTAAAGGAGGTCGCTACTTTCGGATTTCTCCCATTTATGCTGATTATTGTCTGTTGTGGTTGCTGTTGACCAGAAATCGTCATCATCTACCTCTGTTTTCTCTATGTTCACCTGAAGGAAGTCCTACCTTTTCTGGATGATTCTTCTGCCAACTTTTTGTTTTTCACTTGTATATCTTCCATCTCGTGGGAAATCAGACACATATATCATCGGCGAAGTCCAGATCCTCCAAGTATCTTTTTGCGTCGGTCCATTTAATGCCTGTTTCCTCGCTGCCCAACTCTGCCTGTCGCACTATCCAGTCTACTGCTCGCAATCACGAAAATCATTGGGGATAGTAGGCAGTCTTGATGCCTCAATTTCTCACTAAGACGTTTCCGTCTGATACAGAGGTGGAGAAAGTCTACGCTAACGAAGATTGTTCACAAATTCACGAGGGAAACACTAAGAGCATACATATTCATTATAATACTTGGAACAAGTAACTCTTCAAAATATTATGCAATACTCTAACATGACTTCAGCTCATTACAGTCTTCAGACAATACTCTTTACTGGTTCATACTGAGAAACAAAAGTGTTCTAAAGCTGTACCTTATAAATCGTTGTATTAAACATCACACGTTGTGTCCAGATGAAAAGAAACCGTGAAATCAAAATAAGGATCTGTGGATCAGATGGTCAACCATGCAACAAACTAGCCAACAACCTAATTACTAACAATCATGCAGAAGGAAATGCAGATAAATTAGGAAATGCAAGTGAAATCACCTCTCATCACTAGATTTACAAATAGAATCCCGAAAGGGGGGCAATGGGTTGGATGTCTAAAATTGTGACACAGAGAAGACCATGTTAAGAGGAGGGGGCAATTGTGGAGTGTTAGCAGAAAATCAACTGAAATGAAGATATGCACCACTGAGGCGTTGCTAGCCTCACATTCAACCATCCCTACATACCTGGCCTCCTACCGGTCAAGCGAGGCATGTAAGAGTGCGTCACCAAGGTATCGATCAGGGACCAGTTTCGGTATGGTTGGCGGCCATTCTATGATATTGAACCACCGATGTAATCAGACACCACATAATGCCTGAATAAGTAATAATATCAATAATAATGATAAGAATACGAATCATAGAAATTAAACTAACCTAGCCACTTGCAATGCCGGAGAGAATGTTCCCGCTTTGTAAGCTGTCAGTCCCCAATATGGTCTAGTTATTATACACTCATGGAATGGTATTCTCCCGTGAATTAAACGATAGGCGAATTGTTGAATTTTACTCCTCAGATTATATTCAGCTAATTTTAAACTTTTATCTATAGAATGATACCCTGTTGTGTTAAATAGGGATGATTTTGAAATGGATGCAGAAAAATTACGAGCAGTTGTTAGTTAGCAGGGTTGGTTTTTTTTGGCGGGGGGGGGAAATAAAACAGAAGTAACAGAAAGTGAATATTAATGCTAACGGAACTGTAAACACGATAACCACTGCATGGTAGCATAAAGAGAAATTTGCATACGAGAAGCACATTGACAGGAAAAATGATATTGTGGTGAGAGCAGGCCGTGAGAAAATATGAGCAAGGCTGATTCAACAACCAATCACGGCAAAGTTAACGTGGCAAAATATGATTCGCAGATAGAGAACTCTATTTGTCGAGGAATCCCGAAACAACCAATCAGAAGCCTGCGTTTGTCTGCCTAACTTCTGATAAACAACCAATCAGATAACTGCGCTTGTCTACTTGCATAAGCTATAATAATGTATGTGAAATATGTATAAATACGTGTTGATTTTCATAATAAAACGATCTGTTGCCTGGCCCTTGTCTTCTGTTGTTACAATATAAACACATTTGCATAGTTTCGTTCCTCTCCAGTACAAAAGAAATTCTAGTAGGGACCCCCAGCCATAGGGTTACACAGCTATATGCTCAGAAGAAGTAATTGAAGATGAACTAAGCACTATATATATGATATCTTGACTAGAAATAGCTATCCAGACAGATTCATCAAGAAACACATGACAAAGAAGAAGCCTGCCATCATGCATACGATTGTAATTCAAGAACGATATAACTAGCGAAATAATTACGAATAAAGTTAAGAAAATCAGTTCAGAGAACGTTTTAATGCTGGCAAACTACAAGTCATTTTTTCTACACGACCGGTGGTGATTCCTCGACTAGAAGATGAAATACCTAGACTAGCTAGCCACTTCTAATTGTATCCACCATCTATCATCTGAGCTGCTTTTGGTGGAGTGAGTTATATCTGGCATTGCTCTAGAAACTTGATTTTTCGTGCTCTCTCGGGAACATCTGCCAGTATGCTTAAATATTAGATCCAAACCGGGCACAAAGCCGCCAGCATTGAAGAGCTAATCTCTGTCATCTATCAGATACCAAATAAACTGCCAAAAACATCGAGATACCGCATACTCCAAACAGCAGAGACTATCCCGATTCGCGTGAAACAACCGATGTACTGTGTGCAAAAGAAGCAAATCCTGCCAGTTACTACTACTGCCCTGGCCTTCAGTAGACTATAAATTCATGAATTTGTAATATCATCTTTCCTAATTTTTCTGACATTCAGCTTATTTTATGTTGATGCTATTGAGCTGTAATCTCTCAATATTATTGATTCGATGTTGTTTAAACAACAACATTAATGCTGTTCATAACACTAATTCATTCAATATTACAGATGTATATATAACTGTAGAACCTGATGAAGGACAGGTCATCGAAAAGAATATTCTTTAATCAGTAATTCAAAACATTAATAAAATTTTTAAACACCGAATGCATCTGCATCATTGCTAATGACTTTGAACTGCATAAGCAACAGACTCCAGCCATTGGTTCTTAGTATCTCGACGACCACAGCCAGATAGTCTACACTTCCCTACGTGGCTGGCTGGCTGGCTCTAACAAGCAGTTGAAGACTTCATGAATTATTGCTAGGTTTTCATTGAATGATTGCCAACCACTTTTCCAATCCAATCTGTCACTGATGTTTATCACCGGGGTTGTGTGTAGTCTTATATCTTTTGTCCTAACCTTTTCGTATCTATGGACACAGCATGAACACCTTTAATTAATAACATGGCACCAGTCAATGAAATCCACAACAGTTAGTCTAAGCCAGCCACGTAGAAAAGTATAGACTTCCGGGTTGGGGTCCTCGGGACGGTAAAAACAAATGGTTGGAAACAATTGATGATATGGCTCAAAATTGTTCTCAATGGCTGGCGCAGATGCATCCACTCTTTGTGACTTATGATTTCCAATGAAACTGTTTTGTTCTTCGTTACTACTATTCCTTTGTCTCACACCTCTGTTTACTGTCCCTATAATGCATTTCTTCTACTTTCTTCTCTTGCTTTGTTTGCTATATGGAGTGTGGCGACTCGAACTGCAGCACATCGGTGCAAGGTTCTTTGTCGAAAACAGACAGACAGACAATTAATTCAATTTAGATTTTCCCGTCGATTGATTCGACCGAAGTGCTCATTCTCAGGTTGACATATCGTCTCCTTGTGCAGATATATTCCGATGATGTCTGGTCATGTAACTTGAATTCATTTGGTGTTGGATAGTGACTAGTAGCAGAGGAATCCACCAGGATAAAGCACATTTCGTTCTATTTAGGACTTGTTGGTGTCTGGATCTACCTGCATTCCCCCAGTGAGTGATGGTGTTCCCATTGGGGCTGACAAGTCTAAAATAAGACGAAATGCGCATAGAACATCCTTTATATATGGCAAAAATACTTCTTTATTTCATATACACCTACTGCTAGAGAGAGAGAGTGGACACAAGTCGAAACTTCGTATCAATCCCTAAAATCTTTGATAGTTAGTTAGAGTCAGTTATGTAGGTAAGGTGTTAACTGTGTTGGCTTGGGTCCTTGAATCGTTGAAGAAACAATCTCCTAAGATTTTTGATGGCACAGTTTAAAGTTGGTCTCAACGACAACACACACGCATATGCATTCAACTCATTCCTTGTGCGTCGATGCCACAGTGGTTAGGACTCTCGCCGACCATGCACATGGTCCGAGGTTCGATCCCCTGCCGACGCACACCTGATATCTATGATCGGCCTGCAAAATTTGGGCTACCGATATCACATGCTGAAAATTCCATACTTGTGCGAAAAATACAGTGTGGAATCAAGCTGTAAATCAAAAATTAAAAAAAATCACCTTTCCCATGTAATTAGTACTTCTTCAGTACATTTCTGCTAAGTATAGGTGTATTCACCGTTAGACTTTTCCACGTGTGTGTGTGTGTGTGTGTGTGCAAAAAGTACTATACTGAAAATTCAGTCAATCAATCAATCAATCAGTCAGTCAGTTAGTCTTCTACATATTCGTAATTAAAACGATTCAGTTTTGTATGCATAAGTTTCAGTTCATAGTTCGTTGGCTTATTATTTCTCTCCCTTCGCTTACAAATCAAATTAACTAGCTGTGTTACAGGATTTCATCATGAGCTGATATTGGTTAGAGAACCATTGTTAAACTACCTGTGAGTAGTGGACAGCTGTTTCGTAAGCCTAGTTTGGGACTCTTCACTAGTACGTACACACACCAAGGGGTTCGAACCCAGGATCATCTGGTTACAAGGCGAGCTCATAGACAATTAAGCCATTGGATTGGGTCCCCGTGGCTTAATGGCTCTATGAGCTCGCCTTGTGACTAGAAGGTCCAGGATTCGAACCCCGCGATATGGGTGCGTACTGCTGAAGAGTCCTAAACTAGGCTGGCGAAACAACTGTCCAGTACTAGCAGGTGGTTTTCCAATGGATCCCAAACCAATGTCAGCTCATGATGAAATCCTGTAACCAATCTATCAAATCCCTACAAACCAACACTTGAATAACTGACCGTGTATTTTGATTGAACACCAGTAACTAGTGTGACGTATCTAGTCCTTTCTTTAGTGGAGACTGAATTCTATCAGTCAGTTAGGTTTGCAATGTGGCCACCATTCTAGGTAGCTTGCCATCACGGTGCACATTGATTTGATGATTTGTGCATCGTGATGGCGAGCTACCTAGAATGGTGGCCACATTGCAAGCCTAACTGACTGATAGAATTCAGTCTCCACTAAAGAAAGGACTAGATACGTCACACTAGTTACTGGTATCAAATCAAAATACCCACTACAGTCCTACAGGAGGTCAATCGCGAGCCCGAATAGCTAGCTCTGACTACAGGTAGCACTGGATGACACGGGTTCGAATCTCAGAGGGATGGAACATGAGTTCCTTCGAGGTTGTAGATACGCCTTGCTGACTGGTGAGTTCCAACTAGCACGAAACCTAGGTCCAAGGCTTCCTTCCGATTGCTTCCAACTATCTACTAACTGACTGTGTGTTAATAAGCGCAGACTAAAGTGTAAAAGGGCAGTAGGGCAGGATCATTCTAGTTATTGGGAAAGACAAGTAAACTCTTAATATTGATTACAATGAGATAAGTTCAACGAATACGATGTCAATAGACAGTAAGTGAGATAATCATAGGAATACTCTCTAGTCATTGTTGGAGAACTGGATTCGAATTCCTATACCGACAAACTCCTAGACCTTGACTAGTTCACTTATATAGCTAACAGTTAGTCCGGAGAAGAAGGAAAGTTGGGCGAACGTAAGGCTAGTAAAACCATCCCACCCTAACCCACGACCTCAACTCTAAAGCTTATGTTCCAGCAAGAAGGTGAATGTGAATGAATAGGAAATAAAATTTTCACATAAAACATGTGCAAAATAACCTGTAGGCGCATTTGACGAATCCTTGACCTCATCACCATCATTGTTATTCACACATTGTGGAATAGTGAAATGATTGAATAAAAGTTTAAAACATTCTTCAAGTATCTGTAAATTTAATAAAAATTAATAAAAAAAAAAGATCTTCATATCAAGACTAAATAAGATTTTACTGAATGATACTACTAACTAAGTGATTGATTCACTGATATGAGTAGTGCACAATCACTGATGCCAAACCGATTAGTTATATTTGTTCAGTGTCGCTTTTGACTGAAATCAAACAGTGGCTCAATGGTCTACGAGCTCGCCTTGTAACCAGAAGGTCCTGGGTTCGAATCCCGGTGGGTGCGTACTGCTGAGGAGTCCCGAACTAGGACGAAACAGCTATCCAGAACTCCCAGGTTTTCCAGTGGTTCTCTAACTGATGTCAGCTCATGATTAAATCCTCCATGAAATCAAACAGTTGGATTAATTGTGATGGGCTAGATTATGCGTCAGACTGTGCGCTGGGGATAAGGAGTCAGGAATACGCTGGACCACCACCAATAAGAAGATTCTAGAAGATTTGGATTTCACGCATGGATGATTTATGTTTCATGTCATGCAAACTCGAAGATTTGCAGGCAGGCGAAAACCAACAAACTGGTTAAAGAGGCTGGCTTTCAGCGAAGATAAGACTCTGAGTGAACACAGAAGACAGAGGTGATGAAGACAACCAAGCAACAGCAGCAGCAGCAACAACCAGCACCAATCATCATCAACGGGAGAAATTTAACACAGGTTACTTCCTGGCTTCACTTATCTGGCCAGGAAACACGATTTCAACCATATGCCGTTGAAACGGATAAAGATGCCAAAGCAAGCCAGAATCAGAAAGGCAAGATATATACCTTCATCAACTTGAAACCAATTTTGAAATCTTCTGCACTCATTCAGCCAGCCAACCAGCCAGCATAAACAACAAGATTCGGGGTCTACTCAACATAAATGTACAGTCAGTCGGTCACTTTTTCTATACAGGTCAGAAACTTGCACTGTGCATAAGTCACGAAGAGCATTTCCAACAGCCTGTTGTAAACTTTCATCAACAGCTGCCTCCTTCGATTGCTGGCTCCACCCTTTTCTGAAGATCAAATGACCAGCTGGCCAGAAGGAATTACTAACAAGAAACTCTACAGTGGAACAAACAAACAGGCGAGAGCCGATTGCTCAACAAATATGTAGGAGAAAATGGAGACGAATTAATCGGACATACGTTGAAGAGGCTGTCGAATGTCACACACACACACACACACAATGCAAACCATCGCTCGAGTGGAATTCCAATGGGAAGCAACTAGTAGGGAATTAGTCCGAGGATAACATGGCGGAGACCGTGTGAGGAGGAGATAACAGATTATGGGTAATCATGAACCCAGCCAGCTGTAGAGGACAGCAGAAAATAGAACAAAGTGGAGATGTATTGTTGAAGTCCTATGTTTCACTCGGAACCCAAGGGAATAATAATTAATATTACTCTTGATAATACTCCTATGTGCTGTTTCTAAGTCGTTTCAGTCCTGACTGCAGTCGATAACGCCTTGAGTAACTGGAGGAACATCACCCTTGAGGAAATCGAGTTAATTCATCATTTACTGTCCAACGTTTGTCCCAGTATGACGAGAGCACTGTGAAAAAAATTGAATATATAGTTTATGAGTTATGTGTGTTTCACGGTAGCACGTGTTTTGTCCTAATTAGGGAGTTGTTGCCCCCATCCTCAAGGGGTGAAGGTGTTCACGCCACTAAGACACGAATTTAAGTACCAATTTTTACGAGTTGATCATGGATTGACACCAGTTAGAGAGACATTGAAAACCAATTAGGGAGTACTGCACAGTTGTTTCCTCCATCCTAGTTTGGGAATCATCGGCAGTACGCACCCACGACCTTCTGGTTACAAGGCTGGCGAGCTAGCTCGTAGACCTTTACGCCACTGGGACCCGATTTAATGACCAGCCCATTAATTCTAACTTCTACCAATTCGTGATCAACTTGCAAAAATAAATTTAATCCTTACAAACCAACTATTTGAAAATTCAATTTAATGTTACAATTATACATATTACCATATTCCCACATATATTTGGGAATATAATCTATTTTAACAGTCTCATTGCAAATAACTTTTCAAATTCTGATGTCAAGGATTCGATGTCAATCTTTTTAAAACAAACCACCAATGTTGTCAATGTGAATAACAATCATTCTTTCATTATTATATTATTATTATTATGGATGGATATATGACTGTAGAAACTGATTGAAGAAGATCAGGTTATCGAGAAGAATATTCTTTCTTTGTTCAATAAACAACCTTTATTGATGCCTTCTACCTATTACATAATTTATTTTGAACACTTGTCTACAAGCGATTTCACTAACATCCTATTTTTCTGGGTATTTATCATATTACGCAACCCTTGTCAATGCTTAACAATCTTTGCACACACACACAATAACATTAACCACTTTTTATATTTTGTTTGGAGGATTTCATCATCATGAGCAGCTGACATCAGTTAGAGAACCATTGGAAAACCAGCACCGGAGTACTAGAAGGCTGTTTTGTCACCCTAATGTGGGACTCTTCATCAGTACGCACCCACCTCTAGGGTTCGAATCCAGGACCTTCTAATTACAAGGCGACATGGAATTCATGGAATGGCCATTGGATCAACTTCCAGTGGCTTTATGCCCTACGAGCTCGCCTTGTAACCCGAAGGTCCTGAGTGGAACCCCAGTGGGTGCATACTGCTGACGAGCCCCAAACTAGGCTGACAAATCAGTTGCTCAGTACTTCCAACTGGTCTTTCAATGTTTTTCTGATTAATGTCAGCTGCTCATGATGATGAAATCCTCCAAGGAATCAAACAACCACAATCCCTACAAAATCAATACTTGAAAATCTTTACCTATATTTGGCAATCCTAATGTAATCCCACGTACCCACCCACACACGCAAATAATTTCATTGATCGAATGTTGGTGTGTATCAGGTCAATATAAAATTTCTTGTCAAGAGAAACTTAAGTGATAACGAAAAAAAGGGGAGAAAAAAATGATTGTCTGATTGTCACTTACTCTTCCTACAAATGGACAACTATCTTTTCGCACCGTTTCTATTCCTTTAGCATCAAATACAGGCTCTGTTTGATTGAGGCTTTCATAAGCATAACCAACATAACGCTTTTTAGCCTCTAGAAGACAAGGATAATAAATCTGTGGAGAGGTGAAAAAGCAAAACAAACAAAAATGCAAGCGAAAAAAATTTACGATGTAAATTAATCGATCTAAACACGAAACATGCACACACACACACAAGAAATAAATTATGCAATAAAGTGGAGGTTAATTTACACATTTCCATCTATTGATGATATATATTGGACAGAAATATTCATCTGCTTTTATTGGACACTAGTAACTAGCGTGACGATGTGTCTAGTCCTTTCTTTGGTGCAGACTGAATTCTATCAGTCAGTCAGTCAGGTTTCCAATGTGACCACCATTCCAGTAGGTAGATCGCCATCACAGTGCACATTGATTTGATGGCATTAGATGGTTGGAGGCAATCGGCAGGAAGTCTTGTCTGACTTTGGTTTCGTGCTAGTTGACACTCACCAGTCAGTCAGCAAGGCGTATCTGCAACTACAATCCTATAGGAGGTGGTAACGTCTCTGACTGCAGCACTAGGTGACACAGGTTCTAAACTCAGAGAGGTGTGACATGAGTTCCTTCAAGGTGGTGGCAGATACGCCTTGTTGACTGACTGGTGAGTACCAACTAAGCACGAAACCTCCAACTATCTAATATCACATACTCAGTTTCTGTGGAAAAGTCAATACTTCAATGGTGTCTGAAAATTACTTGTATTCTCTGAGCTAGATGGATGGTTGGTATACTTGCAAAGCTTTCATTGCCCTACTAGGCAACATCTTTAGTGCATACACTTCAATTTGATGAAGTGAGCTTTTAGATTTCTCCACGAATTTATTAATAGTCATCTCTTCCGGTGGGCGACTTTGAACATGATATGTTGTTTTTGTATGCCTTCATACCCCCTAGGTTACTTGCATTTGTATTGGTCAGGGAAACAGTCGGTATCGATAATATATATATATATATATATATATATATATATATATATATATGAATGTGGACACACCTACATAGGAAGGACTCATCGACCTCCGCAAGTAAGGGCTTCAGAGCACATTCCTAAATGGCTCCAGATGCAAAAAGAATCCCTAGAACCCATTATCGGTGAGAACAGGAGACCTAGCTTGTCTATTGCGAAAAATACTATACAGATAGGACATAAAATTGACGTTAACAAATCTTTTAAACCTATCTATAAAACGTGTTTGGGGGAGGGTGTTTGCGGAAGCCCTAGCTGGCAATTAGGGAGTTTAAACCATCTTTATGCGTTCAAAAAAACAATTTGTCATCATACTAAACATCTCTTAGTATACTTTGTTTTGATACCAGCCAGGATAGATGTACTATTACTACCCGAAGGCATCCAAAGCTCGCAGACCACTCAGTCACACTGATATCCGATTCAATGGCCACCTCATGAGTTTTAACTCTTTTGAATTCTCAATTTTAGTGTGACTATCAGCCAATGTCAGCCAGTCAGTAGCGAGCATCAGATCAATTTTCATGAGTTTGTATGTAGGGATTTGATTTGTTCCAAGATTTTGATCACGGATTGATATCAGTTGGAGAACTATTGCAAACTAACTTAGAGTACTGGGAATCATCGGCCAGACGCACCCGCCACGAGGATTCGAACCCAAGACCTTTTGCTTACAAGGCAACTTCGTAGACAATTCAGCCACTGGGACCCGATTCAATGGCCAGCCCATGAATTCTAACTTCTACCGATTCGTCAGCTTTTAGTGCGACTGGTACCAACTAATGTCATAGGCGGGAACTCCATCCTCACTCCGGAAAGGATAAATCTCACCGATCACAACTTCTCGCTAAAACTTCAGGTAACTTCTTCCTTTAGCCAGTCACTAGTGAGCATCGCCGAGCATACTTCTGATGAATCCGAAACTAGGCTCACGAAGCAGCTGTCCAATAATTCCTTGGTTGGTTTTCAATGGTTCTCTAACTGATATTAGTCCGTAGTCAAACTTGAAAAACAAATCTAATCCTTACAGACCAACTATTGAAAATTAAACTGAATATCAGATAAATTAAGAAACAAAACACTAATAAAGAATTTATGAATTCATAGATTCCATAATAGGCTAGGGGGTAGCAAAAAACCTCTGGATGCACCTGTTTCTTTCATACTCAAAGCCCCGGTTGTTGTTGTTGTTGTTTTTTGCGAATTTCAATAGCTTCTGCTATTTGGAGTATTCAGTACCGCCTAGTGGCCTTTGACAATATATTCATCATCAGATAGACGATAGCAAAAAGTGTCTCCAATGCTGACTGAGATTGGCTTTATGGTCTGTTTGGACCAGATGCTGATGTGGGGTATCGAACTGTTGGAGGTGTTAATTACTTCTTTGAAATAATAATAAAAGATTTGTAGCTCACTCAGGTGGATGATATTGAACAGTTGTGTTTTCCAAGCTCGTTGGCTTAATTGCGAAGTTTTCGCAGTTCTTCAGAACGACGTCTTCAGTGCAAGTTTTAGCATACAAATGAACTGATTTCAATTATCCATAAGTGATAGAATTGAGTCTTCCCCGGTAACTACCCTTTACATCTGTATTGATCATTTTGATTATTGACATGAATTCTAAACTTTCTCGTCACCTGATTTACTTTTTATTAGCAGTTGATAGATTTGGCCTATGATTAACATGTTTGTTAATCATTGACTGATTTACTTGAGTACCAGGCAGGCTTCTAGGAATTCCCTCATTGAAATTTTAATGTTTTTTGTGTTTAAAATTTCTTCGTTATCTGAATCAAATTGATGTCCAAATTTATCTACATCCAGTGATATGAAACAGGAATATATATCATGTCATTTTACAGCTAATTTGTGTTTCTGGATTCTGATTCGAAGGGGACGCCACCCTTTTCACCGGTGTAATGACTGTAACAGTTCATACAATTCATTTTGTAAATGATATTCATTTTATCGCCATTTTCTGTTGGATGGGTCTTTCGGTCTGCACAATATCAATGAATGAAGTGATTGTGCTGGCTGTCTGACTGGTTTGTGTGCTATATCTATTCCAAACGGTTTTAGCATTCTAGCTGTTATTTCAGAGATATTTTTTTATATATACGGTAGAATGAATTTTCTTGTGGTCCTTGATGTTGGCTTGTTGTGTTGGTGTTGTGATGACTTGAATTTAAACACTTTATAATGAAATTGTGGTGAGGGTATCCATTCTTTTTGAAGACGTTTAGTAGGTATAATTCCTTCATTCTCTTCAACACCGGAGTGATATAGCGCTGTGTTTGAACTCTCACAAAAAATGTCTGAACACAGTTTCTTTTGTATCCAATCGAGTTATTACTATTATAATGGACTAGTTGGTGTGTGAGCGTTGATTTTTTACATACTTGTGTTTCTAAATTTCCCGTGTTAGTTCTCCTGATTAAAAATTCTTCTTAAAATGGTACTCAAGTGAATCACCCTGCGGTCTGTCTGTCTGTCTGTTTTCGACATAGAACTTTGCACAAATGTGCGGAAGTTCAAGTCGCCACATTCCGTGTAGCACGCGAAGCAAGAGAAGAAAGTACAAGAAAAGCATAATAGAAACAGTGAGCAGAGGTTTGAGACAAAGGAGTAATAACGAAGAACATAACAGTTTCATTGGAGATCACAAGTCACAAGGAGTGGATGCATCTGCGCCACTGAGAACGGTTTTGAGCCATGTCACCAATTGTTTCCAACCATAGATTTTTACCGTCCCGAGGACCCCAGCCTGGAAGTCTACACCTTTCTACGCGGCCTAGACCAACTGTTGTGGATTTCATTGACTGGTGAGGCCAAGTTTTTGTTTGACCGCCGCTAGCTTTTTTCCAGCCTGACCCTATATCCGCTAACATTGCTCGTCGAGGGAGGCGATGACTTGGCATACGTAACACATGTCCTAACCATCTCAGTCGATGTAGCTTCACGACTTCGTCGATTGATTTCCCCTGTTTACCTAGAACTCTACGCCTAACCTCAATGTTGCTCACCTTATTATGCCACTTTACACGGGAGATAGAACGCAGGCACCTATGATCGAAGACAGCTAGTCTTTTCATGTCTTCCACTCTCAGTGGCCAGGTCTCACAGCCAGCCATAGAGGAGGACGGAGCGGACTGATGAGCAGTACACCCGCCCTTCGGTCGATAGTCGAACATCTCGTCTACGCCAGAGTCGGCGTAAACTGGAAAATGCGAAACGAGCCCCCTGTATTCGTGCTGAGATTTCGTCAGAGATCAACCCGTTGGCATTGGCTGATGGTACTTCCCAAATAAGTGAAGCGGTCAACGTGCTCTACCACTTCACTTCCTATTTTTAAACTAGGCGTCGATGTAGTCCAGTCCTGTAACATCATCTTGCATTTGGCGGTTGAAAAACATATTTAATATAGACCAAATTTACCAGCTGCTAGTAAAAAGTAAGTCATCATATGACAAGAGAGTTCAAATTTTAAGTTAATCAAAAAAAATGATCAATACAGATGCAGATCGACTGACTACCAACCAGTCGTCACGAAGATGGTAACCAGAAGACACAATTCTATCATTGGTGGATAATTTAAATCAGTTCATTTTATGCTAAAACCTCTGCTGAAGATGTTGTCTAGAAGGGTTAGAGCAACGAAAGCTTCGCAATTAAACCATTAACCACTAGCTCATAGAACACTACCAATTGCAACTACATCCTTTATTTAGCCACACACACACACTGACAGATATTCCCAATCATTAAAAATGACGAGCTTAGAGCGACGGCTTATATAACTTGGTTGCACAACAAAGCACACTTGAATTAACAGTTACACAAAGAAGACATGGCTAGCCTATTTACTTCATCTTTCAGTTTAGAACTATTCGTGCGGAAAACATATCTTCGGAGCAATTTTCATCCTGGTTACTATTTCATTCAGTACATCACCACCTTTGAACCGTCATGGCAACAGGTATATTAGTGACTATAACCCACCTTTTACAGCCTTGGCAATTAATTGGATGGTATCATAAATACTCATTAACCTCGCCTAGATTACTAGCTCGCTAGTTTTCTAGCCGGTCCCAAGCCCGGCAACAACAGCAGCAACATCCAGCGCCAATCGCCATCAACGGGAGGGATTTGAAAGAGGTTACTTCATTCACTCACTTATCTAGGGAGCATTGTCTCAACTACAGACAGTTGGAACGGACGAGGATGTCAAATCGAGCGAGAAGCGGGAAGGCAGGCGAGAAACACATTCGCTCATCAACCTGAAACCAATCTGGAAATCTTCGTCACTCAGCCAGTATCAACAACAAAATTCAGTCGGATTTTCAATACAAACAACGTCAAGTCAGTCAGTTCTTCTATACGGATCAGAAACTTGGCCGGTGGGTCACAAAGAATATTTCCAACAGCCTGTTGCAGACCTTTATCAACCAACAACTGTCTTCGCTCTCTACTGAAGATCAGATGGCCGGGCCGGAAAGAATCACCAACAAGAAACTATGGGAACAAACAAAACAAACAAGAACCAATCGCCCAACAACAACAAATATGCAGGAGAAAGTGTAGATGGATGAATTGGACACTCGCTGAGGAGACCGCTGGGTGACATCACGCGAGCGTCAGGCCATTCCTCGAGTGGAACCCGACAGGGAAGCGGCGAGTGGGACGTCAGTTCAAGGGTGACATGGAGGAGGTCGTGTGAAGAGAGAGGAGTTGAAACAGTATGGACTAACTGACATGGATGCAGGTGAAAAGTACAGCAGAGGACAGAAGCAAATGGAGACGTGAAGTTGAAGCCTTATGTTCCACTAGGAACCCAAAGGAACAATAATAATAAATAGATACTCAATACAATGAAAACAGCTCGAAGCTGGGTGTACTAGCAAAACTTTGTGCCAGGTAAAAGAAAAACAGAATTATTAGAAAGAAGGGATTTAACAAACCTTTTCAAATTTCAGTTTAATCGGTACAGGATTCTTCGATGTGATCACTTCAGCTATTCTATACGAAGCTTCAAATGCTTCCAATTTACCATAACCTTTCAAATGGATAAATAAACTATCTGTATCCCCATAGACAACACGTGGTGTTGGAAGGCCGTTACAACTTTCCGGTAAAGCGATTTGTCCACTGTTAACCAGTTCAATAGCCTGTTCTAATGTTTCTCTTGCTTTGTGTACAATACTATCACCAAGCTGAAAAGAATTTTCAAGAAAATGCGGGGGAAGAATATTTTAAGAAATAAGGAATGAACACCCATCGACGAAGTTACACGTAATAACATATATGGTATTCTTATTTTGATCTGAAAGAGGCATCAGAGCTGCACTGGCTGAAACAAATGTTTAGTGCAGATACCAGCATACTAAGAAAGTCGTTTGGACAATGGTTACCATCCCGGTGTAAGCTGTTCACATTATGCTGGGTGTGTGTGTGTATCGAAAGGAGACGCTGTATTGGTGGTCAATAGAGATGTAACGGCAGTGAATTACTTCACTCTAGGATAAACAGCAAGACAGCTATACTTTCCATCTGCTCTGGGAAACGATTGCGGTAAGAAGAGGTTGACTCCGACAGTGGTAGATCCCAAATTACTTTGTAGTGCTTCAAACTCACTCAGTGGTAAGAACTTCATGCGTTCATAACACCATAAACCACTTCAAACCGGCCATATGTGACCGGCTTCCAGCATTTGTGCCCTGGGGTTTGGACAAAGCAAAGAATGAGTTCTGTTAAAATCTAATTCTAACTTGCAGCAAAAACACAACTCTCAGATACAGTCATTTTAGGAGGCGACTTCAATATTCCAGTAGGGAAAATAGACTGGGTAAAGAATAATGATCTTCAGCAGAGCTTCGTGTTCTTTTGAAAGTGTGTGAGCAGTTGCTGCTTCCCGGCTGCCCACACTGTGGAAGTTGATTGAGTCTTCGGGTACCTGAAACAGAAAGATAGTGTTGTTTGACCGTAGAGCCCAGGGAATAACTGCCTGAGGCTGGTTACGTGTATGAACTGGTTTCTTGGATTGGTTCCGTATTAATAAACTTATCACCCGTTACGGACCACCGTAGGGGATGTAAAATTTCTGAGGTCGACCTTTTCTAACCATCTTTATCCACATTGGAGAGACAACATATTTATACAACTTACAAATTTACACACGTTGTACACGAATCACTTAATCAATTCAAATCATTTGATGCTCACCAGCGATTGACCCTATTCAAGCAGTTAACCTAGGGTTCTAATGGGAAGCAGTAGGGTACAGCAGGTTGAAGATGAGACAGTAACGCATAGAAGAAGAAGACATTATGAAGTCGTCGCATTGTGTTCTGTATTGCCAGAAGTTAGGATTCATAGGCTGGCCACTGGGTCGAGTCCGAGTGGCTTAATAGTCTACGTGCTCACTAGCCTTGCAACCATGAGTCCTGGGTTCGAACCCTGTCAGTGTGGATGCGTACTTCCGAAGAGTCCTAGATTTTCTCTCCTCACTCCTCTTCCTTCTGAGGAGCGGGTGAGACCTGAGCTTCGAAATTTCAGTAGTCGTGCTGTTCTTTTTATTCTGCAGGATGAGGCAGTTAGCATCACGTTCAACCTTTCCTGTTTACCGGGCTTACTTCGGCGTTTAGTAAACTAGGAGAGGTATAGGCATACGTCGGCCGGGTACCGAATTCCAGACTATATGTATGGCTCGGGAGCATTCTACCCGCGCTAAATCCGAATAACAGAGAATTGATAAGATTTATTGACGAGGATTATAAGAAAAGCGCCTCTAAATGTACACTATGCTAACTATGTTTACAGTCAAGATTACACCATAAATCAAAGCAGTTCCGATTTTCTCTCAGTCATACACGCATAAACAAAGAGGAACAGAAACAATGGTTTTTCAACAGAAAAACTGAAAACTCACGTCTACACACGGCATACGACCAGAGAAACTAGCAGCTGTATAACCAAAGGTCACATTGGCCATTAATTTTAAACCCAACTGACGTGCATCCAGTAGTCTATTCAAGCACTATTAATAAGTCATAAAAAGGATTATGTGTGATGAAAGTTAAAGAGAGAGAAAGAGAGATACAATATTGATTTAGTGGTTGCTTAATTACCACTATTATTATTATTAATATTATTATTATTATTATTATTTAGACAAAAACTTAATACAAGATAAGCATCCACGGAAGCACCATACAAAATCTCATAGTGTGTGCGACGGCTGTGATATAGACCAGACACTCCCAACAATGAAGTCGCCTCTCTTAATCCTTTAACTCTAAGTTTGATCCCCAAGATGGTGGACAGGCGTCAGAAGCTGACAATGACCAAAATAGGTTCATATAACATTTAATCCCTTTGTCTTCTGGAGCTTATGTATAGGATAGATTTGGAATCGTGGTTTTCCAACTTCTCCAGGTGGACTAGCACGTCCATCAGTCCGGTCTCAAGAGCTAGATGTTTTCATTTATCTTATGACTTTTTTCTGGAGAACATCTCTACTGTGTGAATGGATGTGTCAGAACAACTGATCTGGAAATCTCTCCATAACAATTTATTAACAATTCTGAAACTTGAATAAAGCGAGAACAACATTGGTTTGTGCAGAATAAAATGGTACCATCATTGATTATTTCGTTGGCTTCTCATCAGCTGCTTACAGTCCAAAGTCATTATTAAGTATACCTACGGTTACCCTCAGAGGTTCATCATCAAAAAGTACGGAAGTTATGGAGGCTCAAATATCAAACAAATCACAGTGGGGAAAAAATCTGTCTTCATTCAAGTCCACTTTAAAGGTGGAAATATCAAAGCAATTGTCAATTGTCCAAAAATCTAGGTGGACAGGTGTTGATTCATTCCTATTATACGTGTTGGTTTTCAGCTGATTCGATACACCAAGGCTTCTGTTATCAATCTCTCCCTCCCTCCAACCTGTGACATTAGATTTTTTTAGAACAGTCATCCTGTCCCATCCTATTGTATCGTGGTGTGCAACTGCATCTAGTGAGTCGTATAGTTGAACTATTCTCCAGATTTCTCATCTTATTTGGGTTAAGTAATCTAGATTTTGCTAAGTTTTTAAGATCGGCTAGTCTGACTGACTGCCCCTGTCCTACTAGTTTGACCTATGTATTTGACCTGACAATCATTGCAGGTAGGGTATTAGATAAACTAAATTGTTTTGATTTAAAGGCTTTACAGGATTGATCCTTTAACCGGCAAAGCTTGATTCTAATTGAGTTTATGGGGGGGGGTTCGAACGGTAGCCACTTTTATTCCTGCCTGCCTTGTTAAAAATTCTGAAAACTATCAGAAAGTTAGTAGAAGAAGAGTCAAACAGCGGAGACATGACTTTAGGTGAACATAGGAGGAAGAAAGCGCGTGATGAAGGTATCCAAAGAGCAACAACGACAAGCAGTAATCACCATGCAGTAATAATGGCATTGCTCTCAGCACTCCTCACACACACACACACACATTCAACGTATACGATAAAAATTAATATTTATTTACCTTATCTGATTTGTAGAGTTTAATTGAATCTTTTACCATTAGACGTGTTGTCAGAAGTTGTTTCAACATACTGGAAAATATATGAAATAGAATTTCAATGAAAAGAAAGTAAGAAACATTACATCAATAGAGCTTTTTTTAAAAAAAAATTTAGTAACACCAGAAATATAACTCTGGCGGGCAGCAGAGAATTAGTCAACAAATAATAGAGATGGAATGGACATCGGTAGCTGAGGAGATCAAGCAAAGAGAAGCCGAGCCATCGAGTGGATGGATCCTGAGGATACAAAGGTGACATGATTAAGATTATTTGAAGAGGGGACTAAGGTTTTCACGAAATTGTGGGATCTTTTTAAAAGAATGATTACTGAACAAAGAATATTTTTTTTCGATAACCTGCTCTTCATCATGTTCTATAGTTATATGCACCTATAATAGTGAATGAATTAGTGTTATTAACAAGATTAATGTTGTTCAAATAACATCCAAAGCCTCAGGATGGTCGGGGGTGGGTGTCTTGCGCTGCGGGTTGGCCACCCCTCCGTACACCTCTTGAAATGCTCCCATATGACCGGGCGTCTTACATAGCCTCTCCTGAGGAAGTCCTACTCACTGCCTTCACGTGGCGGAGGTGTTTTTCACCGAAGTGAGAGGGCAAAAGCGGATACCCGGCGCTCTTCACCGGGTTGACTGTCCATTGGATGACAGTCTAGGGGAGATGGCTAAACTCTGATTCCAAACCTGGCGTATGAAGCTCACCGGAGCTCAACGGCAGACGTATGGGCAAAGGGCTTATTGGATTCCCTGGATGACTGGCCCCATTCAAAAAGGCGAATGAACCGGACTCCGGTCACCGGCTGCCAATGGATAGTGGACTCCCTACTCCACTCCTACTGCCTTGTAGGTCACACTTAGTTGTGTAAAGGCTAGAGCTGCACTCTCAAAGAAAAGGCCGAGCGATGCTGGGGACATTACTCGTACCCGATTCCCATGAAACTTCATGGTTCATGAAGCCGGTTCATCCTCCCGTAGGAGATATCCGAAGTAAAGTAAGTAAGTAACATCGAATGAATAATAATAGCGATATCAACGGATTACAGATCGACTCTATCAGCATAAAAGTACACCGAGTATCAGGAAAATTAGGAAAGATAATAATAAAAATTCATGAATTTATAGTCTCTACTGAAGGCTGGCCAGGACAGTAGTAGTAGTGCCTGGCTGAACTTGCTTCTTCTGTACACAGAGCACTGGTTGTTTCACGCATATCGCAGTAGCCTCCGCTGTTTGGAGTATGCGCTACCTGGATGTTTTTTGGCAATTTATTTGGAACCCCTTAGATGTTAAAAGAAGGATCCTTCAATACTAGCTCTGTGGCCACCGGTTTGAAACTTGATAGTTTTTACTTCACCTTTACTCAGCCACAACACTGGTAGGTGTTTATGAGTGATCACGAAAAATCAAGTTCCTAGAGAAACGGCCAGTATAACTCACTCCACCAAAAGCTGCGCAGATGATACAATGCGCGTAGATACAATTTGAAGTGGCTAGCTAGTCTAGGTACTTCATCTTTCAATCGTGGAATCATTATGGGTCGTATAGAAAATAAGTCTTTTAGTTTGCCAGAATTTAAAGTTCTTTGAACTGATTTTCTTAACTTCTTCGTAATTATTTCGCTAGGTATATCATCCTTGAACTGCAGTCGTGTGTATAAAGGCTTCTTGTTTACAAATGGAGAATAGTCCTTTTCTGGATATTTATTTTTGATTTGGATGTCCGTAGTTCAACACCTTCAATTACCTCTTCTGAACATATAGCTCCAACAGTGTGTCTGAGGGTCTTTACTAAATTTCTTTTGTACTGGAGAGCAACAGAGCTATGGCAATGTGTATATATTGTCCTGTCCACTTACTTTTCCTATGCAAATTTCTGTTTATGCTACCATCTTGTTTTCTTGTAAGAAGGACATCTACGAAGACAATTCTATTTTGGGATTCCTCTTCGCACGTAAATTTCATAGCAGAATGTACTTCATTGAATTGAGTTGTTATTATTATACTCCTATTTGAATCATTATCACAAATAATTAGGGTGTCATCCATATGCCGTCAATAAAATGAAAGCTTTCTGATAAAGTTGTTCAGAACTCCATTTTCTAGTTTGCTTAGAAAGAAATCAGTGAAAATGGGACCCAATGGGAAGTCCATCGCCACCCCGTCAACTTGTCTGTAGACTGTGCCGTCAAATTTGAAATTTACATTTATGGTACACATTAATAACAATTCTCACCTTATTATGCCACTTTACACGGGAAATAGAACGCAGGCACCTATGATCAAAGACAGCTAATCTTTTCATGTCTTCCACTCTCAGTGGCCAGGTCTCACAACCATAAAGGAGGACGGAGCGGACTGATGAGCAGTACACCCGCCCTTTGGTCGATAGTCGAACATCTCGTCTACGCCAGAGTCGGCGTAAACTGGCAAATGCGGAACGAGCCCCCTGTATTCGTGCTGAGATTTCGTCAGCCAGTTTATGTACTTGAGAGGTAGGCCATAAGATCTTGGTGTGAACGTGCACACTGGCCTTGTGGAATCAGCTGAAAGTGATGGCATCACTCGAATTTAAACCAGTGCTTTCAGGGTTCATATATCCCAATCTGTCTTCCTCAGTCGGAGTAAGTGAATAGTATCAACAACAGACAATATTCAGCATAAGTGGGAGGAACCTGAAACAAACAACCTCCTTCACCTACCTACCCCACCTGGGAAGTATCGTTTCAACTAAAGGCGGACGAAACTGATGAGGATATCATGGTGAGAATCGGAAAAGCAAGACTAGCTTTCATTACTCTTAAGTCTGTGTGGAGGTCAACAGCACTCAACACTCAGAATGAAAAATAAGATCCGGATTTTCAACTCCAATGTGAACTGAGTGCTCCTTTACGGATCATAGACTTGGCATAGTATCAAGAAGGGCACTCCGAAGAAACTACACATGTTTATGAACAGCTAGCTGTCTTCGCTCAATACTGCTCAAGCTCAGATGGCCAACCAGAAAAGATAGGCAACAGGTAGGTAGGTATCTCTGGCGATGAACGAACCAACCCAACCCAGAAGAAACCAATTGTGCAACAAATATGTAGGAAGAAATAGAGGTAGATTGACTGGCCACACTCTGAGAAAACTATCAAGTGACATCACTAGACAAGCCACCGCTCGAGTGGAACCCGAAAGAGAGTTGCTCCTCCAAGGGTGACTTGGAGGTGGCCATATGAAAAGGAGATGAAAGCATATGGGGAGACGTGAAGCCAGGTGAAAACATTGGCAGAAAACCGAACGCAATGGAGACTTGGGCGGCATAACCCTTACCCTAGGTTTCCCTAGGAATTAAAGGAAATAATAATAACAAAATAAGCTTAGTTGGTACATGAAAGACGTGTTCCAGATAACTGAGTGGTTGTCATAACAAATAAGGAACACTGAAGAAGCTTGACTATAGCGCTGTTATACAATAGACAATTATTATATATTACACTCACCGTGGTAGAATACCTTCTCTGATTGATTTTTTTACAAATACAATACCACTTGGAGAGATATTGACTTCTTGACCAATTTTCTACATGTATACACACACACGAAATGCGAAAAAAAAGAATCCCAAAAAGGACTGAGATTATTATGATATAAGTATAAAACTTGGGCAATGTGGAAGTAGAGTATAACTCCATCAGAGACAAGATTTTATATTGATAAATCACACAGTGTTACACAGTAATATTAACTGATGACTATGTTTCGAGCACAAACTATTACTGCTCATAATCAGTGGACGACACCTTCACAAAATTAGAAACAGAACACATATATCTAGCTTCTTGGCGCATATAAACTCACAAGCAGAGAGAATAAAATTCACATTTGAATCGGAAAGTGAACAAGGAGAATTAGCCACCTGTGATGTTAGATTGTAAAATAAAACGAACACACACTACCGTTTATAAAAACTCAACACATTCAGCTAGTAGATATTTAGACTTTAATTCATCTCATCCGTTAACTGTTAAGGCTGGCTTAGTTAAGTGTTTAACAAACAGAGCAGTAGCACTAAGTAGCACAAGAAAAGACCTAAATGATGAATTGAAACAGATAGAAGAAGCGTTGGTGTTGAATAACTATCCTATAAAATTCATTAGGAATATCAAAAAAGGTCAAAAACAAAATAAAAATAATGGGGAAACTAGTAATGATAAAATAAATAAGAAAGAATATATGGCATATACAGAGGTTTTACCACATAAGGAGGGGACACCTGACACTCTGTCTAGGATTGTCAATAAAGCAGTAATTTAGAAAACAGAAAGATTGAGCAGCGAAGAAATATTTACTTTTCAATTAGATCCTCATCTCACTCTGGCTCTACTCTAATATCCACTTATAGCACTTTTTATTACAATACACAACAGTTTACCAATCAGGTAGTGGCACTGATGTGTTTGTTAACAATAATTAGTCAGTGTCAACATGTCAATGCGACGGGTGATAATTAACGAAGAAAATTAATGAATACACACAATTAAAAGGTAGAAATGGCTAGAATAAATTAATTTTACAAGGATAACACGGAATTAAAGATAAAGTGGTTAAAATAAATACAAACTAATAAAAAATAAAATAATTTGGGGCGACGTAGTCCTGGTTTACGCATTCTTGTGACGATGGCCACGGTAGGGAAAGTGGCTGTAAAAATGTCTTCTAAAGACACAGGTTTGGCTTGTTTGAGTGAATACTGCATTTAATAAAATTATTTATAGCATTCCTAATCATCTTATTTTTGCTCTACGAGTTTGTCTTCTACAGACAACGGCTGAAGCAATCGGAATTCACCTGAAGAACAAGCCAAACCTGTGTGTTCAGAAGACATTTTTACAGCCACTTTCCCTACAGTGGCCATCGTCACAAGAATGCATAAACAGGAATACGTCGCATCAATCCATGAAATCCTTGACAGTTAATCTGAGTCAGGTAGGGAGATGCAGACTCCCGGGTTGGGGCCCTCGAGACTCTAGGAATCAATGGCTGGAGACAATAGGTGTGACATGGCTCAAAATCGTTGTCAATGGCCAGCGCAGATGTATTCAGTCTCTGTAGTCTTTCATATTCCTTTCTACCATTACCCATTCTGTTTCACTCTTATACTTGTCAGACTGTATTGATTCTCTTCACTCATCTTCTTGTCTACCTTTGTGTGCTATTTGGAACGTGGTAACTCAAACTGGTGCACTTTGGTGCCAAGTTCTATGTTGAATCCAGACAGACAGACTACGTCGCCCCAAATTATTTTATTTCTTACTAGTTTTTATTTATTTTGACCACTTCATCTTTAATTCCGTGTTATCCTTGTAAAATTAATTTATTTTATTCTAACCATTTCTACCTTTTAATCGTGTGTATTCATTAATTTTCTTCGTTAGTTATCACCCGTCGCATTGACATTTTGACACTGACTAATTAATTATTGTTAAGAAACATATCAATGTTACTTGATTTGTAAATTGTTGTGCATTGTAATAAAAATGCTATAGATGTATATTAGAGTAGAGCCAGAGTGACATGGGGATCTAATTGAAAAGTAAATATTTCTTCGCTCATTCTTTCTGTTTTCTAAATATCTAAATGGGGATGTTTTTTCTATATTGAAAGCAGGAATTAGAGTGGCATTTAAACCTACAAACTCACATCTAGATTTTTGCGTCGAGGAAAGCGATGCCTAGACATGCGTAACAAATGCACCATTGATATGCTCGGTACCGAACAAAGGATAGTGGAAGTCCGATGTGCTTAGATCCCACACCACTCATATCAATCAATTAATCAATCAGTAGTGAGTAGCATCAAAGGTGAAGTATATCAATTAACCACTACAAAGTGTATCTACGACTATCTATCATTCAATGCATTGAAGGAAATCAGATTAACTCTTCATAATAACTCACCTGTATTAGACCAGAAGGAAGAAAATGTGTTAAACATCCAAGATTGAATACAGAGCTATCACTTTAGAAAAGAAAAGACAATAGAAAAACGGAATAAATATTTAAATTCCTTTACAGTTGTATATTTAAGAAAATAAGAAGAATGGGTAGCATATTTATTAACACCAGCAAGGAAGTTATATGTTAGCGACTTATATAAAAAAGATCCATTCATATTACATAATAGTGTAGTACGGTGAGATACTGTAGGGAGGTCTAAATTTATTATTTCTACACGCTGTAAATAAGAGAATAATTAGTGCCATCTATAGAATAATTCATAAGGTGTATAGATTTTGGAAACCGGTGAATAATTATAGGATTAGCAGGCTTATATAAAAGGTCGTTACATAACATGGTGTAAAACTGAATAAGACATAATTCATTATTGTAAAAAGAAACATAAAAGATAAACAGTCTAAACTGGTCGCTGAATCAGTTCCAAATAAAGCCTTATTCATGAACTTGGAATTCAAAGGTGATCAAGCTTTAGATATGCTTAAAATCCGCCTCTCTCTCTCTCTCTCTAAAGCAGTCAGTAAAACGTTCTTTGAAGCAAAATCACAAATGACGTTCACCAGCCGCAATTTGTGCTCTCTACCTCCGTAAAAGATAAGCTCCCCAGTCTGGCCGCCTCCATGTTCACCTGCTCTTAAGGAGCAAGATAAATTGGCCGTAGGCAGGGGGCACCTCCCACACGGATACAAGAACATATTCCAGCTGCATGCATGGTTTTCCAAGGGGGAAAGGAAGCGTGTGCGATCGACTACGCTCACTCTACTAACCTTGACCATGATTTTAAGATCATCGTCTATCAAATCCATGTTAACCTGCTGTGTTTTCTTCCTCTTAAACTTCTAAAGACAGAGAAGGCCTTCGTCATTCATGAATATAAGCCGGACTTTTGTTTACAAGAAACTATGTACAATCCCTACCTCTGCCTTGGCCGTCGAGGGATAGACATTTATTTATTTTGTTTATTTAGTTATTCTATGTACCTTTCCCTCAATACTACGATTATTATTATTATTACTATTTCAAGTATTGAATTTGTAGGGATTTAGTTTGATTGGATGGAGGATTTCATCATGAGCTGACATCAGTTAAAGAACCAGAGGAAAACCACCTGGTTCGTCAGCCTAGTTTGGGACTCTTCATCAGTGCACACCCACTGGGGTTCGAACCAAGGACCTTATGGTTACAAGGCCAGCGAGCTCGTAGACCATTAAGTCACTGGGCCTCGATCCAATGGCCAGCCAGCCCACGAATTCCAACTTATGCTAATTCACGACGTAGAGAGACCATTTCGCAGTGTCTTCTTCGATGAATTACTGCTCTCACCTTCAAACTTCTGTATCCTACTGGTCACAGCTTCCCACTAGAACTTCAAGTCACTGCCTGAATAGGACCAGTCACTAGTGAGCTCGTCAGCTAATGATGAAATCCTCCATGCAATCAAACAAAAAATCCCTACAAAACCAATACTTGAAAATTAATCTGATGCTCACTAGCGACTGGCCCTATTCAAACAGGTATCTGGGGTTCTAGTGGGAAGCTGTGACGAGTAGGGTACAGCAGGTTGAAGATGAGGTAGCAACTCATAATGGAAAAAGAGATTGCGAAGTGGTCGCGCTATGTCGTGAATTGGTAAAAGTTAGAATTCATGGACTGAGTAGCCATTGGATCGGGTTCCAGTGACTCAATGGTCTACGAGCTCGCCTTGTAACTAGAAGGTCCTGGGTTCGAGTCCCAAACTGGGCTGACGAAAAAACTGTCGAGTACTCCCAGGTGGTTTCCCATTGGTTCTCTAACTGATGTCAGCTCATGATGAAATCCTCCATCCAATTGTTATTACTGTTTTCACTCTGAATTGTTTCCGCTTGTCATTTTCAATCTAGATTTTTTTACAATATTGAATTCTATCTTATCAAATTTCACGCCATGTTTTGTAACGTTTTATATTCGCCTACTGTGCGTCGGTGGCACAGTGGTTAGGACTCTCGCCGACAATGCACATGGTCCGGGGTTCGAGCCCGCACCGACGCACATCTGACATCTATGGTCGGCCTGCAAAATTTGGGCTACCGATATCCATGCTGAAAATTCCATACTTGTACCGAAAATACGGTGTGGAATCAAGCTGTAATCAAAAAAAAAATTATACACCCCTTTCTAACATCTATACACCTTATGTATTATTCTATATATGACAATGACTGTTTTGCTACTTGACATTGAACGATGATTATAATAATCACAAACATTTTAATTTTAATTGCATTTCATACTACTATTATTATCATTTCATGTTTTCACACCTTTGACCGAAGTCCCTCACCTGATATAAATTCTTAAAAACGGCTGTACAGCTTGATAATAAATTCTTTGAAAAGAGTTCTCTCTTAGCTGAATATATTGTGATCTTAACGCCAAAATGGGAATTATTAAATTAATGAATAATCGACGCTGAAAATGCTATATAAGACTAAATATAATATTATACACAGTATGATACATACTACTAATTGGTTGATTTGAGTAGTTGTATAACACTAATATCTCACCAGTGATTCCTGCTGGAGACAAATCAATATGATCTTAAACACAGGACAGCCGTTACGACTGTTTGGAGGATAGGTTATCATTGGTGACAGGTGTATTCTGCCAGGAACGACTTGTGAAGGGGCTAAAACCAAGGTAGAATAAGACACTGGACAAACACTTTTCCGCATATTAAGTTCGGGGTTGTATTGACGAATTGCCAACGCCTCTGCCAAACACAAATGCCGAAACCTGATGCTTCCTTTGTATCATTTGGCCTCACCTTGAAGTTAGTCATGAAAGACGACTCTGGTGGAGTGGCATGACTTGAGTTCATCGACTGCTGGAGAATTATGAAATACTTTACTATTTTTCTTACTATATTCTTCTGCATACCCAGTGGAACATAGGGCTTCAAGCTTGAGCTTTGAAGTGTCACTAACTGTGGTGTTCTTCTTCTCTTAAGAGGTTGGGTTGTCAGCATCACGCTAATCCAACCTTCACTCTCTTTAAACCGGTCTTACTACTACCGGCAAGGCTAATTGAGGTTAAAGAGTGTGTCGATCAAGAGTCGAACCCCCGACGATTTGTATCGTGGCTGGTTAGTGTCCTACCATTAGAATAATAGAAATAATGATAACAGCAGCAGAAGCAGGAGAACTTACCCTTGTAGGAGACATGATATATGCCCAAGAATTGTAGAATAACAATAATTATATGCAATAATAATAGATGGATATAAAGACTGAAAGTCAAGCACAGCAACAGGACCATCAATGAATAGTAAACTTTCTGGTTCTAGATTTAACGGAATAGCTTCAGGAGCACGTTGATGTGCACGTTGTGTTACAGTTGGACTTGGCAGTAGAAAATTGAATTGTTTGGCTATTCGACACAGGAGAGACTCCACACGATACTGTAAGAAGATGACAAAAAAAGCAACGTTTGTGTACATGTATCTGTAAATATAGTAATTCATTGTAAACAGGTGTTATGACGGCAACCACAGTCTTAATCGCACGTCAACAGCAACAAAAACACAACAACAATAGCGCCCACTAGCAAAGATAGAAGAGAAGACTGGACGTTGGTAAGAGAGCTTTCCACTGTCTCACAACAACAGTCCAGAAAAAGGTTGACAGCACTTGCCTAAATATGTATATAAAAATTTAACTGGTGGATGGTGACTAGTAGTAGTGGAATCTAGGATAAAGCACATTTTGTCCTATTTGGGAATCGTTGGTGGCTGGATGTACCTGCCACCGAGGCTCGAGCCCAGTGCCCATAGTTTCAAACATCAAAGCATTATCCACTAAACCATTAGGGCCACGAGAGCCACTGACACTCGTGCAAGGGGTCATATGAACTATTTAATTCAATTTTAGATTTTCCCGTTAACTGATTGGACCAAAGTGCTCAGTATCAGGTTGACATGTCTGTCGGCTTCTTGTGCAGATGCTTCGGCGATGTCTCAGCATGTAGTTGGAATTTAATTGCACAAGAGGTGGCTCTCGTGGCCCAAATGGTCTAGTAGAGATAACGCTTTGACGTTTGAAACTATGGACACTGGGTTCGAGACTCGGTAGGAACACCATCATTCAGTGCGGAATGCAGGTGCATCCAGTTGACGAGTCTCAAATAGGACGAAATACACATGCTGGATTCCACTGCTAGCCACCATCCACCAGTTAAATTCTAACTACATACCCAGATATCGTCGAAGCATCTGCACAAGAAGCCGATATGTCAATCTGAGACCGAGCACTTCGGTACAATCAATCGACTGGAAAATCTAAAATAAATGAAGTACATACGTACATGTTTAGAATGACCTCAAGAAGCACTAATGTCACTGACAAACAAAGATAGTGAACAACCAATAGGACTTCAAAGGTCACCCTATTGGGTAGATAATTAGGTCGATATATCAACAGGTTAAAAATGATTGGCTGAAAGTGAGTTTCAATTTAAGAGTTTGCACAGAAATGTATGTAGCAGTTCAAGCTGCCACACTCTACATATAATACACAAGGTTCGGGAAAAAAGGAAGAAATTTAGAAAAGGACTACCGACTTCGCTCCTTAGTGAAGATTAGATGGCCGGTGAGAGAAAGGATAAGCAATAAGGAACACGGCTGAACAAATATGCAGAGGAAAATCGAGATGGATTGGATATAGTACTGAGGAGAGACTGTTGAGTAATACCATCAGGCTGAACCAAAATGGAAAAAGATAAGTTAGACATCACTTCAAGGGTTGAATGAAGAAGATCTTGTCAGGAGGATGTAAAGGCTTTTGAGCATTTGTGGAGTCAGATGAAGAAGACAGCAGAAAACAGGAGTCAGACGGAGCTCTCCGCCTAGTGCTAATGAAGCTCTATGCTCCAATCATAAATCAAGGAAATAATAATAATGAGTGGAAATATAGAGGAGAAAGAGGAATTACATGACAGAAAAAACATAAGGACTTAATGGATCTGGAAAATTACAAAGAATGCAGGCATCTACTCCACCGACATCGACTTCCAAAAGGCTTTCGACAGCTCAGCGCTAACCGAGAAGTAATTTGGGAACTGCCTCAACACTACGGTATGCAGTGGCCAAGTCTTTGTCAACCGTCAATCAAAAGCTGGCTCTATATGACAATGCCACGTGTCAGTCAGGTGATCCATAACGGAAAACTCAGTGGGGTAATCGAAGTGAATACAGAAGTAAAACAAGGGTGGCTGGCTGCCTATTGACATTGAAGATATTCATAGTGGTTATGCGTCAGACTGTTGGGAACGAGGAGACAGGAGTTCACTGACCACCGATGAGGAGATCTGGATTTCGCGTGTGGATGGTATATGTATAATGTCTGTCTGTTTTCGACATAGAAATTTACACCGATGTGCGGCACTTCAAGTGGCCAAACTCCCTCCATGTAGCACACAAAGCAACAGAAGAAAGTAGAAGAAATGCATTATACTGACAGTAGACAGAGGTGTGAGGCAAAGGAGTAGTAATAACGAAGAACAATACAGTTTCATTGGAGATTGTAAGTCACAAGGAGTGAAAGCATCTGCACCAGCCATTGAGAACAATTTTGAGCCACGTCACCAATTGTTTCAAACCATTGCTTTTTACCGTCCCGAGGACCCCAACCAGTTAGGAAGTCTACACCTTCCTACGTGACAGGCTGGCTTAAACTAACTGTCGCGGATTTCATGCACACATGAGGTGGTGTTTTGGTCTGACCGCCACTAGCTAGCTCTTTTCCAGCCTGACCCTATTTTAGCTAACATTGCCTGTCTGTTGAGGAAGGCGATGACTAGACGGGTATGCGTAACACATCTCCTAACCATCTCAGTCGACATAACTTCACAACCTCGTCGATTGATATCCCCTCCCACCTAGCTAGCACTCGACTGATGCCTAACCTTAATATTGCTCACCTTATTATACCACTTCACAACGGAGATAGAGGACAGGAACCTATGATCACACAAACTGGAAGAGCTGCAAGCGAAAACCAAAAAACTGACAGAAGAGGCTGGCAGTGAAAACACGACTGCAGGTGAACACAAAGAGAAGACGGAGGTGATGAAGACAACCAACCAACCAACAGTAACAGCGACAATAACCATCTACATCAACAGAAGAAAGAGATTTGGCAGAAGCTACCCTCCTGATTGTTCAATATATATATATATATATATGGGTAAAAATGGAAAGGGATCCGGTATACATTGAGGAAACCGTGCACATCCAATGTCAGCTGATGATGAAATCCTGTAACCAAATGTTAAACCGTAATGCCAAACACTAGAGAATCAGAGTGTGTCGACAATCACTGCTAGACAACTCACTATAAAAAAAAAAATCATATGCTTGAACTTCGATTCTCAGTACAAACCTTTCATGTAACAGGAAATTAACTATACTCATTGTGTGGCTGGCTTAGGATGAAATAAATATAGCAAGCTACGAATCTTTGACCTACTGACTGAAACGTCGGATGCTGAAGCCAATGGAGCCACACCTCCACACTATAAACACACACACCTTAACAGTGTGAATTTATCAATGTTAAGAAAAAAAAGTACAAACAGTGCATCGGTGGCACAGCGGTTGGGACGCTCGTCGACCATGCACATGGTCCAGGGTTCGATCCCCGGCCAACACACAAGCTCTTCTTTACCTCGATAAGCTAGTAATAGGGCTGGTAAAGAGGGAAGACTGGGTATGAGGCTGGCTAGCACAACCCCATCCTGTAAAAATAAACACCACTGCTACAGAAACTTCAAGTCTCTAGCTTGAAGCAGCCCTATGCTCCCGCTGGGAAATTGAAGGAATAAAGAAGAGACAAGCCAACACTCATTTAGGTTAAAAAAAATAACTCTATGCAAAATTGAACAAACCTGTGAACCACGAGATAAAACATGATAGAATTCAATACCAAATACACGGGCGAATTCACTTGTACGACCAATTAAATCTAAGGTATTCAGTAATCGTAAATTTATAATAGATCGATGTATCCAATAATCTACTGTACGCCAGCTAAAATTAGAATAAAAAATAAAGTACAAATGTAAATAGAAAGTCTATCGATTGAGCATAAGATGGATCCACACAAACACAACTTGGAGGATCTGTACTTCACCGATAATATATGTCTGATTTCCCAAAAAACCAGAAGATATATGCAAGTGAAAAGCAACAAGTTGGCGACAGAAGAAGCATCAAAGATAGGACTTCCTTCAGATGAACATAGATAAAACAGAGGTGATGAAGATTCCTGGCCAACTGCAACAACAACAGACAAAAGTCAGCCAGGATAAATGGGAGGAACCTGAAAGAAGATACCTTCTTTACCTACCGACAGACCTGGGAAGCATCGTTTCAACTACAGACGGATGGAACTGGTGAGGACATGAAAGCGAGAATCGGGGAAGTATAGCAAGCTTGCATTACTCTCAAGTCTGTGTAGAGATCAACACTCACCACTCAGCATAAAAAAATAAGATCCGGATTTTCAACTCCAGTGTGAAGTCAGTGCTACTCACCATACGGATCAAAAACTGGCACTGCGTGTCATAAAGAGCACCTCAAACAAACTACAGACCTTCATTAACAGTTGTATTCTCTCAATACTAGTCAAGATCAGATGACCGGCGAAAAAAGATCAACAACAGGGATCTCTGGAAATGAGCGAACCAACACAGCAGGAACCGATTGTGCACCAAATAAGCAAGAAGAAATGAAGGTGGATATGCTGGCCATACTCTGAGAAAACCATCAAGTGACATCACTAGACAAGCCATCGCTTAAGTGGAACCCGAAACGGAAGTGGCGAGTCAGTTGATCGTCCAAGGGTGACTTGGAGGAGGTCATGTGAAGAAGAGATTAAATCATCTGGGCAGACTTGGAGACAGGTAAAAACTCTAGCAGAGAACCGAAGGCAATGGAGACTTGGGCAGCTGAAGCCCTATGTTCCTCTAGGAATTAAAGGAAATAATAATAATAGATTAGGCAAACTGGCTGGTGAATTTACTGGAATCAGTATGCCACCTAGAGTCAGTGGCTTATGTGGTGGGTGTTAGCTTGATCTCCCGGCCTTATACACTCTTGAATCCCCGCGCCCCACCCCCCACCACATTTCCAATTTAACCACCGTTAGTAAGCCCAGAAAAATGGGGAAGGTTGGGGGCTACTGGGGGCCTCACGGCTAATGAAACTTAAGAAGTTTAAAGCCTGAAGTTTCAGAACGCAGAGGAATGAAAAAGTGTACAACTGAACAGCAATCAGGAACACAATATTCAATGAAGTGAGACTCCTTTTAACGAATTTATTGCCAATAAAGCTGAGCATTCGTGTATACTGCGCGGTTTGTTTCAATCACTAGGCTGGTTAATTTGCCATCTATCCAAATGCATGACGTTTATATCAAACATCAATGTTGTTCCAGTCATCCAGTTATGTCCTTGAATTGTAACCTGCACACCCATGCTAATTTTCACACAATTTCCAATCTACTAATATGGATTAATTCTCAATAGTTGGTTTGTAGGGATTAGTTCTGTTTTTACAAGTTGATCACGGATTGATATCAGTTAGAGAACCATTGAAAATCAGCACTGGTGTACTGGACAGCCGTTTCATACATCCTAGTTTGGGAATCATCGGCACTATACACCCACTGGGGTTCAAACCCAAGACCCTCCGGTTACAAGGTAAGCTCGTGTATCATTCAGCTACTGGGACCCAATTCGATGGCCAACCCATAAATTCTAACTTCTACCACTTCATGATTTTTTAAAATGACCACCAACCACTGGGAAATCCATCTATAGACTTGACTGGATGCATCTGCTGGAGTTCTTGTAAGAAGTCGTGACAAGTGAGGTTCATCCGGTTAAGTGTGAGGATGGATTTCCTGCTGATGACATTGGTTGGTAGTCGCGCTAAAAAATCATGAATTGGTAGAAGTTAGAATTCATGCAGTGGTCATTGAATCGGATCCCAGTAGCTGAATGATACACGAGCTTGCCTTCTTTGTAACCGGAGGGTCTTGGGTTTGAACCCCAGTGGGTGTATAGTGCCGATGATTCCCAAACTAGGATGTATGAAACAGCTGTCCAGTACACCAGTACTGATTTTCAATGGTTCTCTAACTGATATCAATCCGTGATCAGCTCGTAATATGGATTAGTTGGAGGCGTATTGAAGTGTGTTTCGGAGAGAACTAGATATTGTCTCAAATTATATACGATATAGATTATTACTTTGATTGGACACTAGGCAGACGATAATGCTATAAGTCAAGTCCTTCGTTTTTGCAGGGGGGACTGTCAGTCTACCAGTCTAGTTTTTACGATGTGGCCACCATGGTAGGTGGCTGAACTCTGAAGTGATGTTATTAGACAGCGTTGGGGATGATCGGCAAGAGATGTCCAGTACTCCCTGGTTTTCATTGGTTCTCCAACGGATATATCAGTTGGTGATCTAATTTTGAAATCACAAATAAAAGCAATATGAGTAATAAACTCACCGATTCGTCCCGTTAATATTACTGTACCATTCATTCAATTGTCCAAATGTATAACACGGCATATACTCCTTTAACAATTCACGTACTACAGTCTCCAAACTATACTCATATAAGCTAATCTAAGAGTTATAAAGTATACATGAGAAGAGAAGAGAAGAGACAAAAGAAGCGTATGAATAGTTGAATAGTTCAAATGAATCATTGAATAGATAGAAATAATGAGAAGACAATTGCTTCTTACTCAAATTTATTCTAACAGTGAGTTCAAACTACTGAAGAGTCCCTGACTAGGACGAAACAGCCCCCAGGACTCCTCTCTACAATTCAATCTGAAATTAAAAAGAATTTCTACAAAGGCTACAAGAAGGATATCCTGAAGCTGTAGTGAGAAGTCGTAGCCAATGTGGTCCAAGGAAGCGCCATATCTGGAATAGACAGAGCTTGAATTCAGAGGACACAGAAATCAAGCCTAAGTGTCTGAATAGTCAGCGAGTTTGGTCGTGTAACCTGAAAGTCCCGGGTTCGAGACCTGTTAGGATCGTTATAAATTACTCTGTGCATAAACCTAGTTAATTTGCTCAGACTGTACGCAGCTGATGAGAAGCCGACGGGGTAGAAGCGGGGATACTATCCGCACAAACCGTTATTCTGGCTTCATTCAAATCCATGTAGATTTTCACTAGCTAGTTAGTAGGGACTTTATTTGTTTCAAGTTTCTGATCACGAGCTGACATCAGTTAGAGATTGAGGGAGTACTAAACCAGTGTTCCGTCCTAGTTTGGAACTCTTCAGAAGCATGCTCCCGTCAGGGTTCGAACCCCGGACCTTTCAGTTCCACGGAAAACTCGTAGATATATATATATATATACCATCTGATGATCTGCAATGAATCTCAACTTCTAATTATTCATGATGTCAGCACCATCCATCTCTTCACACGCCCGACCTGGCTGTGGTCACGACTTCTCACTCACTAGAACTCCAAGCATCATTGTCCTGTAGCTAGTAGTCACTAGCGAGTTTCGGACTAATTCTCAAGAATTGAATTAGTTAACAGATATTTAATTCTTTTTTTGATTGCACACTAGTCAGTAACTAGTGTAATGTGTCTAGTCCTGATCTTCGGTGCAGACTGAATTCTATCAGACGCGGGTTCGAATCTCAGAAGGGAGGACATGAGTTCCTTCAAGGTTGCAGATACTCACTGCTGACTGATGAGTGCCAACTAGCACGAAACCTAGGTCAGGTGAGGCTTCCTGTGGCCGATTGCCTCCAACCATCTAATACCAAGATATGTGATTCGTCTAAAGTCTGATCATGAGGAGACATCGATTACAGAACCATTAGAAAACCACATAAACTAAAGGATAGACACTCTCATAAGCATTACTTACTCAAAAGCAACCTTAGTTGCTTACTCACTCACTCACTAACTCACTTCATGCATCAATATCCTCCAAAAGCATAGAACAACTCGTCCAGGACAAGGAAATAAACCCCCAGTACGTCCAGCACCTGGACCACATGGCCATACAACACGTGGATTATTCGTTGAGGTCGTCGAATGACTGCTGTATTTACTTGCCATGGTTGAAGAATACAACGGATTACATGGACAATTACAACGATCTTGTATACTGTTCATAAATTCTTGTGTATCAAAGTGTTTTGGTGAACAGTGTTCAGTTTTAGTTGTAGGAGTAGGAGTAGTAGTACAACCAGTGGTCATAATTCTAATCATTGTATGCACCAGTTTAATACATTCATTAATACACTCATGACAATGTGGACAGTTGATAATATCTACAAAAGAGTAATGCACTTCATGTGAATAAATACTTCATCAAAGCATAAGTAAAGTAAAAACGAGTAGTGCTCAACGTGGGGGGGCGGGGGGCCCTGATTTTTGACGAATTCATTTTTGCTTATTTAGCTGGTACAATCGCATTCTCACAAAAGACGATTGGAAAACAAAAAGATGAGTTATAGTAATCATTCAACTGCATTCCGAGTGGAACATAGGGCTTCAAACTTGACCCTGTGGGTTCCCTGTAGCGGTAATGTAGGGTTTTTTTTACGAAGTGTCTATGGGGGGGGAGGAGAAGGTCGACAGCTTCACGCCAACCCGACACTCTCCCCTTCATCAGACTTACTACAAGCTAGACGCAGTTCAGGAGTACGTCGGTAAGAAATTGTACGCAAACCACGTGCTTAGTTGGCGAGCATTCTAGAGTCAGATAATAGGATAAATAATTTTGGTGAATGAATTGCATTCAGGAAGCACACAGAAACGAAGGAAAATGTGATATCATGTAAAAGTTCAAAAGAGTTAAAAAATAAAGGAATGAAAATCAAGTTGGTAGAAAAATATAATAGCAGAAGCGGTTATATAACTCTCTTTTGTATGCTGAGATCCTATTTCTCTCTGTGAATGGCTACAGCTTCATCAGTGTGCAGAAAAAACGAAAGCGTATTATCTTTGACAGATCGCTCTTTACTTTGTAGGCAACTGCGAGGGAGGAGTTTGTTGTGATAGAATGACAGGTGTTCACAAGTTACTCAATTATCGCACTCCTCTTAGAGTCACTACTACCTTTCTGCAACTATGCAGGATAGTGTTCTTAGAACCTTTTAGACAGGATACTCGTCGAATGACAAATAAACCCAGCTAACAAAGGAGCGCAGGTAAACTCACATACGCACATATTTTTTATTATTATTATTTTTTTTTTTTGGTTACAGCTTGATTCCACACCGTATTTTTGGTACAAGTATGGAATTTTCAGCATGGATATCGGTAGCCCAAATTTCGCAGGCCGACCATAGATATCAGGTGTGCGTCGGCGTGGGCTCGAACCCAGGACCATATGCATGGTCGGCTAGAGTCCTAACCACTGTGCCACCGACGCACATAGAAGTAGTCAGATGAAAGATCTTGTATTTCAGGTTTCTGCAGACCAATAGACAACTGGAGAACATTACTCTTAGAGTTGCTGAGAAGAATGTTTTTCTCAAAGATGTTGCAACTCCTTTCTTAAGGACGCCGCAAGTTAACTCAAACTTACTATCCTATTTGGTGACAAGAGAATTGTATATAAACGCCATAGTTGTAGAATTTCCCATTGGTTGATTTTCATCATCAGTGTCTCTCTTGACACGTCGATGACGCCGGGGGCAAAACTTGGCTTCATTTTTGGCGAATACTGACTAACATTGGAATCCACGAAGCGTAGTTATGCCAATTCGCATACCACAAGTATAATTATGGAAACTTAAGTTATTACATTAATTATTAGTGGAGTGAATGTGTGCAGCACTGGCTCATCCAGTAGTAGTAGGTCATAGGTGAGAACCCCACACAGCTTTGACAGATTCAGACAGCCAGGTAGTATCCCCAGCCTTCAGGGCAATAGATGTACTTCACTGACAATTATCAGTGGTTGATGAGTTGAGCAGAGAAGTACTTGAGGTATTTACGGCTAAAATAGGTGTGAAGAATCAATTGTATATATTATTTAATTCAATTTTAGATTTTCCCGTCAATTGATTGGACTGAAGTGCTCGGTCTCAGGTTGACATGCCGGCGGCTTCTTGTGCAGGTACTTCGACGATGTCTGCGCATGTAATCAAAAAGTTAACTGGTGGATGGTGACTAGTAGCAGTGGAATCCAGGATAAAGTGCATTTCGTCTTATTTAGGACTCATTGGTGGCTGGATACAACTGCATTCCGCAGTGAGTGATGATGTTCCCACCACCAAGGCTTGAACCCAGTGCCCTTAGTTTCAAACGCCAAAGCGTTATCCAGCAGGCGACTCAGTCCAAGAGAGCCACTGCCTCTTGTACAACGAATCATATTAATTATTTAACGGTTTGGCGTTTAAGACTATAGGCTCTGGGTTAAAGCCTCGGTGGTGGGAACATCATCATCACTCACTGAAGAATGCAGGTACATCCAGCCACCAAAGAGTCCCACAAACAGGACGAAATGCGCTTTATCCTGGATTCCAGTGCTACTAGTCACCATCCACCAATTAACAACTATATATAGATATACCTATAAATTACTGTCAGTTCAATTAGACAGAACCTTGAGCCTGTGTACATCATCCCGATTTACTAGACATTAAAACAGAACACACCAAAAAAACGAAGTGGACTGGGGGAACAACTGGACAAAGATTAGTGATGTTCAGAATTGAAAACATCTGAATTAAGATGAACAATTTTAAGACATTTTACCAAGAATTATTAATGCTTACTAATTTCTGATTTTTGAAGAAATTAACCCCAACAGTCAATAATTCCCTACATGAATCAAATCAACGAATGATTAAAGTAGCTTAACAACTGGAACTGATCTTTCCTACACCAGGATATGAACCCTATTTATTGAATTTATCGGCGCAAGGGTTGAAGTAGGCGTAAGGGGATTAGAACTTAACATGAAATAACTTAAAATGAAGTAATCTTAAATGTTTTGGTTCCGCGGTAAACTACCAGTGTGTTAAGGAAAACGCTCACTGCCGAAATGACGCAAATAACTTAAAATCTAAGTCCCTCTCTCTCTCTCTCTCTCAGTCGCTCCGTCTTACCTGCTGCTAAACGTGATAACTCCCGAGTTATTGTCCGACGTCCAAAGTGATTTGCACGATCAACTAAATAACCCCACGAATAACGCTCTACATCATAACCAATCAAGATTTCAGGATTAAATCTAAGAGAAAAAAAAACAGAACAAAGTAAATAATTTTTCATTTCACAAATACTACTGAGTACCAGAAAAATAACCTGCAGTAACTAAAAAGCACCAGCTTCTCATGAATTGTATAAAATTTATGCAAATGGTATTATACAATGAATTCAAATGACATGACACTTAAAATTATTTCTTTTAAATATCTATAAATATTCTCTGTTCAGTTAATCATTGATTTGAAAATTTACAGATGCTTTAAAACTGTATAATCTATCGATATTATTAATAAGTATTATTCCCTCGCATTCCGAGTGGGACATACAACTTCAACATCATATCTCCACTTTGTTCCGTTTTCTGCCGTCCTCATCAGCTGGTTAGCTCCACGAGTGCCCAAACTCGCTCATCTCTTCCTCACACGATCTCCTCCATGTTGATATGTATCCACATGATGTGTGTTTTGTTTTTGACAGTCTGTTATATTTTGCTATGTGTATATGGATCGATATTTCATTATAACTGAAAATATGCTTTTGTCTGTCCACTAACTAAATAAACAATGTATGACCTTCTTATCATATGACATTACAACCAATCATAGTAAGACGTTATCTTATTGGTTCATATGTGTATTAGCCATTTCCATATATACTTTTGTACCGTATTCTTGTTCCCACGTTTTTGTACACTACGTACCAATACACTCAGACTCTTGTGTGACATTTATTTTCCTTGTCTAGAAAATACAAGTATCATCGTAGACCTGGTGGTGGTCTTCTGATTTCCTTCTTTCCGCGGCGTCAGGACTATTAACTACTCGACGAGTACATCACATAATTGGCGACGGGGAAAACTCACTAATAACTCACTCAGCAGTCACCTTCGCACTGACGACCCACCCTCCGCTACCTATTTGGATTCCACTCAGGACACGGCCTGGTGTGCGATATCATCCAGCGGCCTCCTTAATGTGTATGTCTGATCGATCCATCTCTATTTTCTTCTACAAATCTGTTGAGCGATTGGCTCTCACCTGTTGGCCTGTTCCTATCCAGACTTCTTTGTTGCTTATTCTTTCTGGCCATTTGATATTTCAGTATGGAGCCAGCCAGTGAAGGGGGCAGTTGTTGATGAAAGTCTGTAACAGACTGTTGAAAATCATCTTCGTGACACGTATGCCAAATTTCTCACCCGTATACAAGGATAGACTTGACATTGGTGTTTAAAATGCTAATCTTGTTTTATTATGCTGAGGCGGAGTGCAGAAGATTTTCAAACTAGTTTCAGGTTCAATGATGAAGGCGTATCTCGCCTTCCTGATTCCGACTTGCTGTGACATCTTCATACGTTCCAACCGCCTGTAGTTGAAACTATGCTTTCTGGTTGGATAAGTGAAGGAGGCAACCTCTGTTAAATTTATTCCGTTGATGGTGATTAGTATTGGTTGTTGTTGTTGTTGTTGCTGTTCCTGTTGGTGGTAGTCAGTTAGTTATCTTCATTAATGCTGTTGAATAACAATTTTTGTATTATTATGAACGTGTAACTTGTAGGATCTGATGAAGACGGGGTTATCTAAAACGCCTTATTAGTGTTGACTAAATGTGTATTTATAAAAACTAGTCTATTTTCTTTAAATATCTTAATGTTTCTTATTGAATTGGATTTTTTGATTTTCCCGTCGATGGATTGGACCGAAGTGCTCGGTCTCAGGTTGACATGTCAGCTTCTTGTGCAGATGCTTCGACGATGTCTGAAGATTTGATTTGTATACAATTGGTGGATGGTGGCTAGCAGTGGAATCCAGGATAAAGCGCATTTCGTCCTAATTGGGACTCGTCTGTCAGCTGGATGTACCTGCATTTCTCAGTGAGTGATTATGTTCCCACCGAAGCTCGAACCCAGTGCCCATTCCACTGCTAGCCACCATCCACCAATTGTATACAAATCAAATCTCCAGACATCGTCGAAGCATCTGCACAAGAAGCCGACATGTCAACCTGAGACCGAGCACTTCGGTCCAATCAATCGACGGGAAAATCAAAAAAAATTCAATTCAATAATTAATATGACCCGTTGCACAAGAGGTGGCTCTCGTGGCCCATGTGGTCTAGTGGATAACGCTTTGGCGTTTAAAACTATGGGCACTGGGTTCGAGCCTCGGTGGGAACATCATCACTCACTGAGAAATGCAGGTACATCCAGCTGACGAGTCCCAATTAGGACGAAATGCGCATCCTGGATTCTACTGCTAGCCACCATCCACCAATTGTATCTTAATGTTTCGTTGAAAAAATTTTGGAATTTGAATTTTTTTTTCTCATGGTTGTAGTTTGCTTGTGGAGAGAGAGAGAAAATAGTGCAAATGTCTGTCTGTCTGTCTACTTATCTACCTAACGTATAAGTCTCCTTATTTGTGTTATTTCATTGATTGTCTGACTGACTGACTGGTTCCAACGCAGTACTTTGCACAAATATATGCAGCAGTGCGAGTTGCCACACTCCCTCCATGTACGACACAAAAAGCAAGAGAAGAGTGTAAAGACGGATTCAAAAATGAGAGAGGGAGAGAGAGAAAGAGATCATACTGAATGAATGACTGGTTTCAACATAGAATTTGCACCGATGTGCAGCAATTAAAGTCGCCACACTTCATTCAGCACACAAAGCAAGAGAATAAAGTAGAAAGAAATGCAAAACAGGGACAGTAAACAGAGATATATGAGGCAAAAAGAATAGCAATATGGAAGAACAATATAATTGTATTGGATATTATAAGCCGCAAGGAGTGGATGCATCTGCTCAATTGAGATAGAAATTTTAAGCCACATCACCGATTATCTCCAGCCTATATTGGTTTTTACCGTCAGCAAGTCTACATCTTCCTACATGGATTAAGCTAACTGTTGTGGATGTAATTGATTGATGAAGGCATGTTTTGGTTTGACCACCAATGGCTTTTTTCCAACCTAACCCTATCTCAGCTAAGCATAGCCCGTAGAAGGAGGCGATGGATAGGCAGGCAGTTGTAACAAATCTCCTAGCCATCTTAGTCGATGTAAGTTCACAGTCTCGCCTTCTGATTTCCCACCCCATAATACACAAACGTTGGAGTAAGGTAAAAAGAGTAGTAATACGGAAGAACTAAAGAATTTTATTGGACACGACAAATCACAATCAGTGAATGCACATCTGCACCAGCTATTGAGAACGATTTTGAGCCATATCATTGCCAATTGTCTCTATATAGCCAAATTATATACACCTTATCTTCAACGCGCGTCGGTGGTTCATCCGTAGAGTTCTGGCTAGCTATGGATATGGTCCGAGGTTCGAGTCCCGGCCGGTGCACACCTTTAGCTTTTGTAGCCGGTAAATATTCCCAACAAAGAGGGAGGTGGGTAGGTTGGGCGTCAGGCTAGCAACCCCACTCCGTAGACAAAAACGCCACTGCTACTGAAACTTCAAAGCTAAACTTTAAGCCCTATGTTCTACTGGGAATGCGTAGGAATAAAAAAAACCTATAAATAATAGCTCCATTATGTCTTCAAAGTAATGTCAAGTAATGCCACAACGGGAAACTTACGGAATCCTTCGAAGTGAGAACGGGAGTGCGACAAGGCTGCCTACTATCACCAATAATCTTCCTGATTGCAGTAGATTGGATAATGCGACAGACAACGGCAACGAACGAGGGAACAGGAATAAAATGGACTCACACAAAAGACTTGGTAGATCTGGACGTCGACGATGATATATGTCCGATTTCCCACAAACTGGAAGATATGCAAGTGAAAAGCAACAAGTTGGCGATAGAAGAAGCATGCAGAGAAGATAGGACTTCCTTCAGGTGAACATAGAGAAAACAGAGGTAGATGATGAAGATTCCTGGCCAACAGCAACAACAACAACAGACAACAATCAGCCAGCATAAATGGGAGGACCCTGAAAGAAATAACCTCCTTTACCTACCTGGGAAGCATTGTTACAACTACAGGCAGACGGAACTGACGAGGATATCAAAGCAAGAATCGGAAAAGAAAGACAAGCTTTCATTGCTCTCAAGTCTGTGTGGAGATCAACAGCACTCAACATGGGAAACATAGTCCGGATTTTCAACTCCAATGTGAAGTCAGTCACTGCTGCTATACTGATCAGAGACTTGGCGCGTCATAAAGAGCATGTCAAACAAACTACACACCTTCATCAACAGCTAACCGACTTCGCTCGGTATTCAAGATCAGATGGCCGGCCAGAAAAGATCAGAAACAGGGAGGGATCTCTGGGAGCGAACCAACTCAGCAGGAACCGATTGTGAAACAAATAGGCAGGAAGAAATGGAGATGGATTGGCCATACTCTGAGGAAACCATCAAGCGACATCACTAGGCAAGCCATTGCTCGAGTGGAATCTGAAAGGGAAGCGGCGAGTTGGTCGTCCAAAGGTGACTTGGAAGAGGTCATGCGAGTAGGAGATGAAAGCATGTGGACAGACCTGGAGCGGGGTGAAAAAGTTGGCAGAAAACAGAAGGCAATGGAGGTGCGCAGCTGAAGCCCTATGTTCCTCTAGGAACTAAAGGATACAATAATAATGTCTTCAAATACAGATGTCACATATAAGGATGCTAAGGCCAGTCACAATATAAAAAGCATGATAGACCTTCATCATCACTGTGAAATCGCCGTGGAAATATACTACAGTCAGCATGAAAGAAAGAATCAAGATCTACAATACTAATGTCTAGGCCATCAGTGCTTCTCTATATGGCTCAGAGACTTGGAATGTCATTAAAACAATTTCAAACAGGTTACTGCAAACTCATCAACAAATGCACTTGCTCGACACTGATGATCAAATGGCCGCAGAGAGGATAAGCAATATGGAATTCCTGCAGTGAACCAACTAAGAACCTACCACCTAGCCACCCCCCCACACCAAAAAAAAGTATGCCAAAGTGGAAATCGATTCAATACATGCTGAGAAGACAGTTTAATTGACATCAAAAAGCATCAAAGAAACCTTTGAAAGGAACCTAGATAAGAAGTGAGCAACAAGTTCGCCTCTCGAGATTGATACACACACACACACACAGTAGATTGTGTGGGAAGGCGACTAAAACATATAAGCAATAGGACTGAAGAGAGCAGGATGGCACACAGAGATGTGCTGTTGAAGTCCCATGTCCCATTCACAACCTAAGGGAATACATTATTTAATAACATGTCATTTCTTGGTTATATTCAGTGGTGTGATGGTTTATAAAGAGCACACTGGCCACACAGGAACTGTGTGTTAACTTCCTGATCGGTGTGAGGCTGCAGGCACACACTCTACAACGAACGATATCACTGGAAGAACTTTTAAAATGCAATGAATGTAAAACCAAATCACTTCTTGACTGTGGAAATCACAGTTCATTCAAATTCATTTTCGATAAATTCCGCTTCAAGCTCAGCAGTGTTATACATTCATATCATCCAAAGTAAATACACTTACTATAAGCACGGTTGAGGTTAATAAGACTAGCGAAATACAGCCCAGTGTAGACTTATTAAAGTAAAATTAGAAAAATGATCAGTTATCACACTGCGTCGGTGGTATAGCGGTTAGGACGTTTGCCGACCATGCATATGGTCCGGGGTTCGACCCCCGGCCGCCAACACCCTCCTTTACCTCACTGAGCCAGAAATAATCCTGGTAAAGAGGAAAGGTTGGGCATGAGGCTAGCAACCCCATCCTGTAAAAATAAACACCACTGCTACAGAAACTTCAAGCCACTAGCTTGGAGCCCTATGTCCCACTGGGAACGTGAAGGAAAAATTATTATTTTATTATTTATCGCACTGTATACGACTACAAACACACAACCATACGGATGAGGCATGATTAGAGGTAATAAAATCTCATACAACATGGTGAAAAGGAGAGACTGACTGATCCCTATGCCTTTGTTTATCGAAATAACTGAGAAAATGTACAATACAATACAAATGATTAAAAACACCTGTACTAGAAATCTGGAAAATTCTACCTCCACTCCCCCTCCCCTCCATTCACCACCAACAGGAAAAAAATAATGAGAACTACAAAAACTAATTTTCCAAGTTGTGTTGGTAACAGCCTGATGGTATGATTTTATGATGATAGTATTAAAAGAGAAATTTGCATGGGAAAAGTACCTGGACAGGACAACAGACAAATTTGCATAAGTTTCATTCCTCTCCAGTACAAAAGAAATTTTAGTAGGGACCCTCAGCCATATAGGGTTACACAGCTATATGCTCAGAAGAAGTAACTGAAGATGAACTAAGCACTATATATATGATATCTTGACTAGAAATAGCTATCCAGACAGATTCATCAAGAATAATAAGTAAATAAGAAGCCTTCATACATACACGACTGCAACTCAAAGGCGATATAACTAGCGTAATAATTACGAAGAAAGTTAAGAAAATCATTTTGAAGAACTTTTAATGCTGGTAAACGATGGTGATTCTGATATGTATCCATATATATATATATATATATATATGGTGCTCTCTTTCTGTTTGCTCGCTTAGTCTGTGACCATTTCACTTTGATGAACCTGTCTCCTTTAACAATGTACGTTCCCCTTATATTATATATAATATGTGTTTGTTGACAGTCTGTTCTTGGTGATATATATCCATATAATATGTGTGTTTGGTGACATGTCTGCTATATTTTGCTATGTATATATGGATCGATACTCCATTATAATTAGCCATTCATGTTAAGACTGTCTATTGATTGTTCACACACTTGTTTGGACATTCATATATATTTTTGCTCTCACACTATTATGTGATATATTTGACTCTCCTTGTGTTTGGAATATAGAAGTATCATCGCAAACCTAGTGGTCTTCTGATTTCTACGCTTTCTTGCGTCAGGACTATTAAATTCTCGACCAGTACATAACAATCATTTAGCGACGGGGAAAACTACTATTAACCACTCAGCAGCAGCAACATAACAGATTCCTCGACTGAAAGATGAAGTACCTAAACTAGCTAGCCACTTGTAATTGTATCATCTGCCAACTCAGCTGCGCTGTTTTTTGGTAAAGCGACTTATATTGGCCGTTGCTCTAGGAACTTGATTTTTCCTGCCCACTCTGGGGGAACATCTACACCAGTGTTGTGGCTGAATAAAGGTGTAGTAAAAAACCATCAACAATTAGATATATTAGACCACCTGGTTCAACACAGGCCAACACTGGCAAATCCTCCTGTATCATCTACCGGATGCCAAATAAATTGACAAAAAAAAGTATCCAGATACCTCATACTCCACAAACACAGTAGAGGGCATCGTGATTCGCCTTAAAAACAACCGGTACTCAATGATATGGAAGAATCAATCATTGTAATAACTAGAGCTTCTAAATAAACTATACATTCAGTCAGATTATGAACTTGATATGAGTAAAGATCCAATAGGACTAAAAAAAAAAAGAGGATAAGGTTCTTTATGCACCTTAGTAAAATTTGTTAAACACAAATTAAACCACAGACAATATTTCTAGAGAAATTCAAAATGTTTCTTAATTTGAAAGACAGCCAAAATACTGATTGATGATGGTTGTACATATTTTTTCTAGAGATGATGAATTCGAAGTTGGCTTTCTAGCTGAAGATGTTATCGCTTCTGTTGATCAAAGAATTCGACGTCTAGATATTTTTTAGGGTAGAAAAGGATAGATGAACAGTCTATATTAGCTTTATGATCCATTTCGAACAGATGGTCTAGTGTAATCTTTATTGGAACATTGCGAACCGCGGTGGGCGCGTACTGATGAAGAGTCCCAAACTAGGACGAAACAGCTGTCCAGTACTCTCAGATAGTTTTCCAATGATTCTCTCTAACTGATGTCAGCTCATAATGAAATCCTCAAAATAATCAAACAAAAATCTCTATAAAACCAATACTTGAAAATATATTCACAATTCATTTGGATACATACACATGTAACATACATTAGTGAGGTGTATCTCAAAATTAGATTTGCTTTGAAATTCTCAAGGATTTAAGATTATCTACCAGCAGAACTTGATTAGACCACCTGAAAGGATGATATTCTTTAATTGATGGTAATTAACAGTGGAATCCCAAATGCACGCTTAGTTTTATTTGAGATTCGTCAGCCTGATGTAACTGGATTGATTCCTCCTCATTGAGTGATGATGTTCCCAGCGAAGCTTGAAGTTTTGAAACGCCAAAAAAGCGATATCAACTAGGCTAGTGGAGCATGACAGCGACTTCTTGTGCAACGCATATTTTGTCGTTGTTCGATTTGTATTAAACCATTAATCATAGGGAAAGCGTGTTGGCTTTCAGAGATCATTAAAGTGTCCGTACTAGGAGCTGTCAACCGATGTCAACGGACACCGACCATTTAATCCAATATGAATAGATGAATCGATGGGAAATAAAAGAAGTTAACTTTACAAAACTTATGTTTTTTTCTCTCAGCACTTAGAAGTTTTTGTAGCGGTTGGAATAGAGTCATTAGCTCCACTGCCTACTCTCCCTTCACCTTTTCTGGGCATAAAACCTGGCTAGTAAACTAGCCGAGGAAATCTTTTTTTTCACTCAGCATAGGGAACAAGATTCTCATCTTGAACTTCAATGTCAGTCAATTTAGTGTTTCCATATACTGCAAAGACTTGGTGCATGCAACACCCCCCCCAAAGCACTTCTAACAGACGGCAGACTCTTTCGCTAACAACTATCCTTTCTCTATATTGAAGATCAGATGTCCAGAGAGTATTAGCGACGAGGAATTCCTGAAATAAACCGACCAAGAACTCTGTAGCTCAATAAATATATACAGAAGGAAATGGAGAGGGATCAGACACACGCAGAGACCGATGAGCCCTCAAGCGGAACCCGACGAGTTGGTCTTCTGAGAGTGACATGTGAGGTGGGATCAAAGCCTAATCCTGGAGAGAAAAAAGAGAAGATTGGATCCGGATGAGACCAGTGGTCTGACACTATAGAAAAAGCAGAACAACACCGACGCAAAAAGAGTGAAAGAAAAATAAAATGAAATTTTAAAAATATTCGTTCAAAATTACGTTTGAATGAGATAAACAATCCACGAGATAAGATTCCATTCAGTTGTACACCAAATGATACACGGGATCATCATGTTGCGTCTTCTCCGCCTCTTACCATAACCACCATTATTAGTAGTTAATCCATGCAAATATTTCAGCGGCAATTGTTTATACGACGACACTGTTTCATTGACACCGGATAATTCTGATAGTAGAATTAGTACAAATAAATTTGTATAACGAATTTGTTTACCAGACGTTTCTGTTGGTGTTGTAGTAGTTATTTGTTGAGGATGCGAAAAACTCAAACAAGCCACTTGAATAGGATCTAAATTAGGATCTGGGATTAAACCACATTTCGATTGAGAATTACTCGACAGCTTTGCGGACTTTGTTGTTGACATGGTGAAATCGTTTGTCGTTGTTGTTGTAGTTGTGGTTGTTGTTGTAGTGGCGGTGGGGATACCAACAGTTGATGACTTTGTAAGACGACTACGACAGTGCAGTTCTAAGCTAGCGACAGTGGTGTGATCAACCTTTTGTCAACAATTAAAAAAAAAAGAAGAAAGCGTCAAGATGGAAACGGTTAGTCTGCATTCTAACGAAATCGTGTACATATAACTGCATGAATATAGTATGCATTCAATGAAACTCCATTGATAGCTGCTACCTTGACGAGGTGGTCGACCAGCCATATCTCAATGATCCTGGGCCATGGGCTGTAATAAAATATTTCTGCATGTCTTTCTATGCCAGAAAGATCGTTTGGATAGCGGTTGGATTAGAATCTGTTCTTATCCTCATAATGTAGACTGTTTACAGTATGTTGAGGAAGAAGACCTACCTCCTCGGACAACCAGCAGACCATCCCCTATGCTGTTCCTCTGCTCTGGAGAGACAAAGAGAGGGTTAGAGAAGGTTGACTTGACCTTAAAAATTGTAAATCCACACTTACTATGTGGAGGTTGGTAACCGGCGATAAGAACTTTATAAGCACACAACTCCAGGAGCTACTTTAGACAGATCGTATCAGCCCAAGAGTGTGTGTAGCTAAAAAGTAATATAGCAAAACTATTCATTCAGACATCTAGAAAAGAAAGCAAAATAATTGAGCAAACAAGAATATCCACTTTTCGATAATTTCCTCCTTTTTCTGGCTTTACAATAACATATAAATATATTTATATACATAGAATATTCTAGATTGGTAGTCAATAACAATATTGGTGTTTTTTTTAAATAATATCGATTTGTAATGTAAGATCACAATGGAATTACAGTTCATTAAAGATGCTTAAATAATAATAATAATATAGCAAATAGAATATCAAATAAAATTAAGGAAATTTCTACAAAAAAATGAGGACCATTCGAACCTAGATGGCCAAGGTAAGGACAGTGTCTGAAGTGGCTTCTTTTGGACACATAAATTAGGCTTCTTAATGTGGATCCCAATAGCCGGCCCCAGCAACATGTAGTAGTAGTGTTCTGTATCCACAAGATGAGATAGAATAGCGCTGCGAATAGATTTTATCTGTCGTTTGCTTAACCACACAGGGTGATGTTCAGAAATTCGACGAGAAACACGCCTTACTGCACGGACTGTGCAACTAACTGGCTCACTCCACAGGAGCAGTTGAATTGGTAGATACACATGGAAGAGGCGAAATTAGGCAGTTTATGGTTTACTCCCGAAAGCATAGAGAAGTGGTTTAGAAGACACAGAGTAATTCGGCAGCAGAAGATCCCGTTTCAAGCGCACCTCTAAGGCGCTGTGTATCTTAGGATCTCGCTGATGTTTTCCACGAGGAACTGAATTTTTAATTCCATTGGTCTTACTTAACAGATCGGTATTATTTAAAAAAACACTAACATTGTTAATATATATATATATATATATATATATATATATATATATATATATATATAAACATACGCATATAATTGTAGAGCCAGAAGAGGAAATTATCGAAAAGGATATTCTTTGCTCAATTATTTTGGGTTTTATAAATAGTAACAACCACCGAAACGCTTCCATAAGTGTACACTGCCTTTGTATTCAATAAGACTCCTAAAAAAAACTCTAGAATCAACATTCTTATGTGGCTTCTGTTGGCTTCACTTCTATGTACAGCGTACACTTTCAGAACATATACGGGAAAGTTATTTAAATAAGAGTGTCCAGGCTAAGCAGACAGTAATTTTCAATGTTTTTCAAGTTTGAGCATGGATTGATATCAGTAAGAGAACCATTGAAAACCAGATTGGAGTAATGCACAGTCGTTTCCTCAGCCTAGTTTTAGAATCCTTGACAGTACCCACCCACCACCAGGGTTCGAACCCTGTAACCTTCCGGTTACAAGACGAGCTATAGCTCGTAGACCATTCAGCCACTGGGACCCGATTCAATGACCAGGCCATGAATTCGAACTTCTACCTATTCGTGATTTTCTAGAATTACCACCAACCACTGTCATCGGTGAGAAAGCCATAGTTACACTTGAGTGAATGGACCTCATGGAGTTCTAGTGAGAAGTCGTGACCAATGAGTATGACGATGGATGCCCCATCGATGACATTCATTGGTTGGTGTTCACGCTAAATCGTGAGTCAGTAGAAGTTCAAATTCATGGAATGGCCATTGAATCACAGATCCCAATGGCTGAATGGTATACGAGCTAGCTCGTCTTGTAACCGGAAGGTCCAGAGTTCGAACCTTAGCTGTGAATGCGTACTGCCGATGATTCCCAAAAACTAGGCTGATGAAACAGTTGTCCAGTACTCCCTATGGTTGGTTTTCAATGGTTCTCTAACTGATGCTATCAATCCGTAATCAACTGGTAAAAACTAATCAATTGGAGCCAATGTATGTAGTTAACGCATTCAACTGCTTCACGACATTGTCTTTAAACTAACAGCTGGTATAAAAGACCGATTCTCCAGCATCCTATTATATTTGATAGAGAAGAATAAGTTGTCAAACACTGTCAAGGCACGCATTTCATATGACTGAATAACTGGATTCTAGCATAAAACTATGCACAGTAGTGCAGCACCACCTCAAATAGGCCAAACTTCATATAGAGCACACAAATTCAAAAGAACCATAAAGAACGGAAATGTACAGCGAAAAAGAATGGTAACATTGGAAAACATGCGAACATAATAAACCTAGGAGATTTCGAAAGGTGAATGTAGCTTTGCCATCAGTCTTCAGATATTGCTTCCTGGAATTTTAAGGACCCCAGTCAGGCAGTGTACACCACCCCGCTACATGGCAAACTTAAACAAGCTATCAGAGACTTCATAGGTTGATCCCAGGTTGGTGTTTGACCAATCCTAACTCTTTCCCAAATATGATCCTATGTCAGTGAACACTGCAAGTCGAGGAAGGCATACACTACACGTGTCCTAGACACCTAAGTTGACTGCCCAAACCTAAACTTTGCTTCCTCTGTTATACCACCTATCGCGATGGATAGGACGTAACTATATATCTAGGAAACATAGGTTAACAGAGAACAAAATGCAATACCTGAATTGATGAATAACAACGATCATTAGATGTTTGATATAAAAGACTGACAGAGCCGATAGTTGATTGTCGAGTTGTATTTGACAAAGATTCATTATCAGCTGATAAATTTACACTGCAACCTTGTGAGTGATTTTGTCCGCCAGGAAGTGTCTTCATTATACTGTCAACTGAAGAAGGATGATGATGGTGATGGTGATGAGTGAAGTTCAGTATTTTATCTGATGTTTCCTATGACAAATGAAACAGGGGAGAGAAAAAAAAGTAACACAGAAATGCTATTTGAATACACTTAAAATCATACATATAAAGTTATATTGTGTTGAGAGCTGGCTACTAGCCAAAATTGGTAGACAGTATTTTACATCAATGCTTATGTCTTTTCCGAGTTGTTCACGGATCGATATCAGTTAGGGAACCATTGGAAACCAACCAGGGAGTACTGGACAGCTGTTTCATCAACCTAGTTTGGGAATCATCGACAGTACGCACTCACAGCTAAGGTTCGAACTCTGGACCTTCCGGTTACAAGACGAGCTAGCTCGTATACCATTCAGCCACCGGGATCCGATTCAATGGCCAGTCAGTGCATGAATTCTAACTTCTATAAATTCGTGATGCATTGGGCGCGACGCCAACCCTTGTCATTGGCGGGACGTCCACATCTTCATACGTGACATCTAAATGGACCTCACTGGTCACGACGTTTCACTAGAACTCACTCCAGCAAAATCCATCCTGTAGCAAGTCACTAGCGAGCATCAGATTAATTTTCTATAGTTTGGATGAAACAGGTGTCCAGTACTTCAGTACTGGTTTTCAATGGTTCTCTAACTGATATCAATCTGTGATCAACTCGGAAAAACATAATTAACCCTTACAAAACAAACTATAGAAAATGTTTACGTCCCCAGAGTATTGGTCATGAGAAAAATAAGAACAAAGATTGATTCAACAACCAACCACAGCAGACCTGACGTAGGCGGATACAGTTAACATATAGATGATCTGACATGCAAGAAACAGCCACAAAGAGATGAAAGATTAACTTTCAGTGCGAGACAACTAATCAGAAGGCTGTCTTTTTCTGCTAGAAATAATCTATCATAATGTACATGAAAATCTATAAATATGTATTGATTTCCTTAATAAAGGATCTGTTGCCTGGCCTTTGTCTTCTGTTGTTACAATATGATATCAGACCACTTGAGGTACAGTCAGTGTGATTATATTTAACTATATGATTGGTGGACTGAATCCTGCACAACACCATAGTTGGCAAGAAAACACACATACGTTGGAAAGATGACAAGATACTGGAAGATCTAGACTTTATGTCTAATGTCACAGAAACTCGAAGGTGTACAGGTGAAAAATACTAGAAAGTTGGTAGAAAACGCAGGCAGAGAAGAATAATCCACAGGTGACAATAGAGAAGGCAGAGGTCATGAAGACACCAAATGACCAAGAACAAGCACCAATCACTATTAACGGAAGAAAAATGACTAACTGACTGACCGACTGGTTTCAACGTAGTACTTTACACAAATGTGGACCAGTGGCAGTTGTGTAAGTTGGCGGACATATGCCGAGTGAGCCTTCTGTACCTATGATGAGATTTCACCAGCAATCAACCTGCTGGAGTTGGCTGATGCAACTACCTAAATAAGTGAAGCAGTGAACACACTCCTACAACCGCTTCATTCACTCCCCTCTCTCTTTACTCTGACAGTCAATGTAGTCCATTTCTGTAGCATCATCTTACATTTGACAGCAGGAGTGAATCGCATACCGAACACTCGAAAATAGCTCCTCCTTAATGTGTTCAGAAGACCTATCTGGATTTTGTCAACCTCTTCACCTGGAAGAATGTATCATCTACATATTCTAAATCAACGAGATTATTCCCTGATAGTAACAAGTCAATCCATGACGCACTAATAGGACTCGATTAATCCACAGTAGGATCGAAAAGGGAGATCTGTTTGTCTGTTTTCAATACAGATGTGCGGTAGTTCAAGTAGCCACACTCCCTCCATGTAACACACAAACCAACAGAAGAAAGTAGAAGAAATGCATAATAGAGACAGTAAACATAGGTGTGAGACAAAGGAATAGTAATAACGAAGAACATAGTTTTATTGGAAATTAAAAGTCACTAGGAGTTGACGCATTTGCGCCATTGAGAACTATGAGTTTGAGCCATATCACCAATTATCTACAGCCATTGGTTTTTACCGTCCCGAAGACCCCAACCAGGAAGTCTACACCTTCCTACGTGGTTTAAACTAACTGTTGTGGATTTCATTGACTGATGAAGCCATGTTTCGGTCTGATCGCCTCTAGCTCTTTGCCAGCCTGACCCTATGTCAGCTAACATTTCCCGTCAGTCGAGGAAGGCGATAACTAGGCATACGTAACACATATTCTAACCATCTCAGTCGATGTAATTTCACAACCTCGTCGAGTGATTTCCCCTCCCACCTACCTACAACTCGACCGAGGCCTAAACTCAATATTGCTCACCTTATTATACCACTTCACACAGGAGATAAAGCGCAGGCACCAATGATCAAAGACAGCTAATCTTTTCATGTATTCTTCTCTCAATGACCAGGTCTCACAACCATAAAGGAGGAGGGGGCGGAATGCTAAGCCGTACACACGCCCTTTGGTCGATAGCCAGTCGGATATCACGTCTACCAAGCCAGAGACGAAAAGGGAGATAGTAAATATAATTTTATTTTGCATAGGACTACTAATACTTGAACTAGTGACGTTATCTTTAACCACATGGTTAGCAATTCAACGGACCGGCGGTCTCATTACTAATGAAAAATTATAACGAATCAACGATACAAAAGTGTTTTGATAAACGTATTTACACTGAACAGTAATAAGATGAGAGACATAGTAGAAGAAAGACAACAAAATGTCCAGAATAATGAGTGCGACAGACAATTCTCACCGTTGACTCTTTATTCAAAGCTACAAATCTCATGGTAAAATTACGCCTTATTATATAACAGAATACTCGTTGAGAATAAATTCAGAATGAGACGAATAATATAGAGGTATACTAAGTAAAACTTGTAGCTTGACCTACCCCTCAACTAGTTAATTTCGTTGCATCGGTAGTCTGTTCAGTGGTAGAACATTTGCCAAGCACACATGCACACACACGTGATCTAGGGTTCAATCCCAGGCGGACAGATTGCTGAATCTTGCTTGGCTGAGATAGTAAAGCTCGATAAAGAGCGAAGGTTGGGCAACTATGGGGCTGGTTAGCAATCCCAACCCGAAAAACAGAATAATACCGACTACTAAAACAGATCACAGCACTTATGAAGGATAACACAATACGAATAAGAAAAACGTAAGTTTTATGGATGTATTCATTGCTAATATTCTGAATGAACTGACACCACGATCAAGTAAGTAGCAGCGTGTCAGATCACAATTCGACGGTTAGTAATCGAATGAATACCTAATACTGCAATACTGCTCCTCCAAATTATAGCTGCCCCCTCAGCACTAAAGATGACACCTAGACTGTTGTGAGAAGCTCTACTCAAGCAGCAAGCATGAAGAATAAAAAGACTACCATGGACCAGCTGATATCAAATGGACGAGATGCAGTATTTCGAAGAAAAACGATCACATATTTCTGAAGTGATGGATGCCACCCCTCCCCGTTAAACTGAACTCTTCCCCTCCAAATGCCCTCTCATGTCCATTACACATGCCCATAGCCTCTCCCAGGTTAGGTCTAGTCATCACTGTCTTCGGGTGGTTAGTATGACTCCGAACATCTGGCGCAGACAACCGGACTGACTGGACGGCCAGGTCTATATCTATGGTGTACATGTGCTCCAGAATCTGAATGGATTGACGCGCGTGTATGAAACTGTTTTGGGCACCAATAGTCATGGAAACCACAGCTCCATTATCCCGTGTCAGGATCTGACTTCAAGTCAGAAGCTCAGTGAGATGAGTTCGGGGGTGGCCCCTAAGACAATCACCTGCTTCTCTATGGGGATGTTTGGGGCGGTAGTAAGTACCCCCAGCCCTCGCAATAATAATAATTATTATTATTTCCTTTAACTATTAGAGGAACATGGGCCTTCAGCCAAACGTCTCCATTGCGTTCGGTCCTCTGCCAACGTTTTCACCTGGCTCCAAGCCTGCCCACATGTTTTCATCTCCTCTTCACATGACCTCCTCCAAGTCAGACAACCGTGGGACGACCAACCCGCCGCTTCCCGTTCGGGTTCCACTCGAGCGGTGGCTTGTCAAGTGATGTCACTTGATGGCTGGTTTCCTCAGATTATGGCCAATCCACATCCACTTCTTCCTGCTTATTTGGTGCACAATCGGTTCCTAGTTGGTTCGCTCACTACCAGAGATCCCTCTTGTTGATCTCTTCTGGCCGGCCATCTGATCTTGAGTTGTATTGAGCAATGACAACTGTTGATGAAGGTCTGTAGTTTGTTTGAGGTGCTCTTTATGATGCGGCAAGTCTCTGATCCATAAAGTTGCACTGACTGACTTCACATTGGATTTGAAAATCCGGATCTTATTTTTGATGCTGAGTGAGGCTGTTGACCTCCACACAGACTTGAGAGTAATGAAAGCCTGTCTTGCTTTTGCAATACCCGCTTTGATATTCTCGTCAGTTCCATCCGCCTGCAGTTGAAACGATGCTTCTCAGGTAGATAAAGGAGGTTGTTTCTTTCAGGTTCCTCCCATTTATGCTGGGCGATTGTTGTCTGTTGTTGGTGGTGGTGTTGGCCAGGAATCTTCATCACCTACCTCTGTTTTCTCTACGTTCACCTGAAGGAAGTCCTATCTTTTATGGATGCTTCTTCTATCGCCAACTTGTTGCTTTTCACTTGCATATCTTCCAGTGAGACATATTGTCATGGAGACTCACTGCCAGTTAGTCAACAAGCGATTTCAATACAATAAAATAAAAAAAGATGAAGAAAAAGTATTTAGTTACCTGTTGAAATAATTCATTCGACAATAAAGCTGACTTATCCCTCTCTGCACTTAATTCTGATTGGTTAATATTAGAGGAATTATCTCCTCCCGCCTCTTCCTCCTCCTCCTCGTCTTCTTCACCCTCTTCATCGTTATTATCCAATATAGTTGACAGTTTATTACCCTCCTTTATTGCCTTGAACTTTTCAAGCCAATCATTTACAACTTTTAATCGAGGCGGTGAATGTACTGGACGCCAAAATAATGGAGCAACTAGAGGACGTCTAACTGGCGGCGTCCGTGGCAGTGGTGGCGGCGGCGGCGGCGATGGTGAAAACAACTCGGCTGACTGATTATTACCAGTAATAGCAGTTTTTGTTGGGCTAGCATCTACTGCCAAGGGTAATTGAGTCTGTGAAAACAAACTCAACTGACCTGGATAAAAACTGTTCGAAGTATTTGGTGAACAATAAGTTAAATCTGAAAAATCATAGTGGAATGATGAGAAGACTGGTTCTTCAGTTGCAGGAACCACTGAATCCATCATCATCATCATTGTCATCTGTGAAGGTTCGGTGTGTATGCAGGTTAAAATTGTCTCTTCAAGATCATTAAATTCTTCACGTGGTGTTAAACGTTTCGATTGATAAGGTGATAATAATAATGGTTCAGTAATTGTCAAAGATGATGTCGACGGAGACAGTAAACGTTCAAGGACGACAAGAGGATTTGAATAACTAGTGCTTGGCTAAAAAACAAAAAACAAAAAAATGGCAGAATTAAAATTAAGTAACTTTATGGATTCAAAAACAATTATGATAGCCCCGATGAAATGTTAAAAAAAAATACAGATTTCATTTTCTATTCCTTTGAGTCCCGAGTGGAACACATGGGAGGCTCCAAGTTTGAGCTTTGAAGCTTCAGTAGTAATGGTGTCTTTTTTTTACGGCGTAAGTTCGTTAGCCTTACTCACGAGTGCGTCCGTCGGGCAGCAGTTGAACCCCATACCTCTAGCGTGCTTGGCCAGCAGTCTACCATTGAACCGCCGACGCGTTCACATCATGATAAATCCATTTACTAGGTGATTGCATATTAATTTTCAGGAGAACTGAACACAGTCATCTCAGCCTCTGGCAAGATCAGCTCTCTTCCCCGGTGAAACCTCAGCACGAATACAAGGGGCTCGTTTCGCATTTGTTAGTTTACGCCGACTCTGGCGTAGACGAGATGTCCGACTATCGACCAAAGGGCGGGTGTACTGCTCATCAGTCCGCTCCGTCCTCCTTTATGGCCAGCTGTGAGACCTGGCCACTGAGAGTGGAAGACATGAAAAGATTAGCTGTCTTTGATCATAGGTGCCTGCGTTCTATTTCCCGTGTAAAGTGGCATAATAAGGTGAGCAACATGGAGGTTAGGCGTAGAGTTCTAGGTAAACAGGGGAAATCAATCGACGAAGTCGTGAAGTTACAAAGACTGAGATGGTTAGGACATGTGTTACGTATGCCAAGCCATCGCCTCCCTCGACGAGCAATGTTAGCGGATATAGGGTCAGGCTGGAAAAAAGCTAGCGGCGGTCAAACAAAAACTTGGCACCAATCAATCAAATCCACAACAGTTGGTCTAAGCCACGTAGGAAGGTGTAGACTTCCAGGCTGGGGTCCTCGGGACGGTAAAAATCTATGGTTGGAAACAATTGGTGACATGGCTCAAAACCGTTCTCAGTGGCGCAGATGCATCCACTCCCTGTGACTTATGATCTTCAATGAAACTGTTTTGTATTTCTTTATTACTCCTTTGTCTCACACCTCTGCTCACTGTTTCTATTATGCTTTTCTTGTACTTTCTTCTCTTGCTTCGCGTGCTACACGGAATGTGGCGACTTGAACTTCCGCACATTTGTGCAAAGTTCTATGTCGAAAACAGACAGACAGACTTCCCCGGTGAGGCACTTGGGAAATATCTGAACAGTGAGTGTACCGGGGTTCGGACTTGTGACTTTATGTTTGGTAATCAAGCAGCTTAACTGTTTCAGTCACTGTTTTACACTCAAAAATCGACAGTAATATAATTTACAATCTTATAGCATTCAAATTATCAGGCGGTCAGTCAGATCTCCCGACGATCTGTTTTAATGGAAGGCTAATCTAAGCCAATGAAGGCTAGATACTTTATAAATATGTCCACGGGAAAGAAACCTATCAGTGTATGGATAAATAAAGGTGTGGTAAGAACGACTGACAGTTTGATCACCTGGTCCAAACATGTCATAAAGCCAACCTATCGGGTATCGTCACTATTGCAAAAGGTTTTCAAGGAAGCAAAGGTACCCACACTGGTTGGAAGAAAGGCTACCAACTGTCAGGCTACCAAAGAAGGGTGACATACGCCAGTTCTGCAAGAACTGGGGCGAGGGCATAATGCTCTTGTCCACACCAAGTAAAATACTAAGTCGCTTCATCCTGAAGAGAATAAAAGATATACTGGATGCATTCAACAGCTTTATGTGACGATTCCACGCGTCAGGTGATCCAAAAACAAAGTGAACGCAGGAGTAATACAAGACTGTCTGCCTATTATCAATAATGATATTCATGATTGTAGTGGACTAGATTATGCGGAATTAGTAATATACGTATAAAACTTGGATACTATGGTAGTAAGTAATTCCATATCAGTTTGTTTATTAAACATATCACTCAGTGAGTGAAACGGTATTACTATTTACTGGGTGACACAGTTTCGAACACAATTCATTATTGTTCATAATCATATCATCAACTGTAAACACACGACTTCGAAACTTGACTTTTATAGTTTTCTTTGTCTTCTCCTATATATCGTCGTAGGGGTAATAGAATTTTCCAGATATCCGAATGGACAGGTGTTGAATCATTCCTATTACACACTTTGGTTCGCAGTTGATTCGATAAACAAAACTTCCGTTATCGATCTCTCCCTCCAGCCTGTGACATTAGATTAGATTTTAAAACTGTCATCCTATCCCATTCTATCCTATTGTATGGTTGTGTGTAATTGCATATAGTGAGTGCTATAGCTGAACTATTCTCCAGATTTCTCATCATATCTGGGTTAAGTAATCTAGATTTTACTAAGTTTTTAAGATCGGCTATTTCGACTGCAACTGTTCTACTAGTTTGACCTATCTGTGTATTTGACCTGACAATCATTCGAACAGGGTATTAGATAAACAGGATTGTTTTGTTTAATGGGCCGCCGCACGGGATTCTTAAACCGACAAAGCTTGTTTCTAATTTTGTTGGTTGGTTTGAAGGAACCTTAGAAACCTTACACAGATTTCTTAACAAGGCAGGAATAAAAGTGGCTGGTATTCAAACCCACAAACTCAATTAGAAACAAGCTTTGTTCGTTAAACGGTGGATCCTGTGGATCCAATGGACTATGCGGAAGATAATGCATGAGAGCTAGAATATCTTAAATCAGTAACAAGACTCTAGACGATCTGAATTTCGCGGATGAATCATAGAGAAGATGGAAGTGGTGAAAAAAACCAACCAGCTATATCAACAACAACAACAACGAGTACCAATCACAATCAACAGGAGAAAACTGAGAGAAATGTCACTTCCTTCGCCTATCTAGGCAGCCAGCATCGTTCCAACTTCAGTCGGTCCATCGGATGAGGATGTCAAATTCAGAATCAAAAAGGTAAGACACATCTTCATCACTCTGAAGTCAGTCTCTAAATCTCTCACACTTAGAATAAACAACGACGAAGAAAAGTGGTGATGAAGGCCTGCAGTAGTCTATTTTGAATGCTTTTCATGATATATCAAGTCTCTAAACCATTATACAATCACCGATTCAGCCATAAATGTTGAAAATCCTGCTAATTGCAACAGGTCCCTCTACACTGACTTCAGAGTAATGAAGATGCATCTTACTCTTGCCATCCTCCACTGCTTTGACATCCTTAACTGTGCCGCTTGTAGTTGAAACGAAGCTGCCTAGCAAGATAAATGAAAGAGTCGACTTCGTTTAAACTCCTCCGGTTGGTAGTGGTTGGCACATATTATTCCTGTTCATCTCTTATCTAATATGGAATTATAATCTACTATAGTGACCAAATTCTACTCTGGAATGCCTTAGTTTTAATATAATAATTATGTAACTAACGCCATCTCTTGAAGAAAATAGCAAATATTAACAAATCTCAAAAAAACAAAATAATTGAGCAAAGAAGAATATCCCCCTTTCGATAATCTCCCCTTCTGGCTCTACAATTAGATGTATCTGTATGTTTATATGCATAGAAATGCGATAAAAAGAGCATTCCTTGCTGCCGAATTGGGCTGTATCTTCGAAACCATCCAACCCTCTTTTACGTTCGGGAGAAACAGATAAACTGCCTAATTTCGCCACTTCTATGTGTGTGTGTATCTGCCAATTTAACTGCTCCTGTGGAGTGAGCCAGTTAGTTGCATAAGCCGTACAATCAGGCGTGTTTCTCGTCGAATTTCCGAACATCACTCTGTGTAGTTGCTTAAGTAAAGGACAAACAAAATCTATTCGGAGCGCTATTCTATCTCATCTTATTGATACAGAACACAAGATTGATGTGTTAACCATGCTTTCTGGGTCATTTACCGCATACCGACGAATCTCAATTTTCCCTTAAGAGTTCGACTACTACATGTTGCTAAGGCTGGCCGTTGAGATCCACATTAAGCAGCCTAATTTGTTCATCCAAAAGAAGTTAGTTCAGACATTGTCCTTAACCCATTGACCATCTAGATTTGAATGATCCTGAATTTTTTGTAGAAATTTCCTTAATTTTATTTGATATTCTATTTGCTAATATATTTTTATTATTATTACAACTGGAGAGAATAAAGGACACACTGGATACAGAACTCCGACCAGAACAAGCTGGTTGCATTCAGGAAAGGCAAATCATGTTCTGACCAAATTGTAACTCTACGTATCATCATCATCGCAGTAGAAAGCATGGAATGGCAATCAAACCTCTACCTCAACTTTATAGACTTTGAGAAGGCCTTCAACAGACAGCGTTGACCGCCGTGAAGTAATTTGGAAAATACTCTAGTACTACGGCGTACAGTGCCCCAAATATTCATCAACCTCATTCAACAGCTGTACGACAACGCCGCATGTCAAGTGATCCACAACGGAAAACTCAGCGAGGCGTTTGGAATAAACACAGGAGTCAGACAAGGGTTCTTATTATCACCAACGATATTCCTAATTGTGGTGGACTGGATTATGCATCAGACAGTGGGAAACAAGAAGACAGGGATATCCTGGACCAACTGACGTGGATGATTTATGTTTGATGTCACTGTCACAAAATCAAAGACTTACAAGCGAAAACCAACCAACTGGTTGAAGAAGCAGCAAAGACAGGACTCCAAGTAAACATAGACAAGACGGAGGTCATGAAAATAACCAACCAACAACAACAACAGCAACATCTAGCGCCAATGACCATCAACGGGAGGGATTTGAAAGAGGCTACTTCATTCACTTACTTATCTAGGGAGCATTGTCTCAACTACAGGAAGTCGGAACGGATGACGATGTCAAATCAAGTGAGAATCGGGAAGGCGAGAAACACATTCATTAACCTGAAATCAATCTGGAAATCTTCGTCACTCAGCCAGCATCAACAACAAAATTCGGTAAGACTTTCAATACAAATGTCAAATCAGTCAGCTCTTCTATACGGGTTAGAAACTTGGCGGGCGGGTCACAAAGAATATTTCCAACAGCCTGTGGCAGACCTTTATCAACAACAACTGTCTTCGCTCTATACTGTAGATCAGATGGCCGGGCATGAAATAATCACTAACAAGAAGCTATAGGAACAAACAAAGCAAGAACCAATCGCCCAACAAATATGCAGGAGAAAGTGAAAATGGATTGGACACTACTCGCTGAGGAGGCCGCTGGGTGACATCGTGCGCCAAGCCCTCGAGTGGAACCAGGCCGTAAGGGAAGCGGCGAGTGGGTCGTCAGTGCAAGGGTGGGTGACATGGAGATCGTGTGAAGAGGAGTTGAAACAGTATGGACTAACTAACATGGATTCAGGTGAAAAGTATAGCAGAAGACAGAAGTGGCAAGTGGAGACGTGCAGTTGAAGCCCTCTGTTCCACTAGGAACCCAAAGGAGCAATAACAAAAAAAAATAATAAATTATAATTTAAGCATCTTCCGTGAACTGTAATTCCATCATGATTTTAATTTACAAATCGATATCATTTTAAAAAAAAGACCATTATTGTTACTGACTACTATTCTAGAATATTCTATATATATAAACATACAGATATATGATTGTATGGCCAGAAGAGGAATTTATCGAAATGTGGATATTCTTGTTTGCTCAATTATTTTGCTTTCTTTTCTAGATGTCTGAATGAATATTTTTGCTATATAAATAAAATCTCATAAAGACAATCAACATTCAAGGTAGTTAGAGACATACCAAACACTCAGATGATACTGAAATTTTAGACTTTGGTGTAGAGTTTATGCTGACCGGCGGAGGAAAATCCCCTATCGTAGAATTGCTATCTGACAGACATTGTTTTCTTCTTCCACTGATAGGCGTTGATATATCAACTGGAAAAAGATTTGTTGACAGGCTGGTAGGAGAGGAAAGTGTCATATTGTATTGTGTATTTTGTGTTGTTCTTGTCTGACTTGTGCCAACTTCTCGTCTAGGCAAACGTAAACCAAGTCTACGACGTTTTCTTGCTGGTTTAACACCATCTAAAATATTTAAAATCGACTCTTAAGAAAATGAAACTACAATATCAACGCGAGTATTCTTCAGGGATGTGTTCAGAAAGTAAAATTAAATGCCCGATCAATATGTTCATCCTAGTAGTCAATATAACACCCATCAATTGTTGGTTTGTCATCATTTAATTCATTTCAAATTATACATAACAAACTCATATCAGTTAGATAGAGAAGTACTAAAAACCAAGAGGAGGGGCAGTACTTCACAGCTGTTTTGCCCCACATTGAGACTCATCATCATCTGTGCTCCACCGGGGGTATCGAACTCACGACCCTTACTTAGTAGGTTACAAGTATAGCCCCTTGACCATTTTTAACCACTAGAACAGAATCGGGTGCTTCGTGGATTCCAACTTCTGTCGAATAGCGATATATATAGGGCAACCAACGTCACCGACGAGTACAATATGCCCTTCTGACTGATAGGACACTACTTAGCTAAGAAAATTTTAAGTCGTCTAACTATTATGCTATCATCAAATGTCATTAAACCGTTCCCATGAACGATGTGATACAACGGAGGCTGGGTAGACTTCAGTCTTTCTCGCGAAATTCTTTCATGTGATCATACACAATAAAATAGTCTCTGCCGGGTAAATACTATCCACTGCCTTTACGTGATGAATTGGGGGATCTCTGACATAATAATGAAAGGGCGAATCCGAAAGTGTGAAGCTTAAAATAGGATTGGTAGACAGACTAGTCTACACCTACGAGAGCTACAAAAACCTTAATTCAAAAACCTGTGATGCACATGGGTTGTTCCAGAATCCATAAGGATCCAATAGTCGTGAATTAGGCCTGTTTTCGTTATCCGCAACAACCATGAGAAGTCTCTCCTCATGCAACTCCATGCACAGTAAAGCTTTTTAACAGTAGAAGACGAGAGACGTGTTAAAAGAATGTTTATTTGGAATTCCACATCGATAAGTAGCCAAATTATGTACAACTTATCTACAATGCACCATCTGCACAGATCTTCTGTGTTGTGCCTACTACTACTACTACTACTTCCGGCCTTCACATTGTGTGTTTCTTTGTGTTCTTTTCACCTCCCCCATGTATCTTTGCAATGCTGGATTATTTATTTTCTCTGAAGGCTCGTTTGAAATACGTCCGTCAACTTACACGATCCCTGGCTTAGTAGATGTGATATGCGGCAAACTAACTATCGACCAAAGGGCATGTGTACTATGCAGTATCAGTTCTCTCCGTTTTCTTTTATGCCTGTGAGTGAAACATGGTATTTGAAAGTGGAAGATATGAAAAGATCAGCTGTCTTTGATCATAGGTGTCCGTATTCTATCTCTCTTGTTAGGTAGTGGCATAATACGGTGAGTAATATTGAGGTTAGGCGTTGAGTGAGTGTTAGGTAGGGAGGGAAAAGAAATCAGTGAAATTACACCGATTGAGATGGCTGGGACATGTGTTACATATGTATCCCTATCCGTCGCCTTCATCGATAACTGACAATGTTAGCTGACTGACATAGGATGGATCGGGTTAGAAAAGAGCTAGAAGGTGGTGATCAAACCAAAACATGGCACCAGTCAATGAAATCCATAACAGTTAGTTTAAGCCAGCTAGTCAGCCATGTAGGAATGTGTAGACTTCCTATCTGGTTGAGGTCCTCAGGACGGTAAGAACCAATGAAGGCTGGAGACGGAATTCAGTAACATGAATTAAAATCGTTCTTAGTGATGGCTGGGGTAGATGCATTCACTCTTTGTGACTTTTTTCCTTGACGTTCCCCAGTGGAACATAGGGCTTCAAGCTAGTGGCTTGAAGTTTCTGTAGCAGTGTTTAATTTTTACAGGATGGGGTTGCTAGCCTCGTGCCCAACCTTTCCTCTTTACGAGGATTATTTCTGGCTCAGTGAGGTAAAGGAGTGCGTCGGCCGGGGATTGAACCCCGGACCATGTGCATGGTCGGCGAGCATCCTAACCGCTGTGCCACCGACGCCCCCTTTGTGATTTATAATATCCAATAAAATTATATTGTTCTTCTCTATTACTATTCTTTTCCCCACATATCTTTCTTCTGAATCTCTCTTTACGTAATCTGTTCTCTTGGTTTGAGTGGTACATGGAGGGAGTGTGGTAACTCGAAGTGGTGCACATCTGTGTAAATATCTACGTTGAAACCAGTCTGTCAGTCAATCAGTTTGAAACGAAAACTATTACGATCACATCTGAACATGAACACCACCACTTACTGGAATACAAGTGCATATCATTGAAAAATCTTAGGTGATAAGAAGTGCGCATGCAAAATTCATATCATAGTTCTTCGCCTATCCAATGTTTACATAAATCTGTGGCCAACATTTATTTTGTTTTCAACTTTATACTACTTACTAGTGATAAGTAGTTCGGTTCTACTTGTTTATTCTAATCCAACTATATTGGCGCGTTTTTCAGCTCTGCTGTTGTACCTTAAAAGTGCTTTAGATGGCGATTAGCTCAAACACGTCATTATTTTGAGGTTTTCAAGTAGTTATACATTACTGGCATATATTGGCATATTGCCGTATCTTAGAATAAATCTTCTCCTCTGAATTTTAAGCGTAACTCGAGAGTTCCCCTTCACACAGTCGAAAATCCAATGGAACATCTTCATTCTGGATTTCTCAAAAGAAATCTACAGACATTACAAGAAGCACACAAAATTTAAACTGACCATGTATCCACCTTTTGATAAATGTTTTTACTTAGCTAGTTTGAGTTCTTATTTTGAAAGCACTTCATATCGGTGTCTTGGAAACATAGGAAAGTGAAGTATTAGGAATGACTTCAGGATTTCATCATGAACTGACATCAGTTGGCAGAAGTTGTAATTCATGGGATAGCCATTCGATCGGATCCCAGTGGCTTATTAGTCTACGAACTTGCCTTTTAACCAGAACGTCCTGGGTTCGAACCCTGTCAGTTGGTGTGTACTGATGAAGAGTGCCGGTCAAGTTAAACTTTCGACACCACTAGCTGCCAATCAGCGAACGACGTCGAATTATCCAATGAGATTCACGAACGTAGTCCAATGTTGTATAGCGCTTGATTCATTTCTAATGCGTGACCTTACAAGGTTACGGTTTCAATTCGAGGAGGACAGTGTTTTCCAGTATTGCCTGGATTCAAGGTTGCTCCGGAAGGAGCGAACTTGTTCATGTGGTGATATCATGACTTTAAAAAGCTATAGCAGGTCAAATGATGGATTTGTTCATCGTTGTGCTATATGTTTGAAGCGTGCTAACATTAGAGAGGGTAAGCTGATAATTTTAATATTTCGTAGGAAATTTTTTAGCTAGGACGCATCTCTCCCTAACCCAGATTTTCTATATCTTCAACCACTGGGTGTTGAAACAGCCGGTGAGAGCAGCAGCTGCCGAGACGGAGAATAGCCTCGTCTCAAAAGTTCAGTGGTACCAGCATTGCAGAGATATTGCTTCGTGGAAAATAGAGAAAATCACTTATTTGCTGGGTGGATCCCGTTACGAGGACTCATACAAATTCCATTGAAGGGTTTTGAGGCCGCTTGAAAAACAGGATAAGGGCTATAAATGGATCTCAAAAGGATCTCATTTATAGTCATTTAAATGAATATATGTACAGGATGTGGTGTAACTTCTCCATTGACAGTCCAATGATAAACTGGGAGATGTCTATCTCACATGTTCCAGAAAGATACTCCTTGTAACCGTTTTATCCTTTTTTTATGCTTTTTTCTATAAATATACGTTTCCATTTACCATAAATGCCTCTTTAATGTGATTGGTTCGTTCAGGGTCGTTTGCTGATTGGTTTTTAGTGGTGTCGAAAGTTTAACTTTGCCAGAGTGCCCAACTAGGCCGGTGAAACAGCTCTTCAGTACTCCCATGTTTCCTGATGGTTTCTTTAACCGATGTCAGTTCGTGATGAAATCCTGAAACCACTCAAACGGAATCCCTGCAAGCCAACACTTGAATATTAGTAATGAAATTCTCCCAAAGTTCATAGTGTGACAATAAAGACGACTATAAATAATGCAATTTAGGTGAATATTTCGTCCTTCTTGGGACTCATGAACTGGATGGGTACCTGCACTCCTTAGTGGGTGGTGATGTTTCCATGGCCCAAGAAGTCTAATGGATAACGCTTTGTTGTTTGGAACGACAAGTGCTAGGTTCGAGTCTTAGTGTAAGACACCCTCTGAAGAGTCTCAAATAAGATGAAATGGGTATCCTGGTTGTTCAATGCGTGTTATCTCTAAAACGGTCAAAGGACATTATCTCGCTTGACGAAAGAAAAGTAACAGTGGATTAATATAGAGTACTATAATTGAATTGAACGTATATTCAACACAGACCACTCAATATGTGTAAGAAGAATTCCCTCAAAGTCATCTACAAAGTTAGAAGAGCCCTCCCTAAAAAAGTAAGCTTCCGTATACTTTGCATTGCTGACGAGGCCTTAGCGATCCAGGTGGAAAACCCTGATTTATGCACACACAGAAGAAACTTCTCCACCCCCTCCTGCTTCTTTCTACTTTGGGTATAATTCCAAGTTCTACCAGTGTGTTAACAGTGCTTTTTTTGTATGACATCCTAGTAACATCTTCTTAATCGTTGGTTTGTGAAGATTAGATTTATTTTTTACAAGTTGATCACGGATTGATACCAGTTAGAGAACCAATGAAAACCAACCAAAGGGAGTACTGGACAGCTGTTTCATCCTAGTTTTTGGGAATCATCGGTAGTACACACCCACTGCGAGGGTTCGAACTCAGGACCTTCCGGTTACAAGGTAAGCTTGTATGCCATTCAACCACCGTGACCCAACTCAACAGGCAGTTCATGAATTCTAACTTGTACCAATTCGTTATTTAGCGCGACTGGCACCAACCAATGTCATCAGTGGGAACTCCATCCTCACACATGACATCTGGATGGACCTCACCGGCCTCTTCGAGCTGAGGATCTGCGGCGACTCTACGTATTCTTCTTAACCAACCCTTTTCTGACTCTACCTATTACATAATTTATTTTTGACACTTGTCTACAAGCTCTTTCATTAGCACTCTATTTTTCTGGGTGTCCGGCAAGTTATGTAACTCCTGTCAATGCTTACCGATCTTCAACACACACACACCCTAGTCACAACTTGATTACTCATCAAATTTTTTTTTTGAAATATTTTGACGCTGTACACAATAACCCTAACTATGTTTTATTTTTGTTTGACAGTCCTAATGTACACACACATACACACACAAAATAATTATATATACATGAATGTGATTGTACAGCTAACTGATGAATGAATTCGCTGGAGAAAAGAGACTATTCGCTGAACTTTGTTGTTGTTCTTAAATAACATGATGGTAATGAATCTACCGACAGATCATCAAAGTATCCCTATCGGGAGGCGTGATATGTCGACAGAGAGAGAGAGAGGCTGGGAACATTTGGATTTAATCCATTGAACGGGAAAATCAAAATCGAATACTACCATCGCAAATAACAGACAATTACATGTAATTCAATCTAACTTAAAAATAACACTAACCAACAGTATTTGAAGATGTATCTCTCCTCTCATTGTCACCATCTGTACAACTTGAATCCATATTACCATCAATTTGTGGTACACGATTACTGGAAGAAAGAGAGAAAAGACAAAGAAGTTTCATACAATCGGTTCCCTTTATCAGTTTGAATAAACAAAAAACGGACATATTTCCAGACAAGATAATACGAGCTCGTTAGGAAAATATTTAGGAAAAAAAAGGGAGTACTGGACAGCCATTTCATCCTTGTCTGGCAGTCTTGAGTAGTGCATACGCACAACCCCCCATTGAGCGACTTAAATTTAATATGACCCGTACCTTGTAACTTAATCAACTTGCGATATAACGCTACCCTTCGATCTACATCCACTTCTCGTTGACGTAGTCAACGAAGTTCGCTGGTCACGACTTCTCAGTACAGACACCTTCAGGACATCTAACCGCCCAGTGGCAATCAATGAGCTGGGGACTGATATTCAAATTATGGGACTAATTAATTGTGTTATGAGTCAGAACAAATCGGATTCGCTCCCCGAAGGATGTGCACTGCTGAAGGCTCCCGAAATAGGACGACACATGTTGCTGTCCATAAATATCAATATCAGCTCATGATGACAGCTCCTGTAACCAATCAACCAAATCCCTACAAACCAATACTTTAATATCAATAAGATGCTCACTGGTGACTGGCCCTATTCAGGTAGGTAGTTACCTGGGGTTCTAGTAGGAAGCCGTGACCAGTAGGTTGCAGCAGATTGGGTGTGAGGACAAATACTCGCCACCGATGACATTGGCTAGCGGTTGCGTTACATCGTGAGTTGGCAGAAGTTGGAATTCATTGGCTGGCCATTGGATGGAGTCCCAGTGGCTCAATGGTCTATGAGCTCGCTGACCATGTAATCAGAAGGTTGTGGGTTCGAACCCCGGAGGTGGGTGAGTGCGTACTGCTGAAGAGTCCTAAACTAGGCTGACGGAACAGCTGGCGGTCCAGTACTCCCTGACTGGTTTTCTAATGGTTCTCTAACCAATGTCAGCTTATGATGACAGCTCCTGTAAACAATCAATCAAATCCCTACAAATCAATACTTGGAAAATGGAATTTACGACTTTATAGGTCAACCTGTAAGTGTATGATTATCATATGAGACAATCATTTACAACAAAAGTTTACACAAACTATGCATGCAATAATAATAATTATTACTATTGTTTAAAACAACTCTAGTCTACTCTATTCTACTGATTACCTTGGCAATGAAGTATCACTTTCAGAAGACCATGAATCGAAAAGTATCTCTGAAATATCATCCATGTCAACAATAGGTTCAGATGAGTTTGACTTGTCAATACCACTGCTAACACCAGTAAGACATGGTTGTTCTTGCTCTCGGTGTTGTACAGATTCTTGTGTAGCGTCATCATCCGCATTCGCATCATCAACGTCATCAGGATATAATCTGATGAGTCGTGGTAGTGGTGATGACAGAAGCAAAGGTGAACCAGACAGTGAACAATCGCCAACACCACCATCATCACCTTCTGTTAATGGTATTTGTTTATTCACTTTCTCATCTTCTACAGGAGTAGAATGTAAGTGGAATAAATCGTCATCACCATCGCCGTCATCATCGCCATCAACCTCTTCATTTTCTTCATTGATTGACTTCAGCTCTTGGCATGGAATATAATCAGCATCATAAGAATCATCTAAATAACTGATGAATAAATCATCAGACATGTCATCCCAACAATCCTGTAAAACGAAGAAAAATCAATAAACATTAACAAGAAAGTGTAAGGATTCATTATAGATAAGATTTTATATTGATAAAATCACACAATATTTTTGATTTGACACTAACCAGTAACTAGCGTAATGTATCTAGTCCTATCTTCATTGCAGACTGAATTCTATCAGTCAATTTTGCCATGTGGTTCGTCATTACATTGCACTGTGAAGTGTTGGTATCAGATAGTTGGAGGCAATCGGCCTTCGACCTAGGTTTCGTGCTAGTTGGCACTCATCACCAAGGTGTATCTGCAACCTTGAAGGAACTTATGCCCCACCCGTCTGAGGTTCCAACCCGCGTCACCCAGTGCTGCAGTCACAGACGTTACCACTGAGATATTCAGGCTCGCGATTGACCTCCTGTAGGACTCTATTCGATGTTTTTTTTTGATTGCACATTAGTCAGTAACTAGTTGTAATTTGTGTGCCTAGTCCTCCTATCTTTGGTGCAGACTGAATTCTATCAGACGCGGGTTCGAATCTCAGAAGGAAGGGAAATGAGTTCCTTCAAGATTGGAGATAAGCCTTGCTGATAGGTGAGTGCCAACTAGCACGAAACCTAGGTCAGGTGAGGCTTCCTGTGGCCGATTGCCTTCAACCATCTAATACCAACAAAATCACACAGTGTTGTTATACAGTAATATTTACTGATGACTTCGTTTCCAAAATAATTTATTGCTACTCATAATCATATCAAGACACCACTCACACAACCTTCTTGCTTCAGTTGTATACATGAGTGAAATTGATGATTAGACAATTCAATGAAATCAGTAATATAAGATAATGTACATTCAGAAATAATAATAATACGAGTGTTATTGACCAATTACAATTAGATGGGAGATAAGACGAGTGTTTTTTATAGTCATAAGAAGTTACTTGTTAGAATGTTGTGAAGTGCTTGAATTGAAATAGAATTTTAAGATTATTCATTATCCTCCTCTGATTTGACTGACTGGCGGTAATAATATCTTCCATGCATATCTCTGGCATTTGCATTGAGTCATTTCTGTTGCATGTGTTGGGTGTGGGTTCACTCAATGAACCAGGACTCAGTAATAAACCTGTATCTATCTACCTACATTACTTACTGCTTAAGAATTTTGACTCTTTCCCACTCATCCTGTTGTGTGGTTGTGTGTTAATGCCTGCAGTACAAGCACTGGGCTTTTTTCTAAATTACTTATCTTCTCGAGGTCAGCCATTCTAAACTTAGCCAAATTCCTATGTTCTGATAATCTCACTATTCCTGACCTCACTCACAATCATTGCAAGGTATTTTGTCTAATTAGGTCCACCAGCTCCTTTAGCCTACAGAGCTTGTCCAACGTGAATGAATTCGTAGGTTTGAATGCTACTCTAATTCTTGTGTAGGGCCTTAGATGTCCCCCTCCTTATATGGTAGAACTGTAGATGACTTATATTTTCTTTTATTTATGTGATGATTATTTGTTTCACCATTATTTTTTTTATTTCGCTTTTGACCTTTTTTGATATTCCTAACGAAGATTATAGGATAGTTAACTTATTTAACACCAACGCCTCTTCTATCTGTTCCATTTCATCATTTAGGTCTTTTCTTGTACTATTTAGTGCTATTGCTCGGTTTGTTAAACATTTAACTCAGCCAGCCTTTTACAGATAACGACAGATGAGATTAATTAAAAACGTCTAAATATTTATTAGCAGAATGCGTTGGTTTTTTATAAATACTAGTGTCTGTCTGTCTGTCTATCTGTTTTCGACATAGCTGTCTCCACCGTACTTAAATACCTCTGGAGTCATTCCATCAGGTCCCGCTGCTTTGCCTAGTGTGCAGTTTACCTTCTTCTATTCGTTTAATTTTACAATCTAACATGATAGTTAATTCTGCTTGTTCGTTTTCTGATTCAAATTAAAATTGTATTCCCTTCACTAGTGAGTTTATATGCGTTCAGTGTTTAAGAAACCGAGCAACACCATTAAGTAGCACAAAAAAAAGACATAAACGATTAAATGAAACAGATAGAAGAGGCGTTGGTGTTAAATAAGTTAACTATCCTATAATCTTCGTTAGGAATATCAAAAAGGGTCGAAAGTAAAATAAAAAATAATGGTGAAACTAATAATGAAAATATAAATAAGAGAGAATATAGGGCATCTATAGTTATACCATTAACATTAGTAGGTCGGGGTTAGTCAGATTGTCGAAACATGGAGAATTTAAGCCAAGTTTAGAATGATTGATCCCATGAAAATAAATAATTTAGCAATTGCGCTGCATGCATTAACACATAACCACACAGTAGGGTAGGACAGAGTCAAAATCATCAAGAGTAATATAGGTAGGTGGAGAGCGAGAAAGATTGATTACTGAATCCTGCCTGGTTCATTGAGTCTACACCCAACACGTGCAACTGAAGTGACTCAACGCAAATACCAGAGATATGCATGGAAGATATTATTGCCACTAGTCAAATCAGGGGAGCATAATAAATAATCTTAAAATTCTATTTCAATTCACACACACATACACACACACACACACACGAAGTTGCCTCAGACAGCACAAATCAACTGGTTACGGCCGAGGATTTGAATACTTCAGTCTTCCTTTTGAAATGCCTTCACGTAGCCATGCATTCTATATGCTGCCTTCGTGGCAGACTGACTTTGTATTAGATAGTTTCGTGCTACTTGGCACTCATCAGAAAGGCGTATCTGCAACCTTGAAGGAACTCATGTCCCTTCTGAGATTCGAACCCACGTCACCCAGCGCTGCAGTCAGAGACGTTAGCACTGAGCTATTCAGGCTCACGATTGACCTCCTGTAGGACTGTAGGACTAGCACGAAACCTAGGTCCAAGGCTTTCTGTTGCCGATTACCTGCAACCATTTAATACCAACATTTCACAGTGCACCGTAATGGTGAGCCACCTAGTGGCCACATTGCAAGCTTGACTGAGAGAATTCAGTCTGCACGGAAGATAGGACTAGACGCATTACACTAGTTACTGACTAGTGTACAATCAAAAAAAGACTGGGTTTGTTTCATGCCTCCAGAGAGTGGGCAACAGGTGTGCCCTATCCGATCTTGTGCAGGATTCGATGTGCCCCAACCATCTCTCCTTTCCTGACGCACCTAGTCTATATAAAGTTCTACAGTATAGAGAATTTTTCTGTCTAAAACATCACAGGGTAAACAGAAAACAGTTACAGCGAGGGAAAAACTGGGGTTTTTTTTTCTCTTTTCGACGAAGTTATCAACTAGACTGTATATTCGTCAATGCATACAGAACAAAGAGGTGAGAAAGTTCATGTCAGAGGTAAAACTATAATGGATAACACAATGAAGATATGCATGTAATACAAATAGGGATTAAAAACAACATTTTTTTTCAAAAATAAATACAAAGTTTAGATCAAAAACATAATCGGATAATTATGATGACCATGGTAGAGGCGGCAGAAGTTGAACACACTTCTTTTTGAATACATAACATTGCCCTGAATATTTTTGGATCACTAATGCTACAGAACTTGCGTATAGGACCTTGGAGGATTTCTCTAGTGGAACTAAATCTCCTGAGTTTACACACTTCCATTCTCTTTTTGCTAGCAAGGCTGGACAGTGTTCTCGAGGGTGTTTTATTTGCTATATTTTGACATCTGACTGATGAGAGTTCCGAAAGTTTCTCACTCTTTTTCTCTCTCTCTCTCTAAGTTCTAAGTGATGGTTGACTACTATATATATATACGCCTCATCAGTAATGATGCAGGTACTGTCAGTTGACGAGTTCCAAAACGAGGCAAAGTAGCAACCATTGCTGGACTTTAACGTCATTCATAAACCAATGAGTAATATAATTAATTTGGGAGTCATTGGCAGTACGCACCCGCCGCCGAGGGGTTCGAACTCAGGACCTTCCGGTTACAAGGCAAGCTAGCTCGTATACCATTCAGCCACTGGAACCCGACTCAACAGTCACCTCAAGAATTCTAACTTGTACCAATTCGTGAGTTAGCGCGACCACCAACCAATGTCGTCGGTTGGACATCCATCCTCACACATGGCATCTGGATGGACCTCACTGGGGACGTACTGCCGATGATTCCCAAAAACTAGGCTGATGAAACAGCTAGCTGTCCAGTACTCCGTGGCTGGTTTTCAATGGTTCTCTAACTGATGATATCAATCCGTGATCCACTGGTGAAAACATAACTAACCCTTACAAACCAAACTATAGAAAATATAATTAATGAATTTTAGAAAATTAAAGCACTCTATGGACAATCGCAATGAGTCTATTAAAAACGGAACATCGCACATACACACACGCAAAATGAAACGACTAGGTATGATCGAGGATGCATGGGTGGGTGGCTGACTAAGTGGATTTCGATCTTTCTCTCGAAATGCTCTCATATGGTCACATACGTTTACAGCCTCTCCCAAGTAAGTTGTATTCACTGCTTTCACGCGACGGTAGATGTGTTCCTCACAAAATTGAAAGAGCAAATGCGAACACACCTGGAGCATAAAACCAGAAAGGTGGACATACTGGTTTACACGCCTATGGGTGAGCTGGAAAACTCTGGCTCCCAATCCAGAAGCATCGAATGGCAGATGAGCCTATTTTGGTGGCTAGGAACCATGGAGGAACGAGGCTCCGTACGCTGCTTCAATCACTCACTTACTACCTTGTGTCAGGGTCAGACTTCTTGGGAGTAGCGGAGGGGGCATCCATGTGCTTTTGGAAGTATGTGGGCGGTTGTTACTTCCCGGCTGCCCACACCGTGGAAGTTCATTGATTCTTTGGGTATTTGAAACAGAAAGAGTGTTGCGTGACCGCAGAGCCCAGGGGACAACTGCTTGAGTCGGGATATACAATTTATGGGGTCGACCTTTGCTAACCCCGTCCCTCCAGCAGGGTGGAGAGATAGAATAGCTGGCATGCTGGTCATCTTAGGGAAACACCTCACCGTTGTTACATCCCTGTTCCCCAACAGTACGACTTCGCCCACAGACCCCCAGCATAGTGTAAGAAAGATTCTTACACAATGCCGGCAACTGCTTTTAGTCTAGTCGCTATCCTAACAACCTTCCTAGCATGGTATAACCTGCAGGAACAATAGTTCCAGCTAGTGTAGCTTGTTGGGTCATTGCGATGTGCACGCCCGACCACTACGTCAAGGTAACAGCCATCGATCAGGAGGGGGGCACCCGAGCAGTATGTACCCCAGCCCTCACACATGCTATGGGATAATTTTGTGTGGCACATCATCTCTCGGTGCCTCCAATGTATTACCGAAATAAATAAGTCAATAAGCATATATATATATATATATATATATATATATATATATATATATATTCAAAACTCAATTTACCTGAAACTTACATACGCTACTGACGATGATTCCTTATTATTATTATTTTGACTAACTGGCATATTAAATATTTCCTCAGTATTCAAGTCAAGGAATCCACTCGGTTGAGACATACACTGTTCATCATTGTCATCGTTAATTGTTTCATGTGCTGTTGTCAAATAAGCGCCAACTATCGATTTATTTGTATTATCCAATTGACTGCATACAAAAGAGATAGCACATTGTGTAGCATTTGTAATCAGCGTATCTTCATCGCCAACGTCATTATGCGATTCTTCTGGATTAGCATCAGTAATAGTCACTGTTTGGTGTTGGCTAGTCCATAATAAGTCTTCACTGGAAACCTTTAAAACAAAATAAACAAAAAATAAATCTGCTATAGTTTGGTTTGTAAGGGGGGTTAGTTTTGCATTTTACGAGTTGATCACGAGTGGATATCATCAGTTAGAGAACCATTGAAAACCAGCCACAGGGAGTACTGGACAGCTAGCTGTTTCATCAGCCTAGTTCTTGGGAATCACCAGCAGCACGCACCCACTGTCATAGCTCGAGTACCACTCAACCACTGGGACCCAATTCAATGGCCAGTCAGCGCACGAATTCCAACTTCTACCATTTCGTGATTAAGCGCGACTAGAACCAACCATTTCGTAGGTGGGACATCCGCATCCTCACACGTAACATCTGGATGCACCTCACTGGTGGTCATGGCTTCTCACTAGAACTTACTCCAGGAAACTCCATCCTGTAGCAAGTCACTAGCGAGCATCACATTAATTTTGTATAGTTTGGTTTGTAAGGGTTAGTTTTGTTGGAGTCACGCTAAATCACGAGTTGGTAGAAGTTAGAATTCATGGGATGGCCGTTGAATCGGATCCCAGTGGCTGAATGGTATACGAGCTTACCTTGTAACCGGAAGGTGCGTCCTCCAGATGATTCCCAAAAGCTAGGATGAAACAGCTGTCCAGTACTCCACTGCTGGTTTTCAATGGTTATCTAACTGATATCAATCCGTGAACAAATCGTAAAAAAAATCCTCACAAAAAAACCAATACATGAAAATTCATCTGATGTTCACCAGCAATTGGCCGCATTCAGGTAGGCAGTCACATGGGGTTATGGTGGGAAGCCGTGACCAGAAGGGTACAGCACGTTGAAGGTGAGATAGTAATTCATCGAGGAAAACATTGAGAAGTGGTCACGCTATGCCATGAATTGGCAGAAGTTGGAATTTATTGGGCTGGTCATTGGATCGAGTCCCAGTGGCTCAATGGTCTACGAGCTCGCTGGCCTTGTAACCAGAAGGTCATGGGTTAGAACCCTGGAGGTGGGTGAGTGCGTACTGATGAAGAGTCTCAAACTAGGCTGACGAAACAGCTGTCCAGTACTCCCTGGTGGTTTCCCAGTAGTTCTCTAAGTGATGTCAGCTCATGATGAAATCGTCCAACCCAAAAAAACCGTTGCGTGCCCCTATATATACAAAAATGAAACCTGATCGGTTCACAATGAGCTACAGAACCCACAGCATTTACAGCCCTGGTACCAAGAACGAAGAGATAAACACTCTGAAGAGAATCCTCCTCGAAAATGGCTACCCAGACCATTTCATCACAAAATCTATGAAACCAAAATCGGCCACACTTTCTGCTTCCAAAAAACTTCTCTACATGAATCTACAATTCACTCTACAAAACACTCAGAAACTACCTGTCCCACTTACTGAAGACAAACTTTTTCACGGTTGAACTTCGAATAACTTCCCCCTACGAAAGCAATGATTCACATGAACGTGGAGGCTTAGCTACTACTGTTGGCTGGCCTAATCAATGTGCATCCACTGATTCACCTGCTCCACACCTGTGAAGCTAGGTATGTCGACTGTCCAAACGTATCATCGAACAGTTACCCACTGTCATGGTTTTATAAAGGAGAAAAAAGGGCCCCAACCCCAGAAGCTCTATTCTGGAACACCTGATCGAATAAGGACACTAAGCAGACCTACAAAAGGCTTCAAAGTTATCCACAGAATACATGGGAATCTTGCTTAACGAGTACGAATTAAACTTCTTCAAACAGCACAAGCAATGGCAGTTCACATGTTAAATACTGAAGTCTGCATACAAAAGAAGTTTGGTCAGTAATTAAATCTGCAGTGGACCTGACTTATCTTAACACCAGTCACGCTATATTACGAACTGGCAGAAGTTGGAATTCATGGATTGGCCAGTGGATAGGCTCCCAATGACTTAATGGTTTGCGAGTTAACCTTTTAGTGGTAAGGTCCTGGGCTCGAACCCTTCAGTGTGGGTACGTACTAGTGAAGAGTCCCAAACCAGGAAGAAACAGCTGTCCAGTGTTGTCAGCTAGTTTTCTAATAGTTCTCTAACAGATGTCAGTTCATGATAAAACCCTGTAAAATATTATTAATAATAATATTGTTCCCTTAAGTTCCGAGTGGAACAGAGGGCTTTAAAAGCATTTCATTCGCCATTTCACTCTTTTCTCTTCAGCCTAAAAGCTGTCATCAATGCCTCACACAATCTCCTCCATATCACCCTTAGAATAACTCACAACTCATCAATTCTCATTCAGGCCTGATGCGTGATATCACTCAACGGTGGTCTCCTTAACAGATATGCTCACGCTATTATTGCAAAAGGTTTGGAAGGAAAGGTGTGTACACAGTTCAAGTTCCCACACTTCATACATATATATATATATGTCTTTTGTCTTTCCTCGTACTCTTCTTCACTCCTTTATTCAGTCAGGTGTAGACTGAACTCGTTCATCATCTGCTTCACGATCCCTCATTCCTCTCTATTACCTTCAACGAGTCCGTAGGGAACCATTCTTTGTCTTGCCTCTTCTTCTTCCTCTCTCTCTCTCTAAGACGGCTATAGAGCTTTCCTTTAACATCACTTTAATAGAGAGTTTCAGTGTTCTTTCTTCTAGACACGTCTCATCGTTGCTGTGATGCTGGCGGGGAAGATGTCTCTTGTAGTTTCGCCCTTTAGTTTCTCGGAACAGCCACCACAGGGAGGGGAGAATTCATCTTGAGTTGAGAGGCTGTCGAAGACTCTTAGTAGACTTATGTACTTTTGATGATTTGGTGAGACAGCATTCACAAGCACAAGGAGATAGATACACAAAGCGATATGGGTTTCACCAGATGGGGAGGGTCTCATCAAAGAGATAGATTCCACTTCATAATTCCAAGAAATATATACCACGACCATGGTCCGGATTTAATTCCCAGCTGCTGCCACACCACTTAAACCTCAACTAACCGGTAGCGGACGTGTACAAGAGGATAGGTCGGGTGTGAGACTAGCAACCCCACTCCACACCACCATTTCCACTAAAGCTCCAATGGTTCAATGCTCACAGTATTAATGTAAAGGGAGTATCCTTAGGTACTTAAACTCTCAACAATATGTAAAGGTACTTTCAATTCCTTGTGCTCTTAAAATGGAATATATGGGTCTCCAAGCCTTGAAGTTTTATATAGTGGTGATGTTAGTTTCTGTTTCTGAGGAGTGAGATTTTGGAAGCCTTACACACTCAACCTACCCACTTTGCCATAACTATTTCTATCGGTTAGGTGAGTAAGATTTAGGAGTAAATTGGTTGGGAATCAAACCTGAACACCACCCCGCCGCGTATGAGACTGGTGAATATTTTGACAGTGAATCACCATGCCGTACAAGTAAATGCGATCGATCTACACAACACACAGTTTCATTTTGATTGGCTGGTAGAATACAGAGTGGAGAAGATTTCCAGTTCACATGGATAATATTGAGTTAATTGTGTTCTTCATATAAGCTGGTTGATGGTTTAACCTCCAAGCGTTCACTGCCCTACTAGGTAACATCTAAAATTAAACCATCAACCAGCTCAGATAGAGAACACAACTACAACAAACAACATCATCCACCTGAGGCACAAATCTTCTCCATCATATCGATTTCTATCATTCTGAAGAACCCTGCCTACTTCATATGTGTATGTGTGGCTCAAACCAACAGCTAGAGGAGACGTCACCGATTAAAGCCTCGTTTTATTATCAGTTAATCACCCTCAACTCTATTCTAACCTAGTCAAGGAAAACGCCAGCTCAACATGCCATGCCATATGCATATCCAGACTGTCACAGTTGATTCAGATCCACAACCTCATTGATTAATTAATTTCGCCGCCTATCTAACAGTCTCCTTTTCAAACGCTTTTCTTACTGACGATCTGCTATGTAACTTCTGGTCATTTCAGCTGTGTCTCAGCCGTAAAGTGGCAGAAAGCAAACTGTTGCACAGTACACGTATATTCTTGAATAGATACGCCTAAGATGACTTAATTAATTTACAGCGTACCCTACCCCAGCCAAGCTTTTCATATCCGCCCCCAAGGATTCATCATCATCAATCAATTAATTAGTTAGTCGATTAGGGTAAAGTACAATCCTTCAAATCAATGAAGTGACACAACACATCCAACCATTTCGGTCGGTACAGAGCAGCATCCTTTAGCATCAATCCATCTGACATATTTCGTTGGAGGGTGAATTTCCAGTCTAACAGATAGTCAGATTTTCGATCAAGCTGTTCAGAAACCTCTGTATTTTGTTCGAATTAAGTGTGTTCTCTACCTCAGCTGGTTGATGGCTGAATTGCGAAGCTTCCATCGTCCCCCTTGTGCTAGACACAACATCTTCCTTCACAGTAGGTTTTAGTATGAAATGAACTTATTTTTAAATTATCCATGAATGATTTATTTATTTGTATCTCCTGGCGAAGCATTGCCGTCACTGGTGTTGTTGTTGCTTGATTTACGTCTCTATTGATGATCATAACTTTATTGATTTGGATGGAATTTGAACTTTTTTGTCGTGTGATGATTTCACCTTTTATTAGCAGCTGGTAAATTTCGTCTATAAGAATGAGTGTATGCTTGTTAACTGCGAATTCAATGTTTAAAAGAATTCAGACACACTGTAGCACTACTCCTGTGTAGAGAGAACGGAGGAAAAATACTCACTAGCTGTCTGGGTATACAATGCTTCGATGCGGGCTGTCTTCCTCTACACCTGTGAAACCTGGCCTCTTCAAGTAAGCTGAGGACGTACGGCGACTCTGCATGTTCGATCATCAACGTCTCCGCAGGATTGCTTGCGTTCGGTGGATGGCATCATCGCGTGAGTAATTCTGAGGTTCGGCGGATGGGTGTTTGAACATAGTGGAGATCACCATTCATTGGGTGTCGTCATGTGGAAACACCGGCTCCGGTGGCTTGGACATCTGCTGCGAATGTCATCTCAGAGGCTTCCGTACAGGTCTCTGTTCGCTAGCCAGCTCTGGGACGGGATGGAAAAGGCGGAGGGGTGGTCAGTCCATGACGTGGCGTCGTGGGATGAAAGATGTTTGTGCTAGGCTAGCATCGGTTGGTGCGCCACGACTCCCTTGTTGGCGTCCGTGAGATAGCTCAAATCAATGGCTCGAAACGTTAGCGTCTATGGCCAATAATCGCAGTTATCAATGGCGAACGTGTTGCAATTTCCTTCTTTCTTCCCTTCCCGATGATAATTAACGAACACTGTTTAAACTTGTTAAGTATGACTGTTTTCCTTCCAGATGAAGTTCTTTATCCGTTCTTTACTTATATTTTTTTAACTTTTGATCTATGTTGGTTTATTATTATTGTATGGCGCATCTTTCTTGGTGCCATATTGTACCAAGTTTTTTCTGCGTTTAAATAATAATACGCTGTCTTCATAAAGAATGCATACCCTCTCACCAAGACTTCATCAAAAATTGTTTTAAAACCTCAGTCACAACACCAACGCAACAAGCCAATATCAAAGACTAAAAGAAAATTCAATCTACCATATGTAAAAAATATCTCTGAAACAACAGCTAGAATACTGAAACCGTTTGAAAGAGATATGGCACACAAGCCTGTCAGCGAAATCACTTCACTCGATATTGTGCAAACCAAAAGAAAAAAGAGATAAAATCAATACCATTTACAAAATAAATTGCATGCATGAACTGTAATAAACATTAGATCAGTCAAAGTGGACATCCTCTTCGAATTTGAATCCGAGAACATGAATTGGGCTGTGAAGAGACATGATATGTATTCTTTCATATCAATGCATGTAGATAATTACGGACACTAATTTGACTGGGATAATGTCCCGATAATGTAGCAATTTTAAATAGAGGAAACACCAAAACTGCAATCAGAGAATTCCTAGAAACCTGGAATTAATAGGCATACTATCATAGTATTCGTTTTTGTAGGGATTTAGTTTGATTGATTGGAGGATTTCATCATGAGCTGATATCGGTTAAAGAACCATTGGACAGCCAACTGTTTCGTCCTAGCTGGAGACTTTTTGTCGGTACGCCCGCACCAACGGGGTTTGAACCCACGACCTTCTGGTTACAAAGACAACAAGCTCACAGACCGTTCAGCCGCTGAGACCCGATCAGATGGCCAGCCAATGAATTCTAACATCTACCAATTCATGACATAGCGTGACCACTTCTCACTATCTTCATCGATGAGTAACTGTCTCACACTCAACCTGCTGCACCCCATTGGTCATGGCTTCCCACTAGAACTCCAGGTTAACTTCCTGAATAGGGCCAGTCGCTAGTGAGCATCAGATGAGATCAGATCCCCAAACTAGGACGAAACAGCTGTCCAGTACTTCTGTAGGTTTTCCAATGGTTCTCTAACTGATGTCAGCTCATGATGAAACCCTCTAACCAATCAAACACAATCCCTACAAAAACCAATACTTGAAAAACAGATTTGGTTTATTAAAATGAATTCTGATCTCCTCTTTCGTATATTAAGTGGAACTCGTAGGGTATCAGAAAGGTTTGATGCTCTGTATGGACTAGTTGAGGTAGTATGCAGTCATGTATCGCTTAATTCAATGCTTTGCCTGACCATGACTCCGACTTTCACCTGCCTACTGCTGTCCCCTATATATCAAGTTTCACACTCCGAACATTTTATCCCATAGACACAATTGTTCTGTGACATTTTGGGAACCATACCGTTGACATTCACCAAAGCTTCCCCTAGAGAATTAGAGGGCTTGAAATAGATTTTAATGTTATGAAGCGAGTAGTCTTTGAAGTTGTTCAGCTGTCTCCTTTCGATATGGGGAATCGCTATCGTCGATAGTCAAGATTTTTCAATTTTCTGTCCTCCCCTCTGGTCCTTCTTATTGATAATATTATTTAGTAGCTTAATATCAATCTCCAGGCCACTGATAGCTACTGGATGAATGTCCTGAAGGTGTCTGTACTGACAAGTTGTCACCAATAGGGTCTACCATGTCAAGGTGATGTGGAGGCTCATTGAAGGAATTGGTTGAAGGAGGTGCTACATCTCAGACGAATTAACAAGGTTAGAATTCGCGGGTTACTGAATCCTAACCCAAATTGGTTGAATAGTCAACAAAGCTTGGTCTCATAAGCTGGGAAGCTTGCAGATTCAATCTCCGTCGGGTAGGGTCGTAAGTGTGCACTGATGAAGAGTCGCAAACCAGGATGTAACCGCCGCCTATAGCCCAGTACTCACTGATTTTCGTGATGTAATCTATATTGAAAATAATAGTAATAGTAGTAATAATTATAATAGGAAGTGATGCAAAATTCTACATTCTTACATTATCCGATGGTTTAGCTTCAAGCAGATCAATAGGACTACTTGTCCAGCCAGCATTATTATTAGCATTAGTATGAGTATTTACCAGCAACTGTTGTGAATATTCAAGTTTCGTTAAATTCACTGATGATGATGATGATAATGACGGAGGCAATAAGTGATTATGCAACTGATCCAATTGTTCACTATTTGGTACCCAAGCATCATATTCTTCTGTAGCACTCGCCAGACGATATAATTCTTGTAGACCAGTTGAACTAATTGTCGTGAAACTAGCTGAGGATTTATTTTCAGTTGTTGTCGGTGGTGGTCGTGGTGGTGGTTGTAGTGCTGGACGAGGGGTATCAGTAGTCGCAGTAGTAGTGAATGTATTTTCTACATAAGTATTCAACACAAATGATTCTTGAGTTAGTTGGACAGAAATCGTCTCATCATCAGCATCATCGGGTTCAATCGTGAGATTGCCTTTGTAGCCTTCGATTTCTTTCTCTTCGTCTTCTTCTCCGCCAATAGTCTCATCATCCTCTGTAAAACTGCACTCAAGCCATTTAGAAACGTAGTCATCGTTTGCAATAGATGATTCTAGAAATCAAATTTAGAAAAATGAAAGGTAGATTATATAGATATATACTACAGAAGACGTCAAGTACCAAGACAAGTGTTAAAGATTTATCCCACCCATCTGTCTGTCTATCTGTCTCCTTCCCATTCATTTGTGTCCCCAGTGGAACACAGGGCTTCAAGCAATGGGCTCTGAAGTTTCTGTAGTAGTAGTAGTAGTCGTGTAACAACAGAAGACAAGGGCCAGGCAACAGATCGTTTAATTACGAAAATTAACACGTATTTATATATATTTTATGTACATTTATGAGGCTTATGCAAGCAGACAAACGCAGTCTTCTGATTGGTTGTTTTCGATATTTCTCGGAAAGTAGAGCCATTTATCTGCGAATCATATTTGCCCACGTTTAAGCTTGCTGTGATTGGTTGTTGAAACAGCCTTGTTCATATTTTCTCACGGCCCAGGCCCATATTAGTGACCTAGACATTGACGTAGATTGGTGTCAGCCAATTGGCTAGCAGGCTGCTCTCACCACAGTAGTAGTGTAACAATAGAAGACAAGGGCCATGAAACAGATCGTTTATTAAGGAAATCAACACATATTTATAGATTTTCATGTACATTATTATAGATTATTGTTAGCAGAAAAACACAGTCTTCTGATTGGTGGTTGTTTCTCACAGAAAGTTAACCTTGCATCTCTTTGTGGCTGTTTCTTGAATGTCAGATCATCTATATGTTAACTGTATCCGCCTACGCAAAGCCTTTGTTCTCATTTTTCTCACGACTAATATTGGGGACATAAACCTTGAGGTAAATTACTGTCCGCCAATTTTTACTAACAGCCAGCTCTCACCACGATAGTAGTATTATTCTTTATTACCAGGGTGCAGTCTTCTTGACTTAGAGTATGCAGATGATGTTTCTCTCCTACGTAAAGATGCTTTTAAAAAGGAACGCTGAGTTTTCTGAACACCTTAAGGAGAAAAAATCTTCATACGATGGCACAGATGTATTTATTCATTGGCGGCGTCTCCGGTATTCATCGAATTGTCATGTTCTCCCGTCACATTTCAACTGTTTATAGTCTTTTTTGAATATCTTTTTCTGTCTCTTTTGTCTAGTTTTGTGTCCAACATGGAGTGTGGTAACTTGAACTGCTGCACTTCTGTGCAAAGTTGTATGTATGTTGAGATTCAGTCATGCAGTCAGTCAGTCAGTTAATCAGTAGGATAATAATAAATAATAATAATAATAATAATTGCTTTATTCCAAAAACAGTACTCATGATACAGCAAGGAATTTTCAGCATTCAGTACAATATTGCATCTAATTTACTCAAAAACGACAGAAAAAAATTAAAAATACACAATACATAATAGTAATAAAACGATTGTTGTAGCAGCTACGTAGCAAAATACTGTGTGCCATACGGAGAAAAATATGTATAAAGTACAAAATTGTAGTAATAATAGTAATACCAACTAAAATAAAATAGCAGAGTAACGATTTAAACGATAGAAAGTGTGACACCATAAAATACAGAAAGATGAACGATAAAAGGGTCGATTCACTGTGCTAATTACATAGTAACTTGTAAGTTTCACGTCTAACAGAGTCTTCGTCACATAAAGTACGCGCTAAATAGGGTATTGTAGAATTTCTATACTTAGTAGTACGAGCATATATCTTTTTATATTGACTTCTCGTCCTACCTGATGAGATACAAGGGGACAGGTGTGAATAAAGGGGGTGCAGAGGGTCTGACATTATAGCCTTTGCCCATTTCGTACAGGAATTTATATGCCTCTCGACTATAGTATTAGCGAGCTCATGCAGTGGCAGACCACAAGCTCTACTCACAGCATTTAATACTCTTCGTAATATGATATAATCTTTTTTGAGCAGCCCAGGAAAGATTAATGGAGAGCAGTAGAGTACAATAGGTAAAATACAGGAGTTTAAAAATTGCAAAACTAAAGGTTGGTTGATACCTGATTGTCTTAACTTTTTAATGTAGAAGGTAAGACGAAACATTTTCTTAGAGATAGATAAGATATGGGATGACCATGAAAGGTCAGAGGAAAAAACTAGTCCAAGGTATTTAATACTTGATTTGGTTTCAATTTCCGTGCCATCTATGCTACAGGGATCATGAGAGTTAACTAGTTCAAGTAAGTCACGTCGATGCTTGAAAGTAAAGTCAAGCACCTGACATTTGGAAGGATTTAATATAAGACCATTTGACTTGGACCAGTTGTTGATGTCCAACAGAAAGCTATTAAGTTTGGAGCTGTCAGACTCGGAAGTGATAGGCAGTGATACAGTCAGATCATCTGCATATTTGACAAAGTTAGTTTCGTTTGAATGAGGCAGGTCATGTAGGAAGAAAGAAAAAAGAAAAGGAGAGAGGACAGCACCTTGTGGAACACCGGATTTTGTAAGCGAGGTAGAAGAAGATTTGCCGTTATATACAGTATACTGCATTCTATCAGAAAAATAGGAATGCAACCAACTCTTAGCCCAGGATCCTGTTTGTGTCAACGATAGCTTATTTAACAAAAGGCCCCTAGGTACAGAGTCAAAAGCAGATGTGTAGTCTAAGAAAGCACTACGAACATATTTAGCACCTTTGTCTAAACAAGAGACAACATTGTGATATAAGACAACCGCAGCATCCAAGGTACTTCTACCATGTTTGTATGCAAATTGTTTAGGATCATTAAAAGGTTTCAAAGCGGGTTCAAGACGAAGTAAAAGTAATTTTTCCATCAATTTTAAAAAGGGGGAAGTAATTGCAATAGGCCGAAATTTAATATCAGAACCAGAAGATGGTTTTGGTATAGGGATAATTTTAATGTTTTTCCATGCAAAAGGTAGAACGTTACCGGAAAAAGAGGCATTAAAAATGTTAGTAAGAGGATAACACAAAATATCAGCACAATTCCTGAGGACAATGGCAGGTATGCCGTCAGGACCAAGGCTTTGAGAAGGCTTAAGAGACCGGAGACATTTAAGCACATCAAGGGTATTAAAACCACTAAAGTTATTGTCAATATGATTTGTATCATTTGGAAGGGTATCAACAGAAGAGCGTATGAAAGATTTATTAAGAGTGTCAACATTAAGAGATGGAACAGAAATACATCGCTTACCGTTAGTAATTTCTTTGAAAAGTTTCCATAAATTAGAAGGGGTTTTACATGACAAAAATCTTTGATTATATAAAACACTTAGTCTTTTTATTTCCAGTTTTATCAGCATGTTTAACTTTTTTACACCAGGCTTATCATTAGTTTTGAACAACAGTTCTTTATTTCTACGTAGCTTTTTGAGATATGGCGAAGATAAGCGATCAAATCGGATGAATAATGTTTCTTTAGGACAACATATTTCGAAACAGAATTTAAGATAATCGGTAGTGTTTGTGATTGTTTCATCTAATGTTTGTTCTGTAAATAAGTCCCAGTTAGTGTCTTTCAACATGCATCTGAGCTTGTCTAGGTTGTCTTTTGAGTAGCATCTCCGTTGAACTTTACTGTAGAGGTGAGAGAGGACACCTTTGTGTGATTTGGAATATATTTTAGGCAGTACACGTATGATGCAGTGGTCAGAATTAAGTAGAGGAGCACGTTTGCGAGCTTCATATATACCAACATCATTGATGAATACTAGATCCAGTTTTTTACCAAGACGGGTGGCAAAGTTGACAATATTGTCATGACCAAGTGATATAAGGAAGGAGCAATCGCTTCCATTGAAGTCGCCAGTTACTATTGATAAAGAGTTCTCGAAACAAGCTGCAGCAAAAGCGGTGAATTCATCGGCGAACATAGATAAATCCAATATGGTACAGCCAGGAGAGACATAAACATTAGAAATATAAATGAATTTGTATTTTGAAGGTGTTTCGGGCGACATCTCACAGTGATGCAATCAATGAAGTCATTCGAGAATTTGAAACAAACTTTGTTTGAAATGGACCATTTTGAGTGAATAAAAGTTGCAACACCTCCACCACACTTTTTCTTGGAACAAACACGGTCTTGTCGAAAAACATTCAAATTGTTTAGATTTTTTGATGTGGTTGTGTTCTCTGAGCTGGATAGTTAATGCGCAAGGCTTTCATCGCCCTACTAGGCAACATCTTCAGCGCATACTTCAATTCAATGAAGTGAGCTTTTAGATTTCTCCACGAGTTTATTAATCATCTCTCCTGCTGACCTTACACGTGATTTGTTGTCTTTGTCTGTTTTCACACCTTCTAGATTACTTGTATTGGAACTGATTGTTTCCTTGACTTGAACTTTGACCCTTTGTGTGTGATATTTCGTTCTTATCGGTTGGTAGATTTTGTCTATCTCAATGTATCTACTGATTGATGATTCACTGGAATTCCAAGCTTCTAACAATTCTCTAGCATTCTTGTTATTTCCTCTGTCTAATATTTGAACGATGGTTGTCCCAGTCGAATTGATATCCATGGTTGTCTGTATGCAGCAATATGAGTGAGGGAGTGGATATCATGTCTTTTGACGGCTAGCTTATGTTCTTGGATACGAAGACGAAGACGACGTCCACTTTGGCCAATGTAGTGTTTTTCGCGGTTGTTACAATTTATTTTGTAGATGATGTCGGTTTTATCTTCTTTCGCTGTTGAGTCTTTTGGTTGACACAGAGCCAGCTGAGTGAAGTGATTCTATTGGTTTCTGTACGACGTCAATTCCTAAAGGTTTGAAGAGTCTTGCGAGGACTTCTGAGATGTCCTTATTATATGGTAGGGTGATTTCCTTTGTGCTCTCCTTGGTGGCCTGTGATCTGGTAGGTTGGCTTGTGGGTATATGTCTTTTGATGAAATTCTGTGAATATTCATTCTTTTGAAAGACGTCCATGAGATATATTTCTTCAATTTTCCTTAAGGTGGGAGTGCTGCAATGATTCCTTCCCCTTTTGTGTGTTATTAGATTGTTCCTGTTGTAATTCAGGATTTGGTCTGTGTGAGTTGATTTCCTACAAACTTTTCTAAAAACAACCAAAGAGTCATGTTTAAGATCACCAGGAGAGATGATTAATAAACTCGTGGAGAAATCTAAAACCTCGCTTCAATTCAAATTGAAGTATGCGCGCTGAAGATGTAGCCTAGTGGTGGGGCAATGAAAGCTTCTCAAATAAACCAGCCATCCAGTTCAGAGAACATAACCACATCAAAATCATCCACCACCTGAGCTACAAATCTTCTCTACCATATCTACATTGAGAAGTGGTCACGCTTTGTCATAAATTGGTAGAAGTTAGAATTCATGGGCTGGCTGACTGGTCATTGGATTGACTCCCAGTGGCTGAATGGTCTTTAAGCTCAACTTTTACCCTAAAAGTCCTGGCCTCGAAACCCCGACTGGTGAATGCCTGCTGTTGAAGAGTCCCAAACTAGGACGACGACGACGACAGAAACAGTTAACTGTCCAGTACTCCCTGAGTAATTTTCCAATGTTTCTCTAACTAATGAAACACATTTCTCTCACTCAGACTCCTTGCTGAATAAATGGGCATCGATAACTCATTAAAAGACCATACCTTATGAATAAAAACAACGTCAAGAATATCACATTAAACGGTAACTTACCTATATCTGTTAAATTATCATCTTGTTGACTTTGTGAAATTGTGTATTGTTGAAGAAGAACAATCCATTGAGAAAGATACTGCGATTCACTGGCTGATAGATTAACGTCGATATTTTCTTGAAATGTGGTGGTGGGCGGGCAATGGGGGAGTAAAAAGAAACTGAAGATTAAGACGTTTTGAACAACAAAAACTTCATATGGAGCAACAAGTGGATGAAAACTAATCATTCCCTGAACTAAATAATCAACACTTACATTCATCAAATTTAATGTATCATGCAGGATACAGTGAAATATAATCTCTATAAATGTATATGAGATAAAGTACCATAATCTGTCCATCCCAAGCAAAATACCATGCCACATCACCTTGGAGAGAATCAAACAAGCCAACCTGGATGAAAATCTTCGAGTGGAACAGGTTGGATTCAGGAGAAACAAGTCATGTATTGAGATCAAATAGCCACACTACGGATCATCATTGAACAAAGCCTGGTGGAATGGCAGTCACCTCTCCACCTCACTCAACTTCATCGACTTTGAAAAGGCATTCGACAGTGTCGATCGAGAGGTGATTTGGCAACTACTTCGCTACTACGGGGTTCCGCCGACAATTATACGTCTCATCCAACAATTGTACGACAATGCTGCATGCCAAGTATACCACAACGGGAAACTTACGGAATCCTTCAAAGTGAGGACGGGAGTAAGACAAACTGGGTGCCTACTATCGCCAATGATTTTCCTGATTGCAGTAGATTGGATAATGCGTCAAACAGTGGGCAGCGAGGAAACAGGCATAAAATGGACCCTCACGAAAAACTTGGATGATCTGGACTTCACCGATGATATATATCTGATTTCCCACAAACTGGAAGATATGCAAGTGATGAAAAGCAACATGTTGGCTGAAGAAGCATCAAAGATAGGAGTTGATTCAGGTGAACATAAAGAAAACAGAGGTGATGAAGATTCCTGGCCAACAGCAACAGAAACGACAACAATCAGCCAGCATAAATGGGAGGAACCTGAAAGAAACAACCTCCTTTACCTACCTTCCTACCTGGGAAACTTCGTTTCAACTTCAGGCGGATGGAACTGACGGGGATATAAAAGCAAGGATCGGAAAAGCAAGACAAGCTTTCATTACTCTCAAGTCTATGTGGAGGTCAACAGCACCCATCATGAAAAACAAGATCCGCATTTTTAACTCCATTATGAAGTCAATGCTACTTACTATACGGATCAGAGAGTTGGCGCGTCATAAAGAGAACCTCAGTCAAACTACAGACCTTCATTAACAGCTGCCTTCGCTCAATACTCAAGATCAGATGGCCAGAAAACATCAGCAACACAGATCTCTGGGAGTGAACCAACCAGGAACCGATTGTGCAGCAAATAAGCAGGAAGAAATGGAGGTAGATTGACTGGCCATACTCTGAGAAAACCAACAAGTGACATCACTAGACAAGCCACCGCTCGAGTGGAACCCGAAACGGAAGTGGCGAGTCAGTTGGTCGTACAAGGGTGACTTGGAGCAGGTCATGTGAAGAGATGAAAACATGTGGTTTCTAAGTGATCAACACTAACTAACACAGTCTTCGCGGCCATTCTTGTCTAGAACGAAAGATATTTTCCATTATATGGGGATTCTAGCGGGGAACGTACGTAGTGACGACGAACAAGTACATGTGAAGACGATTATAGAAACAGATGGACAAAAACGTCTACGGACTATGATCGCATGGGAGCCGGTTTAACTGAACACACCGTGTCTGTGAGCCTGCTGGCGTATGAGACGAGATCTACAGCTAGTGAAGAACTTAATGATGAAATAAACCCAGATGGCAATTGTAGTGTTTTTCCATATACCAGTTTAGCAGTAGTACAGTCAGAATCCGTTTTCAACATGCCTCGTATGCTGAAAAGGACTAAGGGTGGTGATTTAGGTCAATATGCAGTGTTTGCGGTTGGTAATCCAGACTCCAACTGTCTGTGAAAACGTTCGGTCATACTGTGGTGAGAGCTGGCTGCTAGCCAAAATTGGTAGATAGTAATTTACGTCAATGTTTACGTCCCCAATATTGGTAGTGAGAAAAATAAGAACAAAGACTGATTCAACAAACAACCACAGCAGACTTTGCGTAGGCGGATACAATTCGCAGATAAATAACCTGAACTTCAGTAAACGGCCACAAAGAGATGAAAGATTAATGTTCAGCGAGAAACTCCCAATCAGAAGACAGTATTTGTTTGCTTACAATAATCTATAATAATGTACATGAAAATATATAAATATCTGTTGATTTCCTAAATAAACGATCTGTTGTCCGGCCCTTATCTTCTGTTGTTACAATGCCACCACATGCTTGGGGATGGTAGTCTATTGTTCTGAAACGCAGGCGCAGCCTAGGAGTTTAGAGTCAAAGCTAGAAATAGGCAGCCTTCAAATAACCTCCCGCGATCAGCTGTAATAATAGGGGATGGGAATCCACCTTTTCCACAAAAGTGTATGCGACTGTTTCAGCAGATACGTCCTTGAAGGGGTACTACCTCAACGAAGATTTAAAAACGAGCATATCTGTGAGATTATGGAAAGGGTCCAACCAGATCTATGTGAATGTGGTCAGGGCGAGCATCTAGGGTACGAAAAGTGCCAAAAGGGATATTAGTATGTTTTATTACTTTGCACTATTGGTAAGCTTAACGCGTACGAGCCGAATGCAGTACTTTCTTATCTATACCACGCCAAAGAAATCGACTTCTTAAAAAAATGTTGAAGAGCAATGGTTACTCTCAAAGATTCATTAACAAGTACGGAAGATCTGAAGTCTCAAATGTCGAACAAATCACAGCGAAGAAAAAGCCAATCTACATTCAACTTGATTATAAAGGTGAAAATATTGCAGCAATGGTTAACAGAAGACTGAGTACGTCACTAGCCAGAGCCTATCCAGTAGCTAGCTATGATGGTTCCCATTTATCGAACAACTTGCTCTTTGGTGCAATCAAAAATCGATAGATATTCTTCTCATGCTAACAACTCCAACTGTATATACAAATTTACATGTATCTGCAGGAGCAGTTACATTGGAAGAACAGAAAGAAGAGCATATCTACAATTTTCTGAACATGTACCAAAAAGCTTATGTCTAAAGGGAATAAATGTTTTGAACAGTGCCATCACCAGGCATCTCCTTGACACAGGTCATGAAGTGGACATCGCAAGATCGTTCAAAATTATCAGTAAGCAAAAGCGTTCAATTCTCCACAAGTTTGCTGAAGCCATTTCCATTAAGCGCCTAAAACCTGATTTATGCGTCCCGAAAAAAGCAGTTATCAGTCTTTCTTTGCCCTACCTGATAACTGGATATTTTCATCTCTCCTTCATCTGATTACGTAATGCTTAAAAGTGGACTGTCTGTGCAAGTATGTTAAAATTGTTTCTGTAGATATATTTAATAATGACTTTGGCCTGTAAGCAGCTGATGAGAAACTGCCAAAGAAATAAATGATGGTACCATTTTATTCTGTATAAACCACTGTTGTTATTGCTTCATTCAAATCGACTTATAATGAGCATAACGGTATTTTGGATTCTTCGGTGAGATATGGCGATAACTTTTAAGTATGATAGGACGAGAAGTACTTGTAGAAATGTCACAGAGGATAGTAGCCTTACCTAGACCTGACAGTTTCTTGTGTAATTCCAGATTTGCTGTTGACAACTCATTTGGAAGCCTAACATCCTCTTTTTCAAGACGAGTCAGTTTTACAAGTTGTATATCATTTATTTAAACGAAGGAACAGATGGCAATCCCTTACTGATAGAACAATATTTTCTTGATATGAGAGAAAAATGAAGGGAAAGATTAAGATTTCAAATACGAATGAATGAAAAGAAACGGTAAATCGATGAATACTAATCATTCCGTCAACAATCCAATCACCACTTACGTTCATCACATGGTAACAACTCATTTGCAGTTGGCATTTTTGGAAAATTTTCAGATTTATCAAATTTTGAGATTCGACGCATCTCCTCTTCAGTCCACATAGCTTCAAGACCAGGATTTATAGAAGGATTAACTATGTAGAGACAGTGGATGTAAAAAAACAACCAGTAAATCAGTAAGAAAATGGGTGATGTAATATGACCACGCATATGGTCCGGGGTTCGATCCCCGGCCGGCGCACACCTTTACCTCACTGAGCCAGAAATAATGCTGGTAAAGAGGAAAGGTTGGGCATGAGGCTAGCAACCCCATCCTGTAAAAATTAAACACTGCTACAGAAACTTCAAGCCACTAGCTTGAAGCCCTATGTTCCACTGGGAACGTGAAGGAAACAACAACAATATGACTTTTAATGCTTATAATACAATATTCAAAAGTAAGTAAGTATGCATAGGTAAGAGGTGGATTCATTTGTGAATTGAGTTAAATGAAATAACGAAGTTATTGATCCCTTGATTTGTCAATTTACACCATCTCTGGAGTAGACTCGACCAAAGGATGTGTAAACTGCTCAGTAGTAACTTCGCTCCGTCCTCCTTTATGTCTGTGAATGAGACACGGTCATTGAAAGTGGAAAATATGGAAAGGGTAGCTGCCTTTGATCATAGGAGTCTGAGTTGTGTCTCCCGTGTTAGCTTGTGGTATAATACGGTGAGTAATATTGAGATTAGGCACTGAGTGTTAGGAAAGGAAAGAAAATTTATCGATGAGGTTGTGGTGCGTCATCGATTGAAATGGTTAGGATATGTGTTATACGCATGCCAAACCATCTCCTTCCTTAACGGTCAATGTTAGCTAACGTAGGATGAACCAGGTTGGAAAAGAGCTAACCAGTGGTGGTCAAACTAAAACAGTTTCACTCTTATACTTGTCAAACTCTATTGATTCTCTTCACTCATCTTCTTGTCTACCTTTGTGTACTATTTGGAACGTGGCAACTCGAACTGCTGCACTTCGGTGCCAAGTTCTATGTTGAATACAGACAGAGACAGACAAACTAAAACATGGCTTCATCAGTCAATGAAACCCACAACAGTTAGTTTAAGTCAGCCACGTAGGGAAGTGCAAACTTCCTGCCTACCTGGTTGGGGTCCTCGGGACGGCAAAAGTCAGCAGCTGGCGCAGATGCATTTGCTCTTTGTGATTTATAATGTCCAATAAAATTCTATTGTTCTTCTATACTACTATTCTGTTCGCCTCATATTTCTGTTTGTTATCTCTCTCTCTTTTGAATCTCTCTTCACCTAATCTCTTCTCTTGCTTTGTGTGCTACATGGATGGAGTGTGGCAACTCGAAATGGTGCACATCTGTGCAAAGTTCTAATACTGAAACCAGTCAGCCAGTGATTTGTGTCAATAGGATATTACAGCATTGTAAATAATTCATACTACTGTAAGTATCATTGGGCATATGATGATAGACTAAATAAGAGTGCACAAAGCATACTATTGGTCAAGTTGGGTGATGCAAATTAAAAGCATCATTATATGATTACCTTACATCTTTTTTTATCTAATACAAGTGGTCAGTGTTTTAAAACACTTAAAAGTCATTAATTAGCTTTTCTATCGGCGATCGAATAATGGAATGACAGGTAGTCACTCCGAAAGTTTGAGTTCAATCTTCAGCTGACACACTCCTAGTAGCCGGTAGTGAACCCGGAAAAGGGGGGGACTTAGATGGTGGGCTAGACAGCAACACCACCGTTACTGAAACTTCAAATCTCAATACTTGAAGCCCTTATGTTCCACACTTGAAATGCAAAGGGATGAAAGGAAAATCATACCCTTTCAACACCCTATTACTTATTATTCCCTTGAGTGCCCAATGGGACATATGGCTTTTTCAACAGCGCATCTCTATTTCATCCTGTTTTGTTGTAGTCGTCTTTAGCTAGTCCCTTGAGTGTCCATAAAATCTCATCTTCTGCTCATGCAGTCTCCTCCATATCACTCTGGGGTGCCCGAATCATTGTTCCTCATACGGGTTCCACTCGAGCGATGGCCTAGAGCGCGATATCACTCAACGGTCTATCTTAGGTTACGACAGCATGCCCGTTTGACCATCCAACAACTACTTGGGCCGGTATTCAATGATCCATCAGTTCGTAAAACAGAGCTACCCTCAACCAAGACACCAAGACGAAATCTACATTGAAACTAATCGAAATCCCTACAAAAACTCATAATCTAAATGCGTATTTATTATCCCTGGAATGATAAAAGCATAAATTTAGATCTGTGGATGGGGTTGAGGTAAGATTTATCCGTGTACAACAGTCAATAAACCAACCAGCTTAACTATCAGTAATCCCTAATGACTATTGCTCCTCTTTGTTTTAGTACTCCTGTGTTGCAGCATACCAGGTTTAATTAAGTGATAAGAGGTCGTAGTGTAGGGAAGTTTAAGAGTGACAGATTTGATATATTCTGAAAGGAACACTATTTAATACAATTGAGTAGTTACACTCACTACTTTCAGTTTATAAAGTTCACTATGCAATAATGCTGATCGTATAGAGTTTGAGTAGTAACTTAGAGGGCCAATGTCTCGAATTTTATGTTTCCGCTTCAGTTTTAGTTATGACCCGTTGCACAGTCAGATGCCTAACGACTTTAACTTTATTGGTCAGTTGTGACTTACTTTTCATCCGAAATTATCTCTTTTCATTAAGTCATAGGTCGGAACCAACCCGCCCCTGGTCCCTTTCGACCTACCAAGATCCTGACAGCCGGGTAGTATTACTACCTACAATAAATGAGGTGTGGCTAGCTATCTACCGCACATAAAGGTGGGTGATTGTTAAGTCATATTTCTCTTCACAGTGTTTAATGCTTCAGTTCCAGTTTGCAGAACACATTTCCACTTCTGCGACCGATAATCCAAACAGACAAGGTAATCAACAAATTTTGCATAGTTCTAAAATGCTACACTTAAAAATAAGCATCTTATGGACAAATAAATGAAAGCAAAAATAATGCCAGAAGTGGGGAAAATTAAAAATAATTGTGTGAAATCAACTTTTATAAATAAATAACAATCTCATAAAGTTTCAGAAGAAAAATAACAATAACTCAAAACATACTTCCAAGCTCTCGACGATTCAGAATATCCCATGCAGATATATCAACTTCCAATTCCATACTGGTGTATTTAGGAGCACATTTTGGTTGTAATAAATGTTCTCTAATGATGAAAAATAATAAACAGAATAATTATCACCTTAGGAGGGAAAAAATCATTTACTGTTCCTAACTTAAGTAGCATCAAATGTGAACAATGAGTTTAAACGATCATTGTCGTTTAGGATGTGGCTTTCCGACGATTAATCAAGGTTTTAGGTCCCACCCGACTAGTCTCACACTGAGCAAGTAGGAAGAATCGATAAGCTGTCATCCACAAAGGGTGACTATTAGCCTGACATAAGGAAAGTCTGTTCCCGATAATTGAACTCCAATAAACATGCCATCAAAACTCAACCAACTTCATCAATTCTGAACCATACACATACTTTTGAAAAACACTCCTACTATGACGCTAAACTAAAGTTTATGAAAGGTAATATTTCGTAGGATACAATAGTCACCAGTTATCGTAAAACATAATTACTGGTTGAGTATTGCAAAGTACATATGAATTAAGCCAAAAAAAAGTGCTGTTAAATGAATGAATTACAGCGGATTACAACTATCCAATGTAAAATATCCCATCTGCAAAGGCCATCATATTATTCGATGAAAATTTTTTCAATGTCTTATATTTAACAGGTCATCATGGTTAAGTTGTCTTAATGTATACTATTGCTTGTGGAGATTATGCAAGATAAACAATTATTGGCTACCATATAATTAAGTTTGATTGGAATGGCTTCATTACTGCATCCGCCTAATATTTCTATAAAAGTGAGATAATATCTCAGATGAAATCCTACATTTATTCTCCATGAGGGTCTTTTAAGGGACTAACATACTCCAAAGACTTCAACAATTAAATCCTATGAAAAACTAAACGAGAAAGCACAAATATACTAACTTACGAATTGAATTTTGAAGGACTCCACATATTTTCAGAATTTTTCAGTAATGATGGGAAATTTACATAATCAGACGCTAAAAACAGTTAAACAGTAGATTTGAAAAACTAACTTACTACGAAATTTAAAATATCCTGCATAAAGCAAATTCATGCCGTACAGATTATAATCCACGCAAAACTATATCTGAAGTAATATACACAGAAGATAAGCATACCTGTAGCAAGTATGGGATATGCGTTTCATAAGTTTGAAATACACGATTCAGCACAGCACCACTTTGTAATATTTCAGAACAGACATTCACTATACCAGGATCCACAAGGTACAACTTGATAAAAGGTCTTTCTGTATCATGATATCCATATATAGAACTATACTGATGAAAGTAAAATAACAACTTACAGACCAGATACCACTGAAGCATCGAAAATGTACATATCTTTCATATTATAGTTGTTTAGCTTGGTACGAATAGATTTTTCAAGACTAAAGACAAACGACCGAACAAAATCACCACCATCCAACTCATTAGTTGGCAGGTCAACGTAAAAATACGGCAAAACTCCATGTACATTGCAACAGATTTTCTGACCTTGAAGGGGTTTCAAGACACATTGTTTTATTTACCTGTAGAAGCTGTACCATACACTCGAATAACTGGCATACGGCTTGAAAATCTTCCTGAAAAACTCGAATAATTTATATCTAGCAGATCTATCGGTGGAGAGAGATAGTAATCCAAGTGAAAGATCTTTATTGTCAGGCATCCTGATGACATGGATCAAAGTAACCACTGCAAACGACCTAAGTCAGTACTCTATTTTCGATAGATTCAAACACTCAAACATAGTAGATTCATATTTATCGATGAAGGTCAGAAGCCTGGGTTAATCCTTTTCTGATAAATTTCTATGCTCGTCTTAACCCTTCCTGAGTGAGTCTATTGAGGGCTTTAGCGCCATTTATGGAGTTGATTCTTTACCAGTTGTTCATGTGGTGAGGTTGGAAAAGTAAAATGACAATAATAGCAGCTATAATTAGTTTAGGTTATGTAGGCTAAAAAATAAAAAAACGTAAAAACAGACATCTAATGAAATTGTAGCAGTAGGCAATACTACAGAATTATTGGCCACAGAATTCATCGCTGAACATCGGATACTGCCCGTCACTGTTTTAGTCGTTTTGTTTAGCTGAAGGCTTATGATCGAGCATCTACCCCATATCGAAAGCCAACGTGTTACGTTCGTTCATTCATGCACGATCCCTACCTAGTTAAGCAATCATCTCGCACTCAGATTTGGTCCCGAAACATAATTCATAATCTGACCGATCAATTTCAGTCTTTTGCTTTGACTTTGGTCTACATGGAATGAATACTGTGGAAGTTGTGGGTATTAAATCTTACTTTAGTATACTTCGTACTATCCGTGAATGTCAAAACCTTCAGCTTCCAAAATAATCGAAATTGATGCATTAGTATATATAAATGTATACATTTCCATGACAATAATAGTGTAAAGAACGTAATACTTGCGTTAACCGGGAGAGTAAGACTGGAGAGAATGTGGAGATGTAAAACGATGAGTTTGGGTACCTACCCACGAATTGTATATGAGATTTTTAAGGGGTGGGAGGCATCAACATGGCACCCGGTTTCGCTGCATGGTTGCCCGGCCTTCGGTTACACAGATCAGGGGGCGGTGCTGTAGGTGCACCTACTTGCAGGGAGTCCCAGGGACAATGAACTCTTGGTAAAAATAAATGGGCGCTCATTCGAATCTTTGCCCAACACTGAGCTATCCTCCGTGGATTCCCACGAGGAAGCCCATTCTTCCTTAATGACAGAACAACTTTGTTTGAGTGATTCTTATCATTTGTAATCCTATGGGCATAAGTCTTTTTCCCCCTAATCCGACGGTAGCTAAGTGTGAGGAGTTTAAATTTCTTCCTTTCTTCATCATATGGTTTGTTTCTGAGACCAATCCCCCCTTTCGTCACCCGTCTTCGAACTCCTTCCAAAAAGTTAGCCACCATTCTAGGCAGTGAGGATTCAATGATATCGTACACTTCAAGGTTTGGTCTTACTCGTGTTTTGCGTAACCTCAGAAAAAGTTCAGGAGTCAGTGCGCCTAACAGTCTGAAGTTTTCTGACCAGGTAGGAAGGAGAAGAGAAAACAGATCAAGTCTGTAGTCATATTTTTGTCAGGCCCAGAATCATGCAAGTTGTCTTCTTTTGTACTCTTTCTAGAATGCGTGAGTCCCCCATAAACAAGAAATGGTTGCCAAAATGCAATCTTCCAATCTTCTCCTCACCTAATGAGCGGCTTCACTGCAAATTCCCACTAGTTCTAGCCTCTCAATCTGTTGTTTTGATTGTTTAGTGACAAATTGTACCTTTCGCATGCTTTTTAAATGAAATCACATATTACATACTTCTTTCTGACGTACATGTTATCTGTGGCATTATATTCTTGAACTGCGTTACACTTCCTACACTTTTATTAAAAGATGTTGGAAATACGGTATATCCTGATTTAATGGCATGGTGACTTCCGGTATAGACTGGTTATACGTTTTCGTCAGCTAGTCTGCCACCAAAATTTACATGTTTTTTCTGAAGTTTTGCATATTTAAACGTATCAAGGGCAATTTCTGTCAGTGGGTGCTACTACAAGTATAATTTTAGTCTGAAGTTCAGAGCTATTAAGTTGATAGTTATCGATCATGGTATACCTGAAGTCATCGGCGCATATCGCGCAATCTAGGCTAATATAGTAGACTGTTCACTGCACAAAATGAATTGTAGTCTGATTACTTTTTAATCATCGGGACAGTATAAGTGATGGATCCTGTTAGTCAGGGTTACTCGGGATGTGCTAAGAACAACTAACCTTTGAATGATAAAACGTAATGAGACAGATCACAATTGACCAATTTCTGCTTTAAACTTTCAATCTAAGGCGTGCGAATGGAAATTAAGTGTGATGACAGTTTAGGCGAATATGTTTATATTAAGAGTGCATACGGAAACAATAAAATAGTACTAACATTTTCATTCATTCATTTAATGGTCAACTGTCTTAACTTTTGGTGAATTCTTGTATTTCCTGCAGTGCAGCATCAGGAATTCATAGGTTCAGGCTGACAAGGTTACTTTGTAACCGCTCACAAGCATTCCGAAACATAATGCTTGGTTACGGCGATAAGAGCGTGGCAAGCGGAATTCCATTTTCAACGTTATACTGATGTTTCCATCCCCAGTTATTTCCCAGAATATCTAGGAGTAACATTTGAGGAAGGGGGATATACCAAAATTTAGATGAAAATCCAACAGGGGGTCTACTACTTGAAACTTTCCAGCCATCACCAGTCAGTGACAACCATCCCAAAATAATCCGGACGACCAAAAGGTGATTTCGCCCGGATACTTACCATTTTATTGGTTACGATTACAGACCAACTGACATACCCCTGATGACTTTTCGAATTATGTGTTGTTGTGTAGATAAACTTACTTTCCGTCTCGTATTTAACGTGCCCTCGCTGAAGTTGCAAGGTGAGAGATCGCCTAGCCGTCGTAAGCTCTATTGGTGTTTGCAAGCGATACTCGTGATCATAGAGTCTGTCATCCGCTTGGCGTCCCTATTTCAACTCGACGTTTCGCGGGATATAGTACGATCAGTGTAGTATCACAGTGCACGCCAGTAACAGTTCCTTCCACTTACTACATAATCAAGTTCATCGTAGTTTTATTTTTTTACCACTCTCAACATTATAAATACTATGGCCTTTTTCCTAACTTACTGATCTCAGCCTACTTAAGTGGTTTCGTGTCGCTTCCAAATGCCTGCTAGCGTAGTATTAGGCAGTTTTTTCTTCCTCGTGTATGTTGATGCTCATTTAGTGTTCTTGTTGTTAAGTCGGCCACCAAAGCTTCCCGGACACTCTAAAATATGCAATAAATAACCAATTTCTCTTCATGTTGTTTGTAATTCAGTGTTGCCAAAACACATTTCCATAAAACTATGCTATTCATCGCCGAAGTTCTGCCGGGAGAAAGCATATTCCTATCTGGCTAATTCCATGTTGTCTACACCGTAAGAAAAATATTGAAATTAAGATTGTATACATTTAGTATGGCGCTAGGTGATAAGTAGATACGGTGGTGGTCACTAAGGTGAGTTACCCCATTCTGCAGGAACAGCAATATGCAATTTGACGGCTCGAGATATTTCTGATTTTTATCAGGGCTTAGATCTTTATCTTGAAAAAGATAATAATGAACGCCTTGACAGATCATGCTTCTACCTTTAAATATATACCATTCGCTCAGCCTATTGTTGAGATGCGACCACGCGGGATCTGCACAGATTTATGGGGCATTTTGTGAATTAACTTGCTATCCATTGTCAGATCTTTAAATACCACTTCACAATGTCTTATGTCATTCATTTGCTAATAACGTCTTTACTTGACCCTCATTATGTTCCCTTAAACCTAACATTTTATAGCTCTTTTATGAATTTGATTCGACTTACTCTATTCCTATTCTCTGAAGGGTACGGCTGTGCACCAAATAGAAAAAAAAGCATGAAATAAAAACAACTGGATTGAAAATAATTGTATTAAAGCCAAAAGTGGACATTATGATGGTACGAAGCATATTCGTATTATTATACATTGCAAATGAACGTTGTCGGCCTAATGAAAAATTCCTTTCCCATTCTGTTTTCTATATAAATGTATTTATTGATGATAATGTCAGTCACGTCTCGTAAACCGTCAATGCCCAGCTCTTGCTACGCTGGGACTCACGCTGTTCCTCGAAGTTTCTCAGAAACGCTTAGTAATAACGGACGCAAAAACCGAAACACCCATTGGCCACTCGAGAATTCTTTATTGTAACACCAACATATTAACAATGTTACAACTAAGGTTTGTGAACCAATATTACAATAATAAATCACAATATTAATTCTGACGGTTTTCTCCTGACTTCTTTCTGAACAGCGACCGATGGGACGATGACTGGTGTATTGATGCCTCCGCGAAAATTGGGGAAGTTGGTTTTGAGCAAACAACCAAGAATTGATCGTTCAATCTTCAACTCCATTGACACTCCCCGGCAAAAAAGGGATCCAACCCTTTTTTCCTTCACGACCAATGCACGTTGACTTGGATGCCATTGAGAGAACCTGGGTCACACGGACAGAGCTGAAATGGAAAACAAACAGAAAAGGCAACACAACACAAGCATACCCACAGCACAATCTCACACATCAATGACGACCTGCGCCTCCAGACAGAGACTTCCTCTTGACATCTTCCAACACAATCGCCGCTTGCTAGAATGACTCTTGCAGAATGCAACGTGACCATAGCACCACCTCATGATACTCTTCACACATCGTCTTATCTACCCACCACCAATTACCACTGCAATCGCTTGTCACTCATTCTACCTTAGTTCTAGTAACGGGGACGTATGCAAGCCTCAGTCGTCTACATTTTCACTCCCCGGCGTGTGGGACCACAGCCTAAATAGAAACATTCATTCTCAGCCATTGATTCCACAGCTAATCCTTATCTCCATGTGCATGTCATCCTCAGCACTAGCGTAGTCTCCCCGGCGTATACGACCCATCTGCTGTCTCTAACATCAATCAATTCATTCACGGATGTAGAAGACTAGAAACAACTTCAGAAGTAAGCACCATGGAAAATTTAACAAAATTACGCAACAACAACAAGGTATGAAAACAACGAGTAAACACAATGAATCCAAAATCACAAATTGATATGAC